ACAGGAGGGGGGAGCCACAGAACCCAATCGCCCTTCCCCTCCCCTCGCACAAAAAGACTGCAAAGAGACAGGAGGGGGGAGCCACATCTATGGAAGTGTTGAGGTACAATCTGATCGGAAGCCGCAGCACAAAGGAGAATCTCAGCGAGGGCGACAGCGATGCACGAGCACGGGTGAAGCGTAGCGGGAGAGTGGAGATGGTATGGATGAGCACGATGTCGCAGACAAAGATACAGTTATTTGAACAAGATCTACCCAACACACGCAGACATGGTCTGGCATTTTCACGAGTCACAGCACACTCGACAAAGCAATGGCGAGACCACTTATCAAGGCATCGAAAGACCGCTGCATACGATGATATATCATGAAATGCGATACATTCCTTCGTGGCTGACCATCATAGTTGAGCGTCTGCGTAGAGGCATGTGCAGCGCTGCTACTTGCCAAAGTTCATTTTGCCCTCACTCGGGTCATACGAGCCATTACCTGCGTCACCTGCGCCATCCGGTGGGTACTGGCCACCTTGATACTGTTGGGTAGGCCAGTAGTGTGGCCCTTGACCCTGCGCATGCCCTTGTACCGAGCCGTTGGCGTACGACTGCTGGTGTTGGCCATACGGCGGCGGGTAGCTGTACTGCTGGGTGTCTTGGTGCTGCTGCGACCAGTATGGTGTCTGTTGTACCTGCTGGCCTCCGTACTGCGCATGCTGTTGAGGGTACGGGTATTGGCCTCCGCCTACTTGCCCTCGATAATTGTACTGGTATCCGTTCCAGGCTTGTTGTGGATATTGCTGTTGCGATGAATAATGTTGCTGCTGAACACCGGTGTAGTGCGGTGACGGGGCGACATGCTGTTGTTGCTGGGATTGCTGAGGAGCCCATTGATGAGCGAAGAGAGGATTTATATGGGCGCCTGGTGGCGGACCTGCAGTAAAGGCCGGAGACCCCGCGATGGATGAACTTCCCGCGACGGCTGATGCCCCCGTCTGATGCGGCCGTGAGGCAGGCAACGTGGGCGGCGTTGCAGATGCATTGTGCACTCCAGATCTCATAGGCGTATCAGTCGCCGGCGCTGGTGGTGCGGGCGAGGGTATAGGCGGCAAAGGATGAACGGTCCGGGTAGCTGAAGCAGTGCGAGCTTCAGACGAAATCGGATCAGCCAATTCTGCTGCTATTTTGGGTATTGCAGGTAATCCAGCCGACTTGGGTGGGGTGAATCTGCCCGACTCATACGCACTTGGCTTGCTTCGACCTCCTACGCTTGCACTGCTCGCGGGCTCGTCGTAAGACAGTGTCGTAGCGGAGGTGGGGGCAGGGTCGTCCAGCTGCCAGTTGGGTCGTTGTGGCAAGGGAAAAGCGGCCGTGGACCCTCCTCGCTGCGTCGAGTCGAGATCTGTGCCTCTATCGCCTCGACCTCTGGTGCCCCCTCTGCCTCTTCCTCGCCCTCTGTCTACGCCCCTGCTGATGCCCCTGCCGCTGCGACTGGTCCCGTCGGTGTGACCTTCCTCGATACTTCCACCAGGCCCCCTTGCATTGGACCTCTTCTTGCTTGCCTTGAGCCTTCTCTTGAATTCTGCTTCCTCTTCATCATCACTGAAGTCCATTTCCTCGACGCCTGCCTCTTCATCATTCACATTGGAGGCATCTGACGCCTTTCCTTGGGTCGCTCTCAGCTCAGCAGGGCGGAGAATGGTCGAGTGAGATGGCAGAAAGAAGATGTCTTGTCCGGACTTGTAAGAAGCAGCAACGGTGGAGGTAGGAAGCAGGACTGAGTAGAGCGGTGCTAGCAGAGATCCAAAGGTCTCGAAGATGAAGCCGATGACTTTGCCTTCTTGAGTACAGACCAGGGATCCAGCATCGAGGATGGGCCCTTGACGTTCGTTGCTTGCCCCACCGATGACGCGTACGCCAGGAGGCGGGCGGGACATGGCAGTGCTGACGTTGCCTCGTTGGACTTCCTCCGCCTGGGCGATGACGAGTACTTCTTGCACATTGCCGTGTACTTTGCCCAGTGGTTTGAGGTCGCACTTCCTGTCCTGGGGGACCTCTTCAAAAGGCAGCTTGCCAAACATTTCCGCTGCTCTTGAAGGCGGAAGCTCACTCTTGGTCATGGGACCTCGAGGTCCGTCGCCCGTGCCTTTCTTGGCCACCGAAGAATCGTCGGAGTCGTAGTCTGAGACCATAGTGACTTGCTCCTGGTCATCGTCTGACGAGTCATCACTGCTAGAAGAGTCCGAGTCTGACTCAGAGGAGGAGGACGATGTGCCCTGAGCCCTGTTGCTGTCGCTTGCGTCTGGTATCGCAGGCATGACTGTATCTTCTTCCCATCCAGCAGGAAGCTGCGCTCTTGCGCCCCTCGTCTGAATGATCTTCGTCCGTAGCGCTTCGAGGGTGGAGTCCTTCACTTCGTCCGCTGAGTATTCCCCTACTATTGCCAGGTCTGAGTCACCTGGTATCGGAGAAGGTTCGACGATTTTAGCCTCGTCTGTACGAGCAGAGTATTCGGAATTGCCTTCACTGCCAACTACAGCGGGGTATTTCGGGCTCGAGCTGGCGCTAGCGCTCACTTGGGTCTTCGCCTGCGCATCCGCTGTCAGCTGCGATCCTTGAGCACTGGAGCTGGCATCGGATGCTTGCCCAGCACTCGCCATTGCGCTTGCGTGTTCGATGTGGACATCTGCTGCAGCCTTGAGTACATCGTCCTGGGCGGCTACTTCACCTTCAGAAGGTGGAGCGGTCGAGGTAAGGTGCTCTCCTTCATCGGCCGCACCACTTTGGACTGGCCCCGCAGCCGGAGAGCTCATCCAGCAGTGCGAGGATGGGCGCGGGAGTGCGAGGTGAGAGGCTCGTGGTGCAGTCTGTGGTATGGTCCGCGTAGGATGAGGATAGGATGTTGATCAAGGGTCAGACCTTCTTGGCGCAGCGGCTGCAGCTGTGACTGTAGTCTACCATAAATGTTCCCACCTGTGTCTGAAATTTTGCCGCCGTGCCTTGCTCCGCTTCCGCTTCTCCACACGCCGACCGCACGCGCCTGGCTGCACCACCAAGGACGGGGCTACGCCGGCGCCATCTCTACCGCTTTCACACCTCCCGTCCAACGTGTGCCCCCCGACCATTCAGCCCAGGGACCATCGATGACCATCCCACTCCACTTTCCCATCGGTACCAGCGTACCAGTCTACTGCATAGACTGGATCGCACCCGACGTACTCGTGTACGCAGGAGGCGGAGGCAAGAGCAAGACCGGCGTCGGAAATTGGCTGGTGAGATATCAGATAGGGAGGGCCAGGAGGGCTAGGGAAGGGCTGTGGATGCCGCAACACCTTATGCGGACATCCATGTCCGGGAGTGGTCACTGACAGATTCTCATCGACTCCCTCCTCTCTTCCGCCAGCGCGCCCTCTATGTTCCAGCAACCGCTCGCTCCTCGTCGGACGTGTCTGTGCTGGCAGAGGTGAAGCTGTCCAGCGATGAAGACGCTCCCATGTGTATGGCAGTGGACGCAACAAAGACCAAGACCATCGTGCTCGGCATCAATGAAGCTGGAACGCAGGCAGCCGATGCCAAAAACCGGATGCTGAGGATGTTCCGCTACGAAATTCAGCCCAGCGAAACGGGGGGCCAGCCAGTGTGAGCAGAAGCAACGTCGATCCCAAGTCAAGGCATGGCCAGTCAGCTGAACAGTGCTGATCATCCGCTCGTTTCACCACCATTCTTCGCAGCATTACCTTTACACCGGAAGCATCTGCGCCCTCTCTCAACCTCAAAGATGCCTCAGACTCGTATCTGCGTCTCCTGTCCTTCTCCCCATCATCCTCTCAGCTCGTCGCAGCATCGACCGAGGGATCCTACGCTGTACACGACTTCCCATCGCTACAGAAGTCCTTCAATCCAACTCTCGATTTTGATGGAGAAGAGATCATGGACGCCGACTTCTCTCAGGCTGGCGGTCAGCTCGTCGTATGCAGCGGAAAGAGACTGAAGATTTTTGGCACCTACCCTGCACCAGTCGATGATACTGCCAACCCCAGCGAAGACGTGGCAATCAGCAAGACCGAGGCCACCCTGGCCATCAATGCATCGCTTGGTCTAGGACCCAAGTCATCTCAAGCAGACGTTGAGGGGACAAAAGCTGCTCAAGACGCTGCCAGGTCGCTCGGATCGCCGCCCGTTTGGCATACCATTCAAAACCCGGCGTTAGGTGGGGAAGGAGGCTGCGAATTTAGAGCGGTAAGGTTTGGCAAGAGCAGCAAACTCAGCGGACAGGACGATAAGACAGAAGAGAGCACGACGCTTCTGACGGTAGTCAATGCAAAGGCGTCGACTGGCGGCGGAAAGGGCAAGAGAAGTAAGAGGAAAAGGTGCGAGGAGAACGTAGCGGACCAAGGCTGCTCACACACACCGCTGACTTGTATCTAGCTCGGTCCCCCTCACAGCTTCTTGACCTCTTGGTCCCTCCCTGATCTCAACATGACCCAAACAAGACAGCTATCCGAGAAACCAGTAACGACATTCAACATTTCGCCCTCCGGTAGACTGCTAGCGTACGGCAGCTCGGACCTGAGCGTTGGCGTGGTCGATGCAGACACGTTGCGAGTAAGGATGCGGGTTCTCGAAAGTCACGCTTTCCCCGCCACGGGTATCTCATGGAGTCCTGCACCGGTGTCTTCTGGGCAGACAGAAGGGAAAAATGGTAAAGGCAAGGCGGAAGACGTCAAACCCGATCCCATCCACGACAATTCGTGGCTGGCATCCTGTTCAGCAGATGGTTCACTCAGGCTGATTCGCGTTCCATCCGATGGCGCAACGGCAGGAGCCTTTACCAGTCTTCTAACAGGTGAGTTGCTGCGAGTGTCCTCACTGCAATGGTCTGTCGCTGACTCTGCACTCCTCGGCACTCCAGGCTCCAATCAGTTCAACCTCGTGATCGTCGTCTTCCTCACCTTGCTGATTCTGCTACTGTCCCTTTATGTGCAAAAGAAGCTCTTGTGATCGAAGCGGGTGGCGTCGAGACCATCCGTTTTATCTTGCAGTACTACCTCAATGTCATTCATGTCATCGTCTGTACAAGATCGCATCTGCTGTGCGTTGATGATCGAACCACACTACTGCCGGAATCTGATATGTCCGCTCCAGGCTTCACCTCCTCGGCATTCCTCTCTGCTTCAACGCCTTCCCCGCCGCTCCTGGGGGCAGCTTTGGTCCCGGTCCCCCACCCATGTCACTTTGCTCGTTTTTGATCGTTTCATCTACACTAAGAATGAGGCACGCTGCTTCGGCAGCACTTCCGATAGCATTGATCTTGATGAGGGCGGGTTCCCAGACGAACTGCTCCATGTTGTCTCTCACATCCTCCGAGTCGATGTCGATGCCATCCCACTTGTGTCCTTGCGCATGCGTCATGCGCAGCTTGTTCAGCAGATCGGTGGCATCGAAGCCGGCGTTGTCCGCTAGCTGGCGGGGAATACACTCGAGCGACTTGGCAAAGGCAGAGATGATGAGTTGCTGCTTCCCCTTGATGTCGCGGGCGTACTCTCGCAAGTAGCGCGACAGCTCCATCTCTATGGCTCCGCCTCCAGCTACTACTGCGTTGTTCTTGATGGCCCTCTTGACAATCATAATGGCATCGTGAAGAGACCGCTCGACTTCTGCGATGAATTGCTCCGCCCCACCGCGCAGGATCAACGTGCACGTCTTGGCAGCTTTGCAGTCTTCGAACAGATTGAAGCGTTCCCCACCGATTTGCTTCTCCTCGAATCGCCCACAAGAGCCAAGGTGATGAGGCGAGATATCCGAGGTGGTAGACTGCACTTGGCCGCCAACAGCCTGAATGACCCGCTTCATATCATCGGCTGGCACTCTGCCAGCACAGAAGATGTCACGATCTGCAAAGTATTGCGTGGCAAGATCTCCAATCGGCAGCTTCGAGAGCACCACCTTGGCACCGGTCTTGACGATGGCTTCCAATTTGCTGTAGATAATCTGCCATTCTGCATCGACGATGGCCTGATACTCCGACACGGCATCTATCCTCACTTCAGCATTGTCCTTCTCGGCCTTCAACTCCAATTCGACATTCAGGCAGAGGATCTTTGGATCTGTGAAGCTCTTGGGCTGCTGCTCGAAGCCTGCGTATGCAAAGGTCTTCTTGAACGCCACTCCACGCACCAGCATCGAGTCTTGCATCCCACCTCCAGGGATCTTCTTGACACCAATCAGAGACTCGTCCAGGTCTTCGGCATCCAGCATCGTCACTGCGTTGACCACCATCTCCGCAAAGAAGGGGCGCTGCGACACAATCAGCTTCGATGACATCGATGTCCCAGCACACTTGATGAGAAGATCCCGGAAGGCTGCCTTGTCGCTCTTGTCAATGGTTACTGCGAGCTCTCGAATCTTCTGCGTAGCGAGCAGGGCGGCCTTTCTGTAACCCTTGATGATGGTGTGGGGGCTGACTCCCTCCTCAATGAAGGGCTTGCACTCCTTCAGCATCTCGCCGGCCAAGAGAACGACAGAAGTCGTGCCGTCTCCAACCTCTGCGTCCTGAGCCCTTGCGATGTCCACAAGTGTCTTTGCAGCGGGGTGCACGATCTCCAGCAGCTTGAGGATGGTGGCTCCGTCATTCGAGATGGTTGCTTCGCGGCGGCCGTTGACGATGAGCTTGTCCATACCGCGGGGGCCGAGTGTGGATGCGACACATGTGACGATGCTCATACAGGCTCCGATGTTGCTCAACAGCTGGGGTGTTCCCTGCGATTGGTCGGTCCCTTCCTTGAGGACGATGACCGGGGCACCCATCATCCCTAGTCGCGAGTTGGCCATGCTGAGCTATTGTTGGCCGAGCTGCCTGACCTGAGAAGCACTTCGGAGGGTGGTGAGGATGATGTACCGATGGCCGACGATATGAAGAGGGCTACAGGTGTGACGTGGGAGATACGACGAGATGGTGAGGTGGTGAGCGTTGGAAAAGTGTCGCACTCGTCCGCCTCGCGTCGGGGACGAAAGATCTTCCTTCCACCTGCATCGCCTCTGGTCTCCCAGATCTCGGAGCCGCGTGCGGCCCCGGCGCTCAGGCCACCCTTGAAGCGGAACCAGGTACCTACCTTCACCGCCTGCACAGACACCCATAGAGCGCCATGCCCGAGCCAGTTCTTCGGGGCCCTCCCCGTCCGCGAACTGGTACAGCTAGAGAGCGAGGCTCTCCTCAAATGCACTCGTGGAGATGGGCGGCTCTGTTGGTACTGTCGTTGCTGGTAGGACTCTTCGCCGTGGTCAGTCAGAAGCGGCAGCCGAAGCAGCATAATCCTGATCTGGAGCATCTGATCCGCTCCCTCGGCGACGAGTATCTCATTTGCGCCGACGGCACTTCTCAACCCTCGGGCTCTCGTTGGACTCAGTATCTTGGCATATGGAGGCATATGCGACCGTTGCTGTCGCAGAAGCCTAAAGCTTCCCACATATACACACTTGCCACCTCCCAGCCAGAATCTCCCGGAGAGGTAGAGTGCCTCTTCGTCAAATCGGGTCGAGTGTTGTCCAGCGGCACGCGCCTGGCGCTTGGCCCCCTTTGCGACTCGTTTCAAGGATGTATGACCCACGAGGTGCCATACGGGCACACATTGCTGCCGGCCTTCACCGATGCCCACGGACATTTGCTCGATCTGGGTCAGTCACTCCTTTCAGTTGACCTCACGGGCGCCGAGTCCCTCAGCGAGTGTCGAGAAAGATTGGAGTCTTTCCTAGCCTCGCATCCCGATCTAGACAAATCCGCTTGGATCGAAGGCGGGGGTTGGGATCATACTCGCTGGATAGACTGGCCCAACAAAGCTCGATTCCCAACGGCGCAGGACATGATTGAAAACTCTGTCAGTCTTCGCGAGCGCAAAATTTCCCTCAAACGCATAGACTTTCACGCCCTCTGGCTCTCGCCCGCTGCTTTGCAGACCGTCATGGCTGATGACAAGATCCCTCCGGGAGTCGAAGTCATACCCGGTGGATCAATTGTCCTCGATTCGGAGGGCCGACCGAGCGGAGTCCTGGTAGATCACGCCATGAGGTTCGCCCTGGAGGTCATCCCGCGCTGGACGAACGAAGACCGCAAAAAGTTTCTGAAGCAAGCTGTGGACTTGTTGCTGAGTGAAGGCATCACTGGTGTCGGTGATGCAGCCGCATCCATTGACGACATTGTCTTCTACGCTGACACAATCAGAGCCGGAACGGACCTGGGGGTAAGGACATATGCCTTCTTGTCGTGCGAGAGCAGCCAGATCGTCGACGATGCAGAATGTTTTGAGGCTCTAGTCTCCCGTTTGGCTGCTTCTGGCTCTGGTCCTCTGCTTTTGAACGAGGATGCTGCTTCCGACTTCACCCTGCGAACGGTCAAGCTCTTCGCCGACGGCGCACTCGGCTCGTGGGGAGCAGCCCTCTTCTTACCGTATTCTGATCGTCCAACCGAGAGAGGTTCTCTCACTATGAATGAGTCAGCGATACCAGCCATTGTCAACTACTGGGCCGACAAGGGGTACCAGATTGCCACGCATGCGATCGGTGACAGGGCGAACGCTCTTGTCCTTGACGCATACGAGGAAGTACTTTTGCGCCTGACAAGTCAAGGAGAGCACGATCTTCGAGCTCGGATTGAACACGCACAGATCTTGAGATCGCAAGACTTCGCTCGCTTCAAATCTCCGACTTCTCAGCTGATGCGGACGCAGGGGCCCCTCTCGATCATCGCTTCGATGCAACCCAGTCAGTATGCTTCGGATGAGCACTATCTCCCTTCCAGATTGGGCCCAGATCGACTCGCGAATGCTTTCCCCTGGAGATCCCTCCTGGGGTCGGGCTCACATGTTCTGTTTGGAAGCGATTTTCCGGTAGAGTCTCCTTCGGTGCTGGCTGGAATTCGTGCTGCCACCACGCGCACATCACCGACCGCAGATGTCGTCCCTGAGACCTTGACAAGACTCGAAGCTCTCAGAGCATACACATCGGCCCCTCCATTCGGACAATTCCAGGAGAAAGTCCTGGGTAGCTTGGAGTCAGAGAAGTGGGCAGATTGGATATTGACCTTCGGCGACATTCTCGACGATAGACAGGATCTCCAAGACATCCGCGTCGTAGCGACGGTGAAGAGAGGGAAGCCGGCGTGGCTAGAGGGCAAAGGCAGGCTTTCTTCGGTGTAGAAATCTATAAGTGCTTTGGCTGCCCTTCCAAACGTGCAGAATTTTCTCTTTGAATTCTCAGTTTCTCCGGTGCCGTCTGAAGGTGAACAAAGAGATTAGTCATGCATCCTGACCGGTGAGAGCGTACCGTGCGCTCGAGCAAATGCAATACATTGTCGGCAGGATAGAAGTCGCAGCGTTTCTCCAGGCGTCAGACGAGCAGCGTCTCGCGATTACAAAGTATAAGACCTGTTGTTCACAGACTGTAGCGAAAGGTTGTGAGCATACTCGGTGCAGCGTTCCGTGAGCGTTGCGCCATCGCAATGACTAGTCTGCGCTGATGGACAGAGCTCCAGCGTACAGTGCAGCATGCCTCTTGAGAGTTCACTCACCTCGTCGAGGGCAGAAGGTGTACAGTAGAACAGTATTGATACAACGGATACCCGTCTTTGAGGATGTTCACATGAGGCTTCGGAGATCTACAATCGGCGGCATGTCTCGCAGGAGATACTGTATTGTATCGCAAACATGTACAGTAGACCCCGTATTCTCTCATCTTCTGTACCGCAATCTTGCGCTTTCGAAACGTGAAATTGACGAACATGCTTTGTCAAACGCTTCGTTGCGTCAGTTTAGACAGCGTTGCGTCAGTCGCCGCAATTGCTGCTCTGAGCACTTTGCACAATTTCTACAGAAGTACTGTACAGTACGATGCAGAAGCTGTGTTGAAAGAGCAGGCGGCACCGCGTTGACTGAACACGTGCGCACTTCAGGCCGACAGTCATATGGCAGAGAATGTGCTGTTCGTTCAGGAAGCAACTTGCTCGATGCGGCTCCAACGCTTCGCTACAGTATGCCAAGTCGTCCGTCCTACAGTACTCCACGTAGATACCAGTACAATGTGCGCACTGTAGTTGACTTCATCTATTGGACAGGGGGGAGGGCTCACATGCGCAATTTAGTAGCTGCCCAACGATTATGGAGACTGGACTGATGCAGTATGATACAGTAGGCCTGCACAGCCCCAAAGTTGGCTATTACATCAGGCTGTTGGCAAGCGCAAACCTTGGCTTGCAGTGACCAGCAAAGGCACAACGGTACTGTACAGCAGTGAAGCGTCAACTTGCACAACATCGTGTTGTACTGTTCACTGCGCATGGTCGGTGCTGCATTTAGGTGTATCGTATTTTGCGCCGCTTGTGAGTAGATCTTGCACGAATGGCGTGACGTTGTGAATTGAACTTCCAAAGGTATATTTCTTTGCACAAGGCGCGTAAGTGTCCAGCTGCGACGAGTAGAAATCTCGTCCAGATGCCTGATTTTGCGTTTGCCGCGTATTCTTGCAGTAGAGAAAGCGTGAAAGCTTCAGCAAATGCAGCAGAACCAGTCAATGTGCTCTTGCAGAGCAATGCGTATGGCATCATCTTAGACACGGCGTCGGTTAGAGAGGGCGCGAGAGGGTCCGAGCGTTTCAGCACTTCGTGATCGCCAAAAAAGTCGTCGGAGAACAGTCATTCATTTAGCAATGAAGATGGAACAAGACAGAATGCGCGGAGCCACACAATCGAGTGAGTGACTCTTGCAACTAGTTGCGCATTGCGGAAAGTGTAGACTACAGTATGCAACAGAGTCGAAGTTCGACTGTTGCGTAAATACTGGGCATCTAGGCTTGCCCCTCTCTGCCTCCTTCCGCCACTTCCGCCACTTAATTTCAGCCAGCATTAAGCCAGACCAGAAGTATTTTGGCAGGATGCGCATTCAAAAGTAGCCGCATAACCTCGCTTCACAGTCTGACCTTGGCTTAAGTGTGACTAAAATCCAGGTTGAGATTGTAGCCACAGTGTCAGACACAGTCCCAAAATTTGTGTCAGATTGCTGAACCAAATTGAGGTGAGAATGAGGAATGAAAGAGTAAGTCCGGTGCTGTGAAGTTGCGTGCTGTTGGAATACACCTGCATTGCTGGAACTCAACGGGCGCATCACACACGCATGCAATTATAAATGACTGTACTTTTGCCCAATGCCAGCGCTCTTACTTTCCGGAAACAATACACTACTGGCTGGTGCTGAAAGACGATGTGACTTGTGCTTGCTGTATATTTTTTCCCTAGCTCTGGCACGCAAAATATTGACCCGGGCTGACTATGTTTTCTGAACGCCATCTGCTTTCTTTCCGCTTGTTCACTATTTGACGGTGCTCAGAGACTGCCCTCCTGACAAGCTCAGGTCGATATCAGTAACTGTACTGTACTGTGCTGCATGTTATGCTGGCATCAAAACAGACCAGAACATTGTTGCTTTGAACCCATTTGAGTACAGTACAGTACAGTACAGTACAGTACCAGAAGATCGATCTAGCGCCTTTTCTTGTCTGCTTAAACCTTGTGCAGCGAGACATGGAGGCCAATGTGATCCACATCCAGACCTTGGCAAATCTAATGTCAGATTGACACCTGACGCGACTTGTACAGTATTGGACCAGGCTGAAGCCGGACAACAAAAGAGATGAATGAGTCATTCAAAGAAGTCACAATTCGACAGCACGAGATGTTTGACACTACAGTCTGGGCTCCCTGACAGCATTGCCTGCCACAATTTATCCAAAGGCAACGCTCCGTCCCGCGTACAGGACTCAGACTGCAGGACTGCGGAGCCGCATGTCCAGACAGTGGAGGTTTGTGAAGACACGCGACAATATCGCTTTCTCTCTCTCATGCCAAGGACCATGTGCTGGGCTGAATCGATTCCGATCGGTAGAAATACAAACTTGTGTACCTCAAAGCGCATTCGTCTCTCACATGGCTACGATACAACATTCTAGCGCTGACGCCTACAGTATCAGGACCAGTGTGCGCAAGTTGGCCCAGTCCTTTTGAATCAGACTTACAGAGGAGCATTTGGGCAAGACCCGAGCAGCGCATAGACACCGTGTCCTGCGTAAGTTGAGTCATTGTGGAGTCATGCTGCTACTGTAATCTCATCTTCATCTGCCTGCAAATCGGACACAGTGGAGAAGGGAAAATTGCGAGACTTACTGTACAGTACACAAGCCGGAAAAGGTGCATGACAGTCGTGAGCAGTCACAGACAGATCAGAATGCAGTACAGTATACAAGAAACTTGATGGCCGATATTCATTGTCTGTGGATCTCAGAGACTCGATGCTCGAATAGATGCCGTACTGTACGATCTCGATGTCCTCCTCTGATGTCTTTTCATTCAGCTCGGCCGTAAAAATCTTCTGCTTTCGCCTTGTCGTCCGCGCCAGTGGGACATTGCACTCGCTTTCTGCTCGTGGATCAAAGTTTTTCTTGCTGCCTTAGTACTATTCCGCAAATGTTTCACCACATGAGAGCTACCACAGCCGCCCAGAACAGCAGGCAGGGCTCAGCGCGCCCTCTACGACTGGCAAGACGTCTCTTGCTTATCGGAGCGCCCTTCAGTCTTGACTGAGCACCTCGCTGTACTACCCTACTGCTGTCTCCACGCCTCGAGGCACACAGAGAGTCATAGCCTACACTTCCTCCCGTGCCTGCTCAGATGCCTACGGGCCTACTACATATCTCACTTTGTGAGACAATCCAGTCCGAAGGGGAGCTGAGGCACCGCAAGGCAGGTTTCTTGTTGTAGACGTAGCGATTGCGCTGACGCTAGCTTCCATACTCAGTCTGATAGTGATGAGCTCATTGTTCGGCTCCTCTTGGAGTTTCAACAGATCTGATCAAGCGTCCGTCCGGTCACAATTTGTTGACGAGCTCATCCTCTCGCTTGCGAAACGTACATCGGTGACCCAAAACTTGCTGCTAAGACGGCCTTGCTCCGTCTGTACGACAATCTACTCACCAGCAACGTGCGCCTGAAGTGGACGCAGCAGTGGGTATCACACATGTTCGGGATGGCATCAATCAATAAGGTAGTCAAGCGTTTGTGCACCAAGTCCGCAGAATTCAACGCCGTCGCGCCCGTCTAATGCCGCTCGTGAGGTGGTCCTTGGGCCGAGGCCCAGAGCTGGTAGAATCCCTCCTATGATACAGTACCGTTTGGTGGTCTGCGAATTTCGCCAATTGCGACCGTTCTAGAGCACGTCAGCTTCTACGTCGGGCAAAAGCTTGCAAGTGAGAGACGAAAGGATGCAATCGTAATCATGAAGACGGTGGTGCGTTGTCAACCAAAACTCACAAGCAACTCAACACCTGAGTACCTATCGTGGCCTTCTCCGAGACTGACGAGCTGTCCCAATGGCCGACGGGGAGAGCATCAATCTTCGGCGCCTCAAGGCGATCAGCTCCTCTATGCTGATGGTGTACGCTTCCCCTGATATCCCTCTAGGAAGACGGGACTCTAAGATGGGACTCGAAGTGGATTAGTGCCTAATTTGACCCGTAGACTTGTGCTCGTGGACTTGTATGTCAGCGATGTGTCAGCGTCAACGACCGCCCCTCGAGCAGCATCAATGTATCGCTCGGTCCACAAATGCCGCTGGCGCTCTGTGCGAGCTTAGTGAGGCGAATGACCGGGCACATTGAGCGGCAAACCCTGTCTCGGGTCTGAGCGAGCTTGTGACTGCTGCGACACGGTCGGACTGCCGTGTCGACAAACGGGCTCTGGGACCGACGTTCACATAGGATCCGCTCTTCGGACGCCGATGCACGGACACTGTCTCTGCTCGAACATGCTCGCAGTTTGGACTTCGTGTAGGGACCGAGGGGTCAGAGTCAGCCTCGTCTCTCGTGCACTGCGAAACACCCTGACTACGATGATTCTGCTCTTCAGTAGATGATAATGGTCGATCGAGCCCGTCAATTGAAGCGTTATGGGTCGTCGTGTTGTCGACCATTGCTAGCGATGGGGTCGGGGACGTGTTCGCGCTCGCGAAGGTGGACAAACGAGAAGTTGCCAAGGCGCCCGGGCTTGCCACAGAGAATGATGACACACAATGAAGCAGTAGCAGAGGAATACAGAGTGAGAGTTCTCATGACGCCGATGAGGTGCGACGTATATAGCATTGAGACAATTTACAGCAGATCCAACAAGTCTGCACTCCCACCCGTCTGCTGTGCGGTAGAGGGTCGGCTGTTTGGAGTGGACGAAGCAAGCGGGAATGCTGATAGGGAAGAGAGAGCATCTAGGCCCGATTTTGCCCCCGGCTGTTCGGCTCCAGGTGCTGCATCGAAGCTGGGAGGGAGAGTAGGATAGATTGGTATCAGCGAGTGTTGAGAGCTTTCGCAAGCTGTACAACTTACAGTCCAAGAAGGTCGTTCAGCTGGCTACTCGCAGCCGTCGTGCTGTTGGTCTGACCTGGTGCAGATGCATGCGTGTCGTTCAAAATCATTTCGTCCAGGGCACCTAAGCCGCCGGTACTGCTCTGCACGTCGTCTTCTCCGAAGTCAAGCAGATTCTCGGCATTTTGCCCTTGTACCACTGTAGCCAGCGCCTGCTCTCTGGTTGCTGCCCCTTTCTTTGCTGAGTCTGCACCATACTTCACCTTCCCGATGAAAGTGGAGGCTGGCTTGTGATAGGCGGAGGCTAGCGAAGAGAGGTCGGAAATCAACTCCTCCAGTAGAGCGGGGGATATCGTCGATAATGGGATAGAGATAGGGGGCCGCGAAGCTAGGACAATAGACTAGGAAAGAGGAGAAGCCCATGAGAAGGGGTGCGTCAGTGTGATGGGTAGTACGAGAGGAAGATCAGCGTAATACTTACTCTGCCCGCCTCTGGATCGGAGCTGCTGAGAAGCCGCCAGTAGATGAATGCGCGATCTCTCAGATCGGGGTTGTCCGCCTCTTTGGTCGCCAACTCGAGAACCCTTTGCACGATCCCTTGCGCTGCGCCATCCGGCTTCTTCAGGAAGAGCTTGACAATCGCGACCAGCGTCTGAAACTGGACCTGGTATGGCTCGTCGACGAAGCCATCGAGGAAAGAGGCGAGTAGCTCTTCCGAATTGTCGATCTTGTCCGCATACTCGCCGAGAATCCAGACGAGTGAGGCCTTGGCTTCTGGTTCATCGAGATCTTCCAAATTGGCACAAAGCGTGGGTATGACTCCCTCGTAGTTCTGGGGATACTTCCGGAAGATGTCCTGTAAGAGTCGAAGTGTAGATGGGGTGGTCAGCGTACAGTCTAATTTCCCCGAGCGCCCTCGGAAAATTCACCTTGATGACGACGACGGCTTCCTGAACAACATAGGTGACCTTTGTAGCAATGAGATCCAGCAGCACATGGACGCACCGCTCCGCCGCTGCGTCGATCTTGATAGCACATTGCCCAATGGCTCTGATGCTCCTTCGCACGAAATCCAAATCGACTTCGCTGGCATACTCTTTCAGCTCTGAGAGTAGCATGTCCACATTGCGCTCATTGGCGAGCTTGATCATAATCTCTAGTTTTTCGAGCTTGACGTAGGACGGATCGTTGTACTTGCAAAAGAATATCCGGAGCTCTGAAGATAGGACTTCTGGCCTCTTTTGCAGAATGAGATTCATATTGCGGAGGGCAACCCATTGAACTTCGGGAGCAGCTGACACAAGGGTGACGAGGGGTGGAGCCATTTTGCGCACAAGCTGCTTGACGAACTCAGCCTTGCCGACGTGATCCATATGGATCATAATGACCTGCAGAAATCAAGAGGGCAGGAAGATTATGTCATTAGCCTGTGAGACCTCCTCAAATGACCAACTTGACCGAATATCCCCTCCCGAATTTGATCAGCCAGCAGCCGCGTCGCCATTGCTCACCTTAATGGCGCTAAGTACTACGCTGCCATTAGCATGTTGGAATTGAGGCATGACCCTCTCGCAGATGTGTTCAGCCTCTTTCTCATCGGTAGTCCTGTATCGGGCCAGAGAATTCAGGATTGCTATCCTTCCCCACTCTGTACACTCGTTCAGGGCAATGAGTAGCTTGGATAGGACTGCCGAGTCAATGATGAAGAGTGTGTCTAGGCCTTGCTCTAGGGCGGTCTGATGTATATCTGTCAAAGCTGTGACTGCATTTGCGACGACCTGTGTAGGGCAAATCCATTCAGCTGCGGTACTCTTCACAAGCGACTCTGTTGGCGATGCCTTCTTACCATGGGGTTGCTATCTGCCACCAGTTCCCTCAAAGACTCCACGAAACCACCTTCGATTGCCAGTTCCGGCTTGATGTCATACAGCTTTGCGACACAGATCGCAGCCGTCTTCCTGACGTAGGGGTTATCATCCTTCAAACATCGAGACAGAGGATCTGACAGATAGTCGATGATCTTCTCCGCCCTGAGCATCGACATTGTCCTGATGGCTAGAGCTCGGACCAACGGGTTGGGATCGGCAGTGTCCTGGCGGGGATGGTGCATGAGGCGTATGAGCGTCAGTGATGGAGTGCGTGGAGGTAGCATCGCGGGCTCAGTGCTCAATGACCGCGTGCTGTCTCACTACTCACCTTTACGAAAGTGTTGACTGCCAGGATGACTAGTTCTGGTTGCGTCTTTGCGTAATTAATGAGGTAGAGGTATACGAGCTTCTTCTGCTCCAGGTCCTCGGTCTGCATATTCTTCAGCACGTCTGGGAAGAGGCCGCTGACGTCTTTGCCCACGGTCATGTTGGCAATGACCCTCTTGATGGCATCACTCCTTCGCTCGCGATACTCGGAATTGAGATCAGCGCGAAGCTCAAAGTTCTCGCCTTTACGAGGGGCATTGAAGAAGCGAGGGCGAGACATTGCGGCGGAGGGTCGAGATCGTGAGCCTCAGCGGCAGCGGCGGCAGATCGCAGGGAAGGACGAGGCGATGGCGATCGAAGCTGCCTGTGGTGTGATGCCAGTATCAAGGCGATGGCGGGATATGATGACGGTGATGGTGGTGGTGGTAGTAGTAGTGGACTACCAGTGAGATGCTCCCCGCCCGCTGCGTTCAAGTGTTGCTTGCTTGCTTGCTTGCCTGGCCTGGGCGCGCGCGTGTGTGTGCCAAGTGGAGCGGAAGCGGAAGGACGACTCGCATTGACGGCACATCCTTCGCATTGCCGCACCTCGTACCAGGTCACCATCACCATCACCATCACCCATCAGCACTCACCTTGTCCATCTCGAGACTCGGTCAGCCACCTTGCGCCCGTTGCGATGTCATCGGCCTATGCAAAGGCAAAGCTCAAGGAGAGCAGAGATGCCATTCAGCGCAAGGATTGGTCAGCCGCCCGCGAAGCTGCAGAGAGCGTCCTCGAGTCCGAAGCAGACAACTACAATGCCACCGTCTTCCTAGCTTTGGCTCTTTTGAATGAGGAACAGCACGCCAAGGCCGAAGAGACGTATCTCAAGGCGATAGAACTCCAGCCTACTCAGCCACTCGCGATACAGGGACTGCAGAAGCTCTATGAGCAGCGCCAGGACTGGGCAAAGTTGGTAGAGCTGCTACGCAAGCAGGCAGATGTTCACCTTGCAAATGGCGATGCTACAAAGTGCGGAGAATGCGTACAGAGGATCATAGAGATTCAGAAGAGCGAAGGCGCTAGAAGTCAGAGGGCAGACGCTCTGAGTCTGGCTCTGCCCACCTCCAAGTATTATGATCTACTCCGCACCCTTCCAGAGCCGGAGCCCACTGCCCCGCTCTCGACCACAACCTTCGAGATTCAGATGGCAATCCACTTGGAATCGTTAAGGACGACGAAAGAGGTCATAGAGCTTCTGGAATACATTGAACAAGACACTGTAGACAAAGAAGTTGAGAAGAAGAGGATGAGGATAGAAGGGGCTGGCAAGACCCGTGACGTCCTTCGCAACGAGGCCGGGGTCCCGGTTTGGTCGCAAAGCACTCTGCCCCTACGTTATGAGGAGATACTCGCTCATCCAGACGCTAGCGATCAAGATAGAAGGGATGCCGAGGCGAAGTTGCTTCGTTACCTTCACAGGCTCCTGCTGGCCCTTCCAGCTCGGCAAGCCCCGTCGCAAGGTCCCACTGGCACCGCGGCAGTAGCAACACGTACATCTGACGCCGAAGGCGAAGCAATGGCCCTGAAGGCTCAATGTAGAGATCGCCTGGCAGAGATGTGTCGAGGCATGGTCCTTGTAGGAGTGCCGGACGAGCTTGCCTGGACCATCCACCTCGAGTGGCAGGATATTGCCAGCCTAGGTCAGTCGGTTGAGAGCGCAACCAGCATAAAGTGAAGCATTCCCTCGACTGACCCGCTTCTTCGATGTGCCACAACAGACCAGCTACCTCTCCACCATCTGCGAAGCTTCATGCATCACTTCCCTCGCTCTGGAATGTCCATGGCCTTTCGCGCACTTCTACTCCTCGTTCGAGACGAACAGTTCCTGCGCGAAGCAGAGGAAGCTCGCAAAGTGGCAGATATAGACCACGGAGTAGTCGACGACGATCCTCTGGTGCAAGTTGCTGGTGCCCTGGAGAGCCGACCGGACAGCTTGCTCGTTGGAAGGATTGCAGCCAGGCTTCACCTCCTTGATCATGACTTTGTCACCGTGTCAGACATCGCCTCGAATGCTCTGAAGGTCCTCTCCAATTTGCAACAAGATGCCGCTGTATCCTTGCCAGACACCGAGCGTGATCTGACCGGTGTCAGGGCGATCGCGCTGTCTCGCAGCGCAAGGTCGCAAGATCATGTCATGTCAATGAGACTTTTGGACCTTGTGCTCGAACACGGTGAAGATGCCGAAATCCTATTGGCCAGAGGAAGTCTTGAGTCGCACGCAGGGAGATGGGAGTCAGCCAAAAGTCTCTTTGCCCGCTGCAAGGACTGGTGTCTCAGCCACACGACTGCAAGTGATGCAGAGAAGCTCCTCAGACTGCACCGTGACCCGGTCACGCAGGCCCGGGCGGAAGTGGCATGGTGCAATGTGCAGCTCAACGACTTGGAGTCTGCTGACGACGAGCTGAGCCATGTCATTGAGGCGATGGACAACGATCCCGAGCAAGCCTTTGGCGACGAGGATCGTGCGCGGGCTTGGCACAGGTGGGGTGTCTGTGCTTTAAGGCTTGCTCAAAAGAACGGGAGCGCGTTTACTCTAGCGTTTGAGCGCTACATCACCTCTCTGAAGCGGTCACCCTCCTTCGCCCCGACTTTCTCTGCCCTGGGCGAGTACTACGAGACATACCAAGATCCCCTTGATTCTGTCCGCTCCACCAAGTGCTACCAGAAGGCGTTCGAGCTCGACTCTACCCAATCGATCGCGGCCTTCAAGCTCGCAAGCCACTATGCAACGGAACGTGAATGGGATCTGGTCGCCATGATCGCCAAAAGAGTTGTTGATGGTGAGGGAGGTGCTGCGGCTCTGGGAGGTCAGACTGCCGCCATGCGAAAGCACAAGACGTCCAATGTGTGGGCTTGGAAAGCCATCGGCTCTGTACGCTTGCAAAAGGGAGATCCTGAGGATGCGATCACACCATTGCAGGTAGCGTTGAGGTCCTCAGCTGATGACGCCGTGACATGGCAACGTCTGGGCGAAGCCTATGCCCGGACAGGGCGCTATGCAGCTGCTCTCAAAGCTTTCGATCGGGCGTACGTCTTGGATAACGCCAGTTGGCAGTCCCAGTACAGTATAGCAGATGTGAAACGAGAACTCGGTGACTACGACGAGGCCATCGAAATACTCCTCGAGATCGGCGCAAGCAGGCCAACTGAGTCCGGCGTCACCATTGCCACTGCGGAGACATTCTTGCTCAAAGGTCGACAAGAGGCGCAGACTGGTTATACAGCCAGAGCGCTACAGTCTTTCGAAACATCCCTGAGCGAGTGCACGCGCTCTCTCAAGAGTGAACCGCAGATGCGCAGCCCGTGGAAAGTTGTGGCTGATATCTGTTCTGAGTTGAGCAAGATGGCAAGTCTTGAGGTCGTTGGCCCTCTTCTGACTGGCTGCCTACGACCTCTGATTTCGATCGCTGCCGAGCAGAACGTCGATGCGGATCTGCCTTCGATCAATGCAGTTGATGCTGCTGCTGTGATAGCCTCGTACGACAATGCAGAGGAACACGCCTACGCGGTGCCGCTCGCGCTGAGCTCTTGCTACGTCAACAAGCTGAGAGTGATCCTCTCAGCTTCGGACGACCATCAGATCGGGCCAGCGTGGGCTGATCTGGCCATTTCGCTCTCTCGTCTCGCTGGTCTGCAAGAGGATCAACTGCCTGCTTCGCAAGCGATCAGCTCCGTCAAAGCCGCGCTCAACCACGAGCCTGCTAATCCGACGTTTTGGTTGGCGTTGGGCAACTTCACCTTTGACAGCAGTCTCAAGGTCAGCCAGCATGCTTACATCAGAGCTATAGAGAATAGCGTGAACGACGCTACTCCGTGGAGTGCTTTGGGCCTGCTCTACCTACATCACGGCGACCCGGAATTGGCGAGGCAATGCTTCGTTCAATCTCAGACATTGGATCCTGACTACGCGCCGCCATGGATCGGGCAAGCAATGGAGTCTGAAGACTCAAGCAGAGCAACGGAGCTCTACGGTCATGCCGTCGAGTTGTCCGAAGGCTCTTTTGCTGAGGCGGACTATGGCTTCGCCTTGCATGCTCTGACAGAGAAGCGTCACGACGAGTTGCCCAGCGCATCTTTTGCATTGTCAACTCAAATCTCGCGTCATCCTTACGACGAGACTGTCTTGCACCTATCAGGTCTTGTTGCGGAGCGACTGGGTCAGCAGTGTTTGTCTTCCACTCGGATCGAGGCGGCAGCAAGCTTGCTGGAATCTGTCTTCGAGCAGAATGAATCACCTGAGGTGGCCACAAAGTTTGCGATTGCGCAGAGCAACCTCGGAAGGGTTCGTGTGCTTGGCGGCGACAGCGAAGGAGCCAAGCAGAATTGCGAGACCGCCTTAAGCTTGCTCGAAGTTGATGATGATATTGATTTGAGCGCCGTTAGCGGGGAGGACGACATCAGTAGGGCAATACGCAATGCGCAAAAGATGGCTGAGGTTGATGATCACATGTAATTCTAGCCAAAGAGTGTGCTGATGATACAATCCCACACTTATTACTTCGCGCCACTCATGCATCTTGGGAAACATCTTCAGAAGCACCTATCATCATGGGAAGCGAGAGGTCAGGATGTCAGAGGCAGCGGACGGACTTGAGCCCTAGGTAAGCAGCGGAGAGACAGTCACATCGAACCAAAAACCCTCCTCGTGTCAGGCCGCTGTTTTCTCTAGGTTATTGTTGGGAAAAAGAGCAGCCTCGGTCTTGGTCTTTGGAAGGAAGCCCTTCCTCTGTGCAACTTGAAGAATGTTGCAGATACTGGGCAGACTCCAAGTCGTTCACATACCGGTGGCTAGATTTCACGATGTGCATCAACTGCCTTCTCATTGCGCGGAGGCTGTTGACCGCGAGCTCGATCATCTGAGATCGCGTGCAGGCGCTGGGTGTCTCGCACAGCACCTTTGCAGCCTTAGGCTGGTCTCTCTGCAGATCATAGGCGACAATAAGCGACAACTATTTGGTAGATGGCACCTCGTGAGCGGATGTCAAAGGTCGGTGAGAGGGTGTGCGGGTCGTAACGACCACCGGATGATAGCTATCTCCAAGAATCTGCACTTTCGGCAAAGCCATGGCAGCGCCATGGGCTGCTTGATTCTTCATTGCTACCAGAAGCCCGATATGCGACGTAGCCTCACATATGATGCAAGGAAAGGCCATGTGCATGATGGTTGACGAAGGGAAAGAATGGACGCCATGCTGAGCATTGAGCTCTTCAAGTATTTCATTGGTCAGAGAAGGCGTCTGACGGAGGGTCAGATCGGAGCCACTATCTTGGACGGCGAGCCCAGAGTCGAATTTTGGCGTTGTGGCCCAGACTGACAGTGGCGCATGCGTCAGATCTCATGTCGGCTGGTCAGATGTTTCGCACACTGTAGCGACCCGAGGTAGAGAGTTTCAAGCTCGGCAAGTCTTATACGAGGCCAACCATGTCGGAGCATCAACGTCGGACGGGAAGCAGTGGATTGGGTCTACAGGACCTTGCGGGACAAGAGTGACGTCTACCTGGCTCAGTGTCTCGCAGGGCACTGACACCCCGCTCGACCTCCACTGTCAGCGACCAGACCCCGTGTTTTGACCAAGCAAAGAGTGAGAGCGAAGAAATACTAGACCGCGTCCCGCAATCAGTGCGTCAGACATCGTCTCACACCATGTCTACACCCGATGGCGAGCGTTGCTGGCATGCAGCTCACGAGGCTGGAGGTCATCAACGCCAGTTGACCCCAATTGACAGATCGCTCGACTTCAAATGCATGCATTATCACTACGACGAATTCATACTCTCAATGAACTCCTCAAGGGAGACCGCCATGCTGGCATCAGAAGCTGCGCAAGCGACGGCATTGACTGCAGCGCTCTTGTTCCCTTCCTTGCCCTTCGCGTGAAGAGATGGTGCCGGCGATTGTGTGCTGATGGTTTCGAAGCGATGTTTCATGAAGCGCTGGTGCGGAGATGGGGCCCCTTGCTCGGGGGCCAGATTGGAACCTGGTGCCCCAGTGCTCCATACCGGGTATTGCGAAGTGGCCTCGGCAGCAAAGTCCTGCTGTCCCGCTCCTACCAGCGTTCGATTGCTATCGTCCGAATCAGAAGTGCTGAGCTGAAGGAATCTGGCCACATCATCGTGCTCGCTGCAGCCCTCCACGGAGAAGGGTGAATGCGATGCAGCTGTTGCTACCCCGCCTATGGATAGCACCTGAGATCTGACGGCAGCAATCTTCTCCACGATGAAGGCATGTATCTGCGGAGTATCCTGAGCAGAATCCACAGTGCTGACTCCAAAGGCTATCTCCTCTGTGCAGAAGAGGACTTCTTCATTTGTCATTCCCTTGATGGGTCCAGACTGCATACTTGCCTCACTCTCGGTCGACAGTGTATTCAGGACCTTGTCACAGGCCCACAAGGCGTAGCTTGCACTCGCATTACTGTACAGCGAGGGTGGGAGCGAGATCAGTCTGAGCCGGTCCAAATGGCCCGATCGTAAGCTGCAGACCCGACGACTTACCGCGTAACGACTGGACAGCCTCGCAAGAGACCTACTTCTCCAGCTCTTCTGCTCAGGCTGGCAACTGTTGAGAGACTGCGGAAAGCGGCCTCCTCGAAAATCATATGAGCGGCGGTGAGGTCAGTCCCTACCTCGTCTTCTCTCAGACCAAAATCGGTCACCGCCGTGGCGGCGGCAAGAATCTGAGAATGGAAGAGAAGGTTGAGAAAGACAACACGCAAGGTAGTAAATAGCTGATAATCTACCGGTCTGACAGCTTTGCCCTTTGCCCAATCTTCAGGGATGAGCCGATCAATGTTGAGGATGTCCGGTATTCCAGCATACCACTTTTGCCACCCGTAGAGAGCCCTGAGAGCGCCATTGCAAGGGACGCCGAGTCCTTGAGAGCGCACAGAGACGAACAAAGGCGCGTGCTCTCGAACTGAGAAAAAGAAACGAGAGTTGTGCTGCGCCAAAGCCGCCTCAATGTACGAGTGCTCCTTATCGCTAGGCCATTGCATGCGAGCATGGAGTCCATCGGAGGAGAATTCGCCATCGCGTGAAGGGCGTCGAGGAAGGATCACTTCGTGATCGTGGCAGTCATTCGGGAAGAAGGTTGGCTTCCTCATACCCATAGACTTGAAGCCGTCCTGTAAGAAGATACCGAAGAAGACGCGCCTGCGATACCACGCTTCGCTATCAGTCAAGAGCTCTGCCCCTCTTCCTGTCCGCCATCGTGCACCATTCGCCGGGGCTCGCACCTCCAATTTGGGTGCACGATTCAAACCGAGCTTCATGACCAACGAAGCAATCGCCTCGTCCGACATGGGTCTCTTCGTGTCAGAGGTGCCAGCCTGTGGTATACCTTCACCAGCATCTTGGAGGTCTAGTAAATTTGTCAGGTAGACTGCCACAAGGACCTCGATTGCGTCCAGATCATCCCTACGGTTCCAATTCTGCGCTGTAGTTTGCTTGACAAATCTGAGTAACAAGCGGTGTTGCAATTCGAATTTGTCGAGCGCCCCAATGTAGACGCCATCTTCGGACTCAATTTGAGCCACGCCAGTTGCTGCCAAGGCTAGTACTAGCTCAATCGATACTGGACGATCGCGGGGCTGCTTCCCCTCTGCTATGTCCCAAAACGCTTGGTAGCCCTTGGTGAATCGGACACCATCAATGGGTGCGGTAGGAGCTACCCACTTGAAAAAAGCATGTAGACTGGCGTCAAGAATGGGTCTTGTTAGGCCGGGTACGCCCAGAATGGAGTATGCATATCCGAGGCTCATATTTGACGGCCCGTCGATGGTCCGAATTCGGGCGGAAGTCTCTCTGACCGCCTTTGAATTTAGCTGGGGCAAGTAGAGTCGAGGCTGCTCCTGGTAAGGGGAGGTGACCGCGGCCTGTGACTTGAGCTGTTTGAGTCGGGCACCTAACCTTGGTTTCCCCTTGTGCTTATCCCGGTCTTTGACCACACAGGGTATACTATGACTGATGCAACTAGAGCAAGCGATATCTCCGCTGATATCAAGAGCTTGTCCTTGTAGACCTTGTTGCAGCTTGTCTTTGCGATCGCACTTGACCTTTCTTAGTGAACACGCGACACAGCTGCCTGCCTTTGCAGTGCTTTGCAACGGCCGATTTGAGGAAGCAGGGGCAGGTGCGAGTGACTCTGAGGCTTGCGCCACGCCCTGGAGTGCCGCCGCCGCGTTCCTCTGTGTCCGCATGGGATGGTCTTCAGAACGTTTGTCCTCGAGTAACGGAAGATGATCTTGACAGTCTCCAACCATCGAAGGTTGCGCCGAGTAAGCATCTGAAGACATGGTGCCTTGGGCAAAGAGACGGCTAAATTCGGCCTCAAAATGCTCGTCGAGGGCGAGGGCATCTTCGGCAAAATCTAGGGCAAAGGCCCTGTGTGTGTCATGGGTGCCATCCATGAGGCGAGGGACAGTAAGGGATGATGGAGATGGGATCTCACAGCGCGCGATGCTAGGCAGAGGAGGAGCAGGCGAGTGCGGAAGTGGTGCTCTGCCCTCGCCCCGCAATGGCGTGGTGGGTGGCCCCGGCGCAATCAGACTGCAGCTCCGCCGGCGCCGCGCCCGATGCCGATTGCGACGCCGAATAAGCCGCCGAAGAGTCGCCCGAGAGCCGGCGAAGCGAAGCACAGGCGGACGACGGGGAGAGATCCGAGTAGCGGACCGAATAGCACACCTGCGCCCTCGCGTACGCGGCACAAGTCACCTTCTACCTAGCGGGAGAGTCATGGTCCAAGAATAGTCGTACGAGTGCCACAATGGTGGAGACGAAGATTATATATAGGGCGTGGCCATCGTAATGGTGAGTGACTGCCCCGCAACAATCCACGACAGAGCATCACAAGCCATACGACTACCACACCAACTCACTCCACTCGCCTCACCCCTTGCCTTCTTCTCAACATGGCCAGCGCCTCCGTCATCATCGCCATTGTCTTTATACCCATCTATTTGATCCTCGCCCTCTTCTCGCTTGCACTCGCAGTTCGGGATGGCTTCAAGCGCGAGGCAGGCTTCTTGCCCCTCTTGATCTTCTCCGTGGTACGTTGCGTAGGCAACATTCTCATGGTCTACGTCTATTACGCCAAGTCAACGTCTTCAGGACTGTACATTGCCGCCTATCTCCTTCAAGGCCTTGGCTACAGCTTCTTGGTCGTCTCTGGTCTCAGCTTGCTCATACGACTAGTCTCTCCAGCCCACGAGTCCCACGAGTCCCACGGTGCCTCGGGCCTCCTTGGATCTGGCTTCGCTAGGCCTGTCCGACTTCTGCAAACAGCCAGCCTGGTCGGCCTAATCGTCCTCATTGTCGGCTACACACAATCTCCGCTGTTCGACAATCTTTCGGCCTCTGAAATGGCAGGCACGAGCTCAGCAGGAGGGTACAGCACCGAGGTCAAAGCAGGAGACGTCATCTTCATCGTCGTGACGGTTGGTTTCATCCTCCTCAACCTGGTTCAGATGTTCTCGCTCGGAGAAGGCAAAAGCATCAAGCTCTCTTGCGTGCTCCTCTTGGCATCGGCCTTTATGTTGGCGAGTGCCATCTACTCGACAATCACCGCCTTCTCGTCCAACCCATTGGGCGTAAATGTGTGGATCAAGCTCGTATTCCTTCAAATCTCTCAGGCCCTTGCCGCCTTCGTCCTACTCTTCTTCGGCTTGATCATGAGGAGAAACCCTCCAACAACTTCGGAGAGCGATAAGAATGCTCCTGCGCCCTATGCGGCATAGAAGGGGAAATCTGGCCCAAGGATGGTGAAGCAGGTGCAAGAATGGACGGTCCGGGACAGTGATCGACAGGACGCTTCTGCGCTCAAGGTGATTCGCCAGCGCTTCTCACATAGAGTACTACATCAGCTTGTGTTGCCATGTTTTGTAAATATCTCTTGTAAATATCTCCTTCAAGCGTGTGCAAGCGAAGCGTGGTGGACTGTGTGCGCGCGCGTCTGCCTGCCTTGGCCTCGTCCTGGCTTCCTTTCCGATGAGAGATCGGATAGACTAGGCCCCACTCACTCCCAAGTGCTACTGCCCGCTCCAGTCCTTCTCATCCATCACTCGTACTCGCAGTTCCATCCTCTACAGCAACTACCACGTTCCGCCCACCCATTCAACGCTAGACCTAATTCCTACTTGTCTCTCTCCGACGAATAGCATGTCAGAACGTGGAGGACGCGGCGGGTCCTCTCGAGGCGGACCGCGGGGAGGAGGCGGAGGTAGGGGAAACCACTCGAATGCTCGCGGAGGTAGCAGAGGAGGCGGCGGCGGTGGAGCAGGAGGCAGGGGAGGCGGAGCATCCGGTGGTGGACAACAGCAAGAGAGGAAGAAAGAGGTGATCCTCGACTTGGCCAAGTTCGTTGATAAGAAGATCCGAGTCAAGTTCCAGGGTGGAAGGGAAGGTGAGTGCAGGCGCTGTGGTGGTAGAGCGCTCCGACTCCAGCTGGGAGCGTTGCGCCCTTCTCTTCCCATCTCGCTTACATGCGCTATCTTCGCTGTTCCTTTGAAATGCAGTGCAAGGCGTACTGAAGGGCTACGACCAGCTGATGAACCTGGTCATGGACGAGGTGACAGAGTATCTCCCCTCGGACGGGTCAGGCTCTGAGCAAAAGACGAGGCAACTGGGTTTGGCTGTGTTGAGAGGGACGGCAGTGACTATCATCAACCCAGCTGATGGGTTTGAGCAGATCGCAAAGTAAGTACTCAGACGCGGAGCGGAAAGGGGAGGTTTGGCATACTAAAAGGATGCGAGCTGACGATGATCTCCTTTCTTCGTCCTTGCCGTTGCAGTCCATTCGTCAGCGCAGAGTGATCGGGGCATTGTCAGTGGAGCAAAAGAGGGTCGTCACAGATACACAATACATCAGCCATTACAGGTCAGAAATTGGTCACCATCAGATGAGCTCGGGTAACTCCTCCGTTGCCAAAGAGCGACGAGAGTAACAATGACAGGGTTAATAAGCGCAGAAGGCTCACACAGGCAGGCTGTCCGATGATAGGGATCGAAGCAACGCACTGGCTAGTGCGGCCTCAGTTCTCGGGTATCCGGCTGGTGAGGTTGGAGAAGCAGGGCCATTGGTCAGGGACTCTGTTCTCAGACGCCTGCGACTGACCTTGCATACCTAATACTCACTACACAGTGATCTCCTGCTGCTTGAAGTACCTACGGTTCTCCTCATCGATGAGAACCAGGTTGAGATAGTAGCGAGTCGAGAATCTCTTGGCCACATCTCTGAAGGTCGGAGTGAGGTCAAAGCCACCTAGGAACAGCCGGATAGGAATAGTCTCGCCTGGGGGTGATGCGGTACAGATGTCAGGAGAGGCTGACACAGGCACCATTGACTACTTCTCGACTCACCTCTGACGGGAGCTCCGTCCATGATCTCGAACTTCGTAATCGTTTCGCTTTCGTTGTACTGATTGGGCGCTGAGAGGAGCGAAGGCAGACGAGGACGATGGCTTCAGTCGCAGGTACCGAGGAGAGATGTCCTCATTGCTCTGTTCTGCTGGTCTTCAGCGCTACTCACGGCTGCCCGTCGTCTCTCTCCTGATGATGCTAAGCTCCATATGCTTGACCTTGATTCTGACCAGCAGAAAGTAGATTTTACCGACGATGACATCCTTGAGATGATATCTGATGGCAAGCATGTATGACATAGGCAGTATTAGTAGCAGTTCGCATGCGATCAAGGGGTCAAACTTAGCGAGCTGCTGCAACTCACTTGCTTTTGTTGTACTCGAACTCGATGTGCAGACAGTCCTCGATCCCCACTTCCATCTTGATTGCATTGTTCGCCTCTGGTGCGATCCTGTAACTTTGTACAAAGAGCTCCTTTTCCTTTAGAATATCACCTCCGCTCGCCATTCTCCGATTCAACGTCACCCTGAGGAAGTACCGTAGGCGTACATTGATACCATGGTAGGACTCGTACGGCTTCTCGACGTTTGGGAAGGAGAAGGGGATGACGAGGGAGGGAGCGTTGGAAGGTGTTGCTGGTGCCAGGGAGCGAGAGAGGGAGAGGAAGGGGTGATGGTGATTGCGGTCGTAGAAGAGCTCTGTGAGGGAGACGTGAGCAAGTCAGCAGGGTGAGCAACAGCAGCTCACCGTAGAAGAATGTACAGTCTCAGAGCCTACTCACCGATGCTGCCGACAAACTCGATCCTGAGTCCATCGTGAGCCCACTTCTTGCCGTCCCTACTCCTAATCACCACTTCACCCTGTACCGTCTCACCATCAAAGTAGACTGTGCACATTTCCCTCCTGTCCTTGTCCACCTTGACTTCAATCTGCTTCCTACTCTGATCTGCTGGCACCGTGCCATCTAGAAGGCGGACGTCTACATCTAGGGACGAGGTGAGCAGTGGGGAGAGCCAGGAGGCCATCTCGTGAAGAGGCGGGGATACGCCCCAAGGCAAGGCCGAGGTGGAGAGACGCGGTCAGAGGCAATGCTCAGCGGCAAGGAGAGGAGTATGGGAGGACTAGTGGCGGTGGCGATGGTGATTAAATGACAATGCTGTTGTACGAAGAGCTGGAAGAAGTGGCAGGAGTGATGGTAGCCTGCGTCAGTGAGGATGGCGGCTCCCGACCAACACCTTCATGGGCCGGTGCGCGCCTGGTGGCCCCCCCGCCCTCCACCGCACAGCCACCACCGCCTGGGAAGAGCGCCCTGACGCGAATGGTATGCCAATTGTAGGCGGAGAGTTGCAATTTGAGTGATGACGATGACTGAGATGCACCATCATTAATGTTCTGCTGTTCACCAGGCTCTCGCTTTCTTACCTCGTACCTCGTCGTCTCCGCAAGGCAGACTGCTACCTGACCTGCCTCTGGGGGAGGACGAGGAATCTTGTGTCCAGTTCCGTGTGCGGACACGCGAGGTGCAACACATCCGTGCATCATTCCCTGTGTCATTTCTTCTTGCACCCGCCAAACACCTCGACGATACTGTCGCCCCCCACGCCACCTTCACCACCCATTCTTGTCCGTTGACACCTCGAGAGATGGGGGACGATGTGGAGCGTATGCAAGCAGCCTCTGGCCCTTCGACGCAATACTCGCCCTCCTATCATCTCGCTGCCCTGGCCTCCGCTGCTGCAGACTCACGCGTTGGCCACGACAATGATGGCGACGATGACGATGACGATGAGCTGCTCAATCACATCGTTGGAGGCTCTTCCTCCGAGTCGACTGTCTTGAGGCACCTGAGGTCTAATTTGGCACGACCAACAGACTTGTACGATGAGGCTAGGCCTGGCAGAACAGTCACACAGGAAGCAGAGGGGCCTACCGAGCTGGCTTGGCAGGGCAAGAGATTGGTATGGAGTAGAGGCTGCCAGGTCATCAGAAGCTACTCTTACCCAGAAGCCGTGGTACACGCCTGCTGGTCATGGCTTGACAAGTACGGACCGAGATTGCCTTCGACCTCGACTTCACGCTCAGGAATCAGCAATCCTCGCAGGCGGCAGAGCTCCGGCGACTCTCACGAGCTCTTCTCTCCTTCGCAGCGGGCCTTTGTCGCAGAGCTCAACGGCGGAGCCGCAGAAGAAGCTCGTCGCTTCCCTCCTCGACAGCAAGGCATCGAACGTGCGCTGATTGCCGTCTTGCAGACGGCAATCATCGTATACTATCCGCGCCTGGGCGAAGAATACAGCATACCAAAAGGCTTCAAGCTACAGCGGGCTCTCCCTACCTCTCTGGGAGTTCTACTTCAGCGTACAGCGGGGGAAGAAGACTGGAGACGTTGGCGCAATCCAGATGCATCGGTGAGCAGCGATCGGCGCGAAGCTCGTCTGCCAACGCTCTTTTATCTTGAGCACCACTTCTCAGAAGTGATACCCATCGCACTGGTTGAGAAGCTCTTGTGGCCCAAGGACGGCTCAGCGGCAGCCTACGGCGTAGCTCAGGACTACCGCAATGTAGATGAGCACATCATCTTTGCCTCGTCTTCCCTGTCCAGAAGCTCGCCGACGAAGCAACAGTATTCGATCGTCGTTACTTCCGACGTCAGGACGAGCAAGTTGCGATTATACGCTTTCTCGGCCGCGTGTGAGGGATGGAAAGGTCCACTTCCGTCCAACTTGACTGCTGAGCAATCTGAGCAAGGCAAGACTGAAGAGACCGACCGCGAAGTGCGTCGCCCGACGAGCAATGGAAGGCCTTCTATGTTGCGACATGATAGCTGGACTGCGAGAGGCCCATCAGCGGCCTTGCCACGTCGCTCCACAAGACTCTCTAGCGCATCCACGCCTGCACGAGAGCAGTTGTCTACTCGGCAGACTCCAATGACTCGCCGCAGGAGCTCCAAATTCCCTTCTGCCGCCGACAAGAGCAATCTCAACATGGCTCGAATTGATGAATCGTTCACCGGTCCTGCTTATGCCATCAGTGCGGCAGCCGGTCCTTTGGCATCCGTACCAGCTCAATCAGAACGAATAGACGATGCAGCTGAAGCTGAGGAGATGGGCCAAATTGTGGAAGGGCTGGCAGGGAGAAGCAGTAAAGGCTCTGCAGCGACTGCAGAGAACAGCAGAGCTGGCGAAAGTCGCCGGATCTCGGGCAGTGTCGTCAAACAGAAGCGCAACAGCCAGATGGCCCGCACGCCATACGTTCCACGGACTCACACACGCGTCACAAGTGCCTCGTTGTCTAGACGAAGATCATCGAAAAGCGCACCTCTGGAAGGCGATGTCGACCATCAGTCTATGTACGGACTCGCTAGTGCAAAGTCTCTGGTACCCGACGACTGCGAGATGGGACATCTTCGAGAGGGCAAGGCGTACCCCTTCGACGATGAAGCTGGCCTGGACGACCCCTTCGCCAGAAGACCAGCTTTGCAACTTCTTACAGTCATCGCCGATGTGTTCATGACCCACCCTTCGGATGCCAACGTGTTCATCACATCTTCTCGAGACGACACCTCTACCCTGCTCTATATAAGCACTCCGAAGCAGCTGCTATGTAGGAAAGTCGATTTCATAGCTTCAGGCGATGTCTCGTACCTTGTATGCTCGGAACCTGCCAACCCAGTATCGGACCCATCCCTGAGAGCGGTTTCGATCGCTGCTACTGGGTCTCAGCAGAAAGACACGCTGATACTAGACGGCGAAGGTCATCTTCAGCTTCAAGTCGGCTCGAGTAACAGTCTCCAGACGATACCGCTTCACTTTGACGAGCGAACTCGTCGGATCATGCACTGGGTCTCCGAACAATCTGCTCCACGAACTCAGTTGCTTCACCTATTCCGCGACCCATCACGAAGCGACGTAGTCTGTCTTGTCTGCGAAGGCGGTCAGACTTTCGAAGCTCACCTTGACTTCGCTCCCGCCGATCCCACTGTTCGAGCTGTACTGACCGCTCTCGAAATTGCAGTAGGGAATGGCCTTCTCTACCGTCGAGCATGGATCTGCCGCATGCATGGCGCCACGCAGCTGTCAGAGTGGGATGCCCTTACAGAGCTGTTTTTACAGACTGATCTGGACAACTTGGGTCTAGCAGGACAAAAGGCGGCAGCGTGGACGAGTCTACTGGCTGAAGAGGGTGACGCCTGTATCGCCCTCCCTCCAACAGCTTCAGGTGCCCGCACAGTTCGTTCGAGATGCAACGTCTCGCCTAGTCATACTTCTGCGGTCTTGTCAACTCTCAACGCTGTGGCACAAGACCTACGTCTCGACGTTGCCTTGGCCCCTACCTCCAGTACCCAGCTGGGCACCCTGATCTTCCATCTGGCTGTCTGCCACGGAGCCACCTTACTGGCAGATTATTGGGGAAGCTTTATTCCACCTGCTCACCTTGAAAGGTCAGGTCATGAGCTCAATTTGACCATCACACCCTCATTCCAACCGAAAGATGTCTTGGAACAGACCTTGATGGCCGTCTGTGGGCGCTTCGCGAACAAACAAGCTTTCCTGCAGTCGTTCTGCCCGGACGGCAGCCACCTGTCCTCTGCTCGCTTCCTGCCGCGTATCGCCAAGCTCTTTGATACACTGACAGAGAGAGCTTTGAGCTCGCATGACGGGGTAGGTACCGCTCGTTGGCTCACCCACATCTCTATGGGACTGAGTGCTTTACCATGGTGCCTCACCGCCGTACTTCGTCACAAGCTTCGCACGATCTGCCAAGACCCGCCAACAGGCCTCTCGCCGGCAGCATATCGCCTCATGGGTCGACAGGACCTCGCCAATTTGAGCTCAGATCCCGGACATGAGCAGCACGCCTATTATGCAGCCGAAAGCCTTAGATCACTTCCAACCACTGTCAAGCTCGATCCTCTTTCTGCGATGATCTTTCCGGCCGACAGGAGGCTCCAGGACGTTGCAGAGATGCTCGTCACCAGCCGGCCGACGGTCATCCGAGCACCCGTGCGTGCGGACAAGACTGACGCAGAGAATCGAGAAAGTGGTATCATCCGACTTTCCAACGTTGCGGAACGCATCAAAGCGACGCAAATCGGTCGCGGCATGTTCTTGCTGCTCACAAAGCGCTTTGATGCTACACAGAAGTGGTTCACCCCTCGCATCAACCTGCGCATTCACCTGAAACCAGCCCAGTCCTATGGATTTGCCGAGCCTCGCAATGATTCGGTAGAGCTCGAGTGGCCCGACTTCCACAATGGGGCTGCATCGGCTCTGGAGATGGTCGTCGATCAAGGTAAAGTGGATTCGACTTGGTACTTTTCTCAGAGTCAGGGAGAGAGGAGCGCTCGGCATGCTGGGCTCCTGCTCGGCTTGGGACTGGCAGGAAGATTTGCAACCATCGGACAGGTTCACACATACCGCTACCTAGGCGATCGACACAATCTGACGTCTATTGGACTCTTACTCGGGCTATCAGCGACTTTTGTTGCGCAGGGCGATCCGGACGTCAGAGCCTTGCTGGCCTGCCACGTCAAAGCGTTCCTCCCACCACAATCCGCCAACTTGGCGCATTCGACGCTAGTCCAGTCCGCCGCTCTCCTCGGTACAGGGCTCCTCTTCCTAGGAGCGGACGTGAGCCACATCGCGGAGGCTCTGTGCGATCAGATCGGCGCTCAGGTCATTGAGACGACGGACGCTCAGACCTTTTGTCGGGAGGCGTATTCCCTCTCTGCAGCTCTCGGTCTGGGACTTGTCATGCTCGGACGTGGGCGCAGGCAAGGTATGAAGGCTGCAAGGGACCGCCGCATTCTGTCCAAGTTGGAACGACTTATTGTGGGGCCAGTGGAAGAGCTATTCGGGGAGACCCTGGGAGATCCTACTTGGCGCGTCGATCTAAGAATTACTGCATCCCCTGCTGCTATCGCCTATGCGCTGCTCTTCCTCAGGAGCAATGACGAAGTCGCAGCCAGCAAGATACCGCTGCCGTCCAGCCCTGCAGAGCTCGACAAGCATCGCCCAGACGTGCTACTCATCCATTCGCTCGCTCGCAATCTGATCATGTGGAACACTATGACGCCATCTCAAGACTGGTTGCACTCAGTAGTGCCCCAATTCCTCCGAGGAACGTCGAAGCAGACGAAGCCGTCGTGGTACACTCTTGCTCTCATCAACATTGAGAGCGGTGCACTCTTTGCTCTCAGTCTGAAGTATGCAGGCTCGGCAGACTCAGCCACAAAGAAGCTCCTTCTCGAGAAGTATCACGAATGGACCCGTATCGCCAAAAGTCTTGCCAAGTCCGACTACGAGGACCGCATTCTACAGGCGGCAGCTCAAGCTTCTGCAGCCGTTGCTGCGACTGGTCTGTCCATCGTCTTGGCCGGCACAGGTGACATTGATTTGTTGAAGCTACTCCGCTTCAATCATGGCTTCTCCACAGCACACGAGCCTTATGGTCATCATATGGCAACTCACATGGCCTTGGGTGTGCTATTCCTCGGCGGTGGACGTTTCACCTTCGGCAATTCAGATGCTGCCGTTGCTGCTCTACTGATCGCCTTCTACCCGCGCATGCCGACCAAAGCTACAGACAACCGTGCACACCTGCAGGCGTATCGGCACATGTGGATGTTAGCTGTCGAGCCGAGGCTGGTGACAACACGAGAGGTGGACTCGGCCGAGGTTGCGCAGGTGCCGATTACCATCACAAGGAAAGACGGCTCGACGTACCAAGCCACGACCCCGCACCAGCTTCCTCACCTCGATCGCATCAAAGCCATCTCTGTCAATTCGGACAGATACTGGAGCTCTCAAATCCTTCTCGACAAAGCCTCAGATCAGTCTGCGATCTTGAAGAAAGCTAGCAGCTTCTCCGTCAAGAGAAAGGCGGGGCATTTGAGCCATGCAGTCGACCCTCAGGGCCAGCGTAGCATCATGAATGCCTCTCTAGCGAAAGAGTCCGATCAGGTCGGTGTGGAAGTGGCGGGGGTATTCACTTCGCCATCAAATGTGCTGTCGCAGATGGCAGAGGGCTCGGCCATCAGTCGCGAGCTCGCGAGGCTGCTTCGACTTCTACCGCACCAGCAGGACGCGAAGGGGCTGTCCAAGTATCTCCCAGAGGCTCTGGTGGCCTGTCTGCAGCGGGGCCATCAGAACGATTTGCCGCTGTACCTCTCGTTGTATCAGTGCTATAGTGCGACCAACCTCAGAGACGTCCGACCTACGGACTTGCAAGACTGCCTCTGGCTAGCTCGCTTTGCTTCACAAGCGGTCTCCACAAACGCTGCACAGGCAGACGACACGGGCAACATCTTGCCCAAGTCTCTGCTCTTGACTGCTCGCCAAAGTCTGCAGAGGCTCGCGCGTGCCAGCGTGGTGCAAGGCGAAGTCCAGGCTAGTCTGATCAGCTACTTGTGCAGTGCTGAGGACGTCTCGCTGTACGACATCTGCTCGAAGGACCTAGCGCTGCTGCATGAAGTGCACAACGCCCTGTGCATCCTGTCCCCTCTGTCTCTGGGAAATCTGCGAGAGCTGGTCAGGCTCATGCGCGCTCTGTTTGCCTCGCTCGTCCAACGCGGTCAGGGTCTGTCAGAGTCGGCCGGCGGCGGTAGTGACGATATGGACGCTGCTTTCGAGGTGGTAAAGTCCGTTGGACAAAGCGCGGTCAGCGAGATGCTGCAGAAGAGGTATGGGAGCTGGGTGAAAGACGCAGAGTGGGCAGAGGTGGACGAGGTGCTGTTGAGGCTGGTGGTCTTGACCTGAACAAAGGAATTGCCCAAGGTGAGGGGGTGTCAGGGGCAGATGTTCAGAGCAATGTCCCCGACGGGGCGATGTGGTACAACAAATGACATTCCGGAGCGGTGACAGGGAGAGACGACTATGATACAAATGCAAGTATTGCCAATGCTAGGAAACCGAGACCAATGAGTGAAGCGGGTGCTACAAGGTGCTCTTCTGGCGCACTGTTGGCGTAGATGGCAGCTGACGAATGGGTCGCCGCCGACGATGAAGAAGAGGGAGACGACGTAGAGGTATCCTGAGCGCGTTCCTGGACCTCATAAGAATTGTACGTTTCGCCCGCAGGCGTGAGACTGCCATTGAGGTAGATCAAGTCTGCCTGCGTGGCAGTGTTCTGCGCTACCCTCGAGATCATCGAGTATCTCGCGATTTCCTCGGTCGTCTTATTGTTGAAGTAGTCGATCATATACTCGACGAAGGGCGCGCCGCTCTCTTCAGGCGTGTAGGTGTTGAATTCGGTCACCCAGACGGGCGTGTGGCCAAGCTCGAGGAAATTGTCAATGAGCGCCGAGACTCCCCAACGGTTCGAGGCGTAGGGGTGGAAGGCGTAGGCATCAAAGATGCAACCGTCGCAAGCGGCTAGGAAGTCTGCTAGCCAGCTAGGGCCCTGCCCCGCAGCGCCTGAGCTGGACACGGCTGGAGCGACGAGTTTGAGGCTGTCAGAGCGCAGGGGTGCAATGTGAGTCTTCCAGAGCTGGGCAGCGTACGTGGCATTGATGTTGCTTCCGCCCACGTCGGTGCTCATGTCTGGCTCGTTGAAGCCCATGAGCCAGGAGGCGTCCTTGACCGTCTGGTAGGAGGTGAGGTATTGCAGGTCTGCCTCGGTACGCACCATGGGCACGAACTCCATGGAGCCGATGGGTCCACCCGTGGGCTCGTAGACTGGGCGTGCGTAAAAGTGGGGAAAAAGAGGGGCCCGCAGAGAAGACAAGAAATCAGTACAATAGGTCATGTTCTCTTCTGGCAGTGCCTCAGTATTCCACTCACGCTCCCAATTGTACACCCACGACGAGCCATCAAAGGTCAATGCTGACGTGTTGGAGAACCAGGGCCAAGCAATCCCGCGTGCAGGTTCCGCGCTCGCTGCAGATACTGTGCCAGCCATCAGAATCGATACAGCCAAAAGGGAACTAGCAGCCGTGCGCGCTGTGAGCGAGAGAGTAGCGCGAGCCCGAGACGACGACGACGGCGACGATGAGAAAGGCATCTCGGAGGAGGTGGAAGGAGAAGCAGGGAGTAGAGCAGGGTCCTGGCAGATGGTAGATGAAGAGTGGCGGACAGACAGACAGATCGAGAGACTTCTGACCGCCCAGACCTCTCGTTGCTCCCCTCTTATAGGACAGCAAGAATGGGACACGGACACGGTGAATACCGTCAGCTTCAGGCCGGCCAAAGGGTGCTGTCTTCTGAAAAGGTAAGAGAGAAGTGGCTCCACCTTTGAGCCCGCATCCTCACTGTCACCCTCACTCTGCCCATCCGCTGTTACCTTGCATCCCTCTGTTTGTTTGTGAATGTGTACTTGTCCACCTTTATTCATCAGTCTCACCGAAGCACCGAAGCACCCAAGGAGCAAAAGCCGCGTGCTGTCAAGTGGCTTTGCTCCCTTGCAACCAATAATTAATTTACGCAACGCAGCACCCTCACGCGCCCCACGTCTTGGCTCTTGACTTGCGCCAGGATGGGTTGACATGCGGGGCGGGGCGCCCATTGAACTCACGCCCGCCGCACTCACGCCCACACTCTGTACCACACCACCGGGCCGCCGTGAGGGCCCAAGCTTTCGAGGGTTGGACTGCCAAGCCACGCTCACGACTCGCAAGCATTCGAGCAATGTAAAAGACAATGGGGAAGCAGATCCTCCGACGCCGACGCCTCATTATGGACGTCGTTCATTACTTCTATCCCTCTTCCGCGGCTGCCCCCTTCTCCCATCAACCACGCCATACGGACTTTGTGAGGATACCACTGCACGGGTACAGACTGACAGCTCGACTGCCGCTGCACGAGATGATGATGATGAGTGGGTCAAATTGGTATCGTCTATTGTACAGTGTGTGCTAGTCGTCGTCGGTCGCGCAGACAGACAGGGCTAGGCATGGGGTGCCCCTTCTCACAGCTCTTCTCTTAGCTCTGCCCTCTACGCAAAGTGCACGCCTCTCCGATGAAAAGCGGCCAAGAGTCGCAGCAGATCATCCACGTCCATCTGAGCCGCCCTCTTGTCCGAGTAGTCGGTATCCTCTGTCAAGACGATGTTCAGGATCGTTGCAATGGTCGTCTCCGGCGGGATCACCTCGCCCCGCTGACTCATTACCGTCTTCCAGTTACGGTCCATGAGCTCCTTGACTCCCCTCGCCTCGAAGCAGGCTCTAATCATCCTATTCCGTCTGCTGAAGACGATGCGGTTCAGTCCGTCGAACTCCTCGAATTCGACGTTTGGAGGTGGATTAAGTGGGACGATGCGCACCACCGAGGATTCCACTTGCGGTGGTGGGCGAAAGGAGTTCTTGGACACCTTCATGATGTGGTCCACCTTGGAGTAGAGCTGGACATTGGCGCTCAGCCTGCACCATAGGGCCGAGCCTGGCCTGGCTAGGAGACGTAGGGCGAATTCTCGTTGAAACATGAGGATGCAGGCTCGGGGTAGAGGCCGATGGGAGAGCAGCTTGAAGACGAGGGGCGACGAGATCTGGAATCAAGGCAGTCAAAAAGGGAGACAGATCAGCATCAGTCAACCACCACCCTACAGCGCTGCCAGACTTTGCTGCATCCACTGACCTGGTAGGGCGTGTTACTGATGCACACGTCAAAGTACGGCAAATCCACTTTGCAGAAGTCTCCTAGGACAATCTCCAGCTTCTTCCTCTCGCTAGTACCATTGACTCTCTTGTGTAGTTCAGCAGCCATGCGTGGATCCATTTCCACCACTGTCGTCTTCTTTGCCTTTTCTAGAATCCTGACTGTCAGGTTTCCTGTACCCGGTCCGACTTCCAGCACTACATCGGTAGCCTTGAGGGCTGCCTTGTCTACGATGTGCTGCGCGACCAGTGGGTTCTTGAGGATATGCTGACCGAATCGATCTGTGTTGAAAATGGGGTTTCCTGCGTTGCCAGTGGCGGCGGAAGAGGATGCGACTCCACTGGAGGTAGCACGTCCGTCCTTGGCACTGCTGCTGCCGTTGCGACCCGCAGTAGAGCCCGAAGAAGCTCCTCCTGGTCGAGCAGCAGCAGAATGGAGATGTATGAGCTTGTCGGATACTGCTCGAGGCATGGTGAGCGGGTGTGGTAGAGGGACAGAGGAGACGATGGATACCAAGCAAGGCAAGAAGCTCCCCTGCTTCCCCTCTACTTCCGTCCTGGCGTCAAAATTTGGCACCGCCAGGCAGAGGCGCGCCCCCCCGCACCAGACGACGTCCACGTCGGAGCCGCCGCGTGCCTTGGTCCAGAACGCTTGGGCCAGCAGCCAGGCGGGCGGGACACACACACACAGGAAGAAGGGCGCCAGGCAACCACCCTTGGACCTCGACGACATCCTTTGCAGCAGCAGTATCAGTCCATCTCACCGTTGGACCCAACCTCCCTCGCACCTCTCAGCATGGCTCGGCTACGTCTACCGCAGCTGCTGGGCATCGCCATCCTCGGCTGCCTCGCCCTCCTCACATCCACTTTCGCCCTGACAGAAGAGGCCGCGTTTTCCTTTGACGCCTACCTCCCCAGGCAGGGAACCCCCCTCGTGTCCCGCTTTCCCTCCCTTTCCATCAACCCTCGCTACCACCGCATCCTGTCCCACCTGTCGGGAGAGGTGGAGACCGGCAAGGCTCAGACTGCCCTCTTCTCCGTAAGCGATCGAGGCGTGGTAGCAGCTCGCAACCCGCGCAATGGTGCCCTCGTATGGAGGCAGCAGATCAGCGAAGAGGTGCAGGGCTTCTGGCTCGACGGTGAAGTGGCCATTGTCATCAGTGGCCAGGGTGGGGAAAAGGCGCAAGCATTCCACGCCCTCACCGGATGGCCATTGTGGACCAAGCAACTCCTCCCACCGGGCGCTGGCAGGCAGGTCAATGATGAGGTGGGAGGGCCCACGCAGCGGCACCACAGCCTCAAGGCGGCAGCTACGCAGCGCGAAATTCTCCCAGGCGTAGATACCGTATTTGTACCCATCCCTGAGAGCTCTTCCTGGGAACCAGTAGTGCTCAACAATGGCGACACGGTAAGGAAGATCGAATTCGACTCCGGAAAGGAGCTCTGGAAGTTCAGCAGGAGAGACAACGGAGAGGACAGGTGAGTGCAAAGTAGAGATGCTTTACAACTGAGAGGTCTCGTGATTTCCACTGACACCTCTTCTCCACCTGTTCTTCGCAGCGCTTCTTCCCCCTCCATTCGCATTCTGGCCACATCCAACCTCTACGTCCATGTGCTATCCCTCGTGCCCGGCAAGGACGCTACCTTCGGTCTGAAGCACCAGGTGTTGTCGGCCCATAGCGGTAGCCTCCTCTACCAAACAGATCTTCCCGACGTCTCCATCTCTCGGGAACGCGGAGCAGCCGATGTCATTGGGCTATCTCTCAACCCTCCCTTTGCGGCAACCGAAGGCAACACCTCCCCTCCCGAGCCCCACGTTGTCTGGCTGCAGACGGATGGCTCCGTTCGCTCTTTGCCTCTGGCTCTACCACCGCTGGAGAAGTCGGCCTCTTTCAAGCCCAAGAAGGTGTCCCCGCAAATTCTCCGCTCACGCTTGGATGAAGCTCCTTTCACCGAGCTACGCGACGTTGCCCTTCCTGATCGAGGGTTCGCCATTGCTATCCGCAAAGACTCAAAGGCGGAAGTCATTCGCCTGCGCCCAGGCGAGAAAGGTGGTAGCCGAACACTCACCAGCGCCTGGGAATTCGATGACGCCTCCCCGGACGCCATCTACGCTGGACACATCAATGTCCATACTAGCGCTGCTTACATCAACCGAGTCTTCTTCCAGAGAAGTCAACATCTCCTCAATTTCCACAACTACTGGACAGACGCATATGATGGCTCAGGTCAAGTCACTGGCTTCTCCTTCAGATGGGATCATGACAAGCATGGAGATGTCCTCGCCGCACCGTTCGAGGCGAACCAAGTTTCGTCCTACGCTCTCCTGACTCGAAGTGCCTTCGTCACCTCTAGTGGATCCTTCCAGATGATCCAAGAGGACCGTCACCAGTGGATCAACGAAGAAGGACTCATTGAGACCAGTCATGTGGCCTTTGTCGACCTGCCTCGACGCTCGCGCGCTTCTGGGTCAAATGTGACTTCGGATGACGCCTTGCGACTTCTGCAACGGGAGGGACCGATCGGTCGAATCGTTCGTCACGTCACAGCTCTCGCAGACTTTCCCTCGGCTGTCATGGCCACACTGGAAGGCATCGTGTCTACCGCAACTTCACGTGGTGGTATCGCTGCCGGCCAAGCCGCTTCTCGCGCGTACGACGATCTACCTCTGCCGCCTCTCATCGCCGGTGAGCCTGCTCACGAGATTAGGCCAGCTGCCAAGAAGGCAGGATCTCAGCGTCATCGTGAAATGAAGAAAGAGAGAACCAAAGGGGGCAAGAAGACCAAGACGACTGTGCCCGAGGAAGAAGAGGCGCCAGCAATCGACTCGGTCGCTCCTCGTACCTTGAACAGCACGACGGTCGCGCCATACTACTCTGATAAGTGGGGTGTGAGGCAGCTCATGATCTCTGCTACTGCCAGGGGCAAGCTCTATGCTCAGGATACGGGCATGAAGGTGCAGTACGTCTGGGAATCATCCCTAGTTGGATTTGGCCAAGGCGAGGGCGACGCAAGCCCTGTCGTCGACGTCAAGTACATGGATGTCGTTCGTGAGGCCCAGGCGGGCCCAGGCGGATCGCATCAAGACCCTCTGATGTACATTGTCGCCGAGGTGACTGAGCCCGGAGCCCCCAAGGCAACTGTGGTATGGGAGCTGAATCCCATCACGGGAGAGTTCGTCGACGGTGCTATGACTGGCAAGCCGCTAACCCTTGGCGGTGTCGCAGAAGTGAGGAAGCTGCCGGGACGGAGCGTTCTAGTGGTCTTCACTTCGGACAAGCGCGTACTCTTCTGGCCCCGCACTGCAGACGCTACTCAATCCGTTGCATCTGAGAAGGCTTTCCGCTTCACCGAGGTGAGCAATGACAAGAAGAGCTTGATTGGGTACACGACGACGCCTGCGAGTACCTCGAAGCTTGTCGAGTCTTGGTCATTCTCTCTCCCGGCAGGAGAGAAGATCATCTCGACGCATCAAAACTCTGCTTTGACCGGTGCACCGGTTGCTTCGCTGGGCCGATCCATCAACGATTGGTTCCTCTCCAAGTTGCCCAAGCTCCTCGACCCCGACGTGATCGTCGTCGTGGCCCACTCGGATATGGAGAAGAAGCTCACCGTGCACCTGGTTGATCAGATTACGGGTAACGTCCTGTCGTCACTCTCTGCTCCCGATGCCGGCCAGATCGACATCAGCCAAGGCGCGCACGTGGCCTACGTCGAGAATTGGCTCACCCTCGGATACACGGTGCGCAATGCGGAGGAAGGCATTGGCAGTCGCCTCTTCAGCATCGAGTACTACGACTTTGAGGCGGACCTGGATCGCTCTCTCTCCAACTGGTTCTTGAAGTCACTCACGCGTCGTGCTGACATCAACTCAAAGGATGCAAAGGCTCGAGGAAAGGCGACGACGACGAGGTCGAAGCAGGTGCGGACCTTTTCGAAGATTTTCAGTGGACCTTCGGACTGGGAAGGCATTAAGAGCTTGGGCTTCACAGAGACGCTGTACAATGCAGCCGATCGAGCCCTGCTGGTTCTGAGCGGAAATGGTGAGGTGTATGCCTTGACTAGGAAGCTCCTGGATCCTAGGAGACCCTACCCCAAGGGTTCTCCCGCCCTGGCTGGAGGCAAGCAGGACAGAACGCAAGCGGACAGCCTGCTCCCGCCCTATGATCCTCTACTGCTCTTTGACGAGAAGCGCACCCTCACCCATGGCATCAGCCTCTTTTCTCCTCCCTTTCCCCACCCATCACCACCACCCAAGCTCATCTCCCGTCGTACCAAGCTCGAGTCTACCACCCTGGTGGCACTGGTGGGCTCGACGGACTTCTTCTTGACCAAGTTGAGCACGGCGGGAATGGACTTTGATCGACTTAGTCCGACTTTCAACAAGATGCAGCTGGTGGGGACGACTGGCATCCTGGCATTGGGGATCCTGGTCAGTAGACCGTTGCTGAAAGGCAAGGCGCTGCGTGCGAGATGGATCTGAGCGGGGGTCGTGGAAGAGAATTTGCCAAAATGGGGATCGTCTGGGGAGTGCGGAAAGATGAGAAGTGTGGATAGATAGATTGCAACACAATTGTGAAAATGCATCGAATGCTGATTAGAAGGAAGGGCCATGTACATCCAGTGACTATCGTAGCGTACCATTGACGTTTAAAGATGTAGCTGTTCTGCCTGTTATCATCGTCAACGACCTCGTTGCGGTGCTTGTGTCTGTACAATCACAAGCATTCCTTCCGTCCTTGCTTCAATTTTGTCTTGCATCGCACGGGCCAGGCAAGAGCGGTGTACGCTCCCTTGACTTCTTCCTGTGCCTTTCTTCCCTTCCAACTCAACTCTCACCCTATACCATCTTTCGCTCTTCCATCGCCGCAGTGAGAGCGCCCTTCTGACCAGCTCTTCACCTTCGCCTGCGCTGCCGGGATGTTCAAGCGCCCGCCGCAGACCAAGCCCGCAACGCCCCTTCGATCCTCTACCCGGCGGCACCTCCTCTCCCACCTCCTCTCCCTCTACCCTGTCCTTCAGCACGCCCCACCCGAACTCCTCGCTCAACTCTTACCAGAGGGAACAAAACAGGGCAATGCCCTTACCTCTAATGGAGTCAAGGTGCTGATCTACTCGGAACCGGATGTAGGGAATAAGAGTGGAAGGGCACTTTGGTTTGAGGCGGGGAGTGAGAATGGAGCGTGGATGAATGCCGGAAAGAAGAGTGGTAGTGGACCTAGCAAGAATGGCAAAACAGCAGCGACAGCAGCAGTAGCAGCTCCTCTCTACGAGGTGCTCCCTACAATGTATACTCTCTGGCTCGTTCCCAACCTCCTCCCCGTCCTCCCCACCTGGGAGCAAGTCATCAACCCAGCCCTCCTAGGCGGATCCGCACTCATGGTTCCCGGGCTAATCCCACCGCCCAATACCTACGCTACTTCTTCTGCCCACCCTGACCTTCCGCGAAAGAATGCACTAGTGTCTATTGTTGCCCATCCGGGGAACGTGCCACAGGTGCTGGCTAGAATGGAGATGGAGATGGTCGAGGTGATTAGGTTGAGGGAACAGGGAGGGAAGGGAAAGGCGGCAGTGGTGCTTCATGCTTACAAGGATGGACTTTGGAGTTTGGGGAGGGAGGAGGAGGGTATGGGAACACTACCGGAGAGTGTGCAGCTGCTGGAAGCTACACAGGACAATGGCAATGGAGATGAGCAGGGAGAAGAGACGCTCATCGGAGCCATGACGGCCGCGAATCTCAACGATCAGGACGGAGTCCCTCGAGACGACAACGGCACCAGCGATCAAGGCGTCTCAGCATCTACGGTCCCAAGCCCCGACACTTTCACTACCTCCGAAATCGACGCCATCCTTTACCTCGCCTTCCTCTCGGCGATTCAAGACGCTGCTGCCTCCTCACAGGACTCCACCCTCCTCCCCATGTCCGCCTCGGCCTTTTACTCCTCGCACGTCCTGCCCCATCGACCCAGCCACTGGCCTCCCCGTCCAACCAAGGGAAAGCGGGCAAAGAGGAACAAGACGACCAAGGGACCGCCTGGATCTTTTGGAGGGAGCGGCAGCAGTAGCGTTCTTCCAGGTGCCGAAGAAGAGGAGCGACAGCTCAATACGGATCAAGTGGTAGTGGGGCGCAGCTCGGCGAAGAAATTTGGCAAGTGGCTGAAGATGATGGAGAAAGAGCGTGGTTTGATCAAGATGAAAGAGAGTAGAGGGGAGACGAGCATCGTCGAGCTTCTAGTGGGGCATCAGGACGTACAGGGCCTGACACCTTACCAGACGCTGGCGGAATGGCAGGCCATGCAGGGCGCATCAGGCGATGGTGACACTTCCGGCGGTACGGTTGGGGCTACCGCAGCGAGCGAAGCCTCCGCTGGCACTTCTTCTTCCACTCCTGGGACGTCTCTACACGTAGAGCACTTCTACACTCCCTCCTCGGCCGGTCGAGCCCTCTTTGAAGAGCTAGGGCTAGTCACTGCCACCGGAGGGGGAGCAGGAGCAGGAGCAGGCCGAGGACCACAAGACTTGCACACACCGGCTGTGGTGCGCAAGAGGTTCACAGAGTACATGAGTGCACACGTCTCCCCTCTGCCGAAGAACCAGGCAATGGTGCTGCCGGACGAGACGCTTTGTGGGCATCTGGAGTTGAAGTCTGCCAGTGCAAGTCAGTCTGTCGCAGGCAAGGGAGCTGGCCCCCGCTCCCAGCCGCAGCCGCAGCCACGCAAGAGGGAGGAGCTACACCGTCTCTTCATCGAACAGTGCACCGTGTCGTGGCATCGTATCTCGCGCTTGACTCCAGCGAGTATAGAAGTCCTCTCCTCTTCTTCCTCCCCTTCTTTTGGCTCAGACGTCTCCACCTCGAGCCTGAGACTCGCATCTGGGGAGCACCTAGGCAAGGTAGTCAAGGGTGCTCCACCCCAATTCGCACCTACTTCTTCTTCTTCTACCACCCCCTCCAAAGGCGGAGGAGTCATAACAATCAAGATTCGCAAACGTCAAGGCAACAAGGTCGTCTCCCTCCTGAGCGGGCTCGAAACCGCCTACATACATCCAGAGCGCTTTGCAGGAGAGGTGATGCGTCAATTTGGAACGAGCACTAGTGTCGGTCCACTGGTGGGCGCGCCGAGCGGGAGCGCTAGAGCCGGAGTCGGAGCTGGAGCTGGAGGGGGAGGGGGAGGGGGTTTGAAGGAAGTACTCGTGCAGGGTGATTTGAGAAAGGGACTGCTGGAGAAGTTGGAGAGGGAGAATGGAGTGCCGAGGGGATTGGTGATGATTGATGAGAAGGGCAAGTAGCTGGGAGAAGGGGGTGCGGGTGAAGAGCGGGAGGGGTGGAGGTGGAGAAGAAGAAAGAGGGGAAGTCGTGATACCACTTGCCGCTCAGAGCTCAAAATTGTGACATACCTCCCTTTATTTCATTGGAATCGAAAAATCTCACATCGAAACGGATCACAATTGCTGGTGCTTTGCACTGCCTCCTCAGTCCTTGCGTCCAGCAATCACAAAGGGAGTCGAGCCTCTACCACTGCTCCCAGCAGGAGCGAACGGGAGGGATTTGCCACTGGTACCTCCTCCTTCGCCGAGCGCAACGACCTTGTGAGCCTTCTCACTGGCAGCAGCATCATCAGGGCTGGAGTGTGCATCGCCCGTCGGTCCTCGTAAAGCAGAGGAGGAAGTGTCGGCCATCTCTGGCAGGAGAGCGAGCGTGGGCTTCTTGCCCAGACTCATGAACCCAGTCACGCTGCCGGTCTCTGGTCGGCGCGGTACTGGGATCGCCTCCGGAGGTGCGCCATGCGTAGTTATGGGACGGCCAATTGAGCTGTCTTGATGGTGCACATCAATGTCCTGAGCCTGTGCAGATCCTTCGGGAGGTTCGCTGAGTAGCCTCTCGACGCGCTCTGTGTCAGAAACTTCACTCGCTGGGTGGCTCTGCGCTTCGTTTCGAGCTACAACACCAGCACTATGGACGACCTCGTCAAGTGCGTCGGATGAACAATTCTGAGCCGTGGGAGAGGAGCTGCGTATCTGGGGTTCAGCTGCTCCATCTTGGTCCTCGGACATGGCGTCGTCCTCGATGACATTGTCTTCTTCGAGGTGATCATGACCTGTCTCTGAAGTACGGTGGTGGCCGTCGTGATCGTCGTCGTCGTCATTCATGCGTTCGTCGCAGGTGCCATTGTTCACGTATACGTCGTTGGCCGTCCTTTCTTCGGCCTCTGGATGCTCCTCGACGCGGCCCCTGGGATGAGGATAGTTGGAGCCAGTGAAATCCTGATGGGTCGCATAGCTGTCCTTGACCTCACAGGGTGCCGTACCCAACGTCAGACCTTCGAGTCTGGCTCTGAGCAGCTCGCTAGTCTCGTTGACCTGGTGTGATTAGACATTGATATTTGTCAGTCAGCGATCGATATTCTGATTTCGAAGACAGCATCTTGCACTTACTGTCTGTACCGCATTTGCGATCATTGCGACAATATCGTTGAGCTGACAGAGCGGGGCGAGATGCATGTAAGGACCTTCTTGAGCGCTCTAATTACCTTGGGTTGTGCAATGTCTTCGTGAGTTCGACTCACCGCTCCATCCATCATACTGATCGTCTTCCTCAGTGCCAAGCACTCAGCAGCTACACGATCGCTCCGCAATACTCCCGCATCATCGTCCACCGAGAGCACTTTGCATCTAGCGCTGACGAGTGATAAAAGTTGAGGATACTGCCTCTCAAAAGCCTGCAGCTGCTCAAGCGATACTCCCTGCCCGTCAGGAAGCTTGTAGAGTTGACCGAGAGCCAGTGCATGCTGCTTTTCCTCTGGGACGAGGCGATTAAAGAGTCTATCGCGATGCATCGTGCTGCCTGGAGTTGTCAAAGGAATGAGGCCCGCCAGACTAGGGAGAGTAGCACCATTCTTCCATGCCTCGTACATCTTCGACTCCAGAGGTGACATGCTTCGACGTGCGGCATTCTCCCTGTGTTCGACGTCAAGTGTATGCGCAGTGGGTAGAGTTGAGGGGTGTCAGTGGCATATATGCAGTCACTCCGACTGCAGAGCCGTCTTGCACTCACGAGTCCAGCAAGCGAGTACCACTGTGCAGCAATCCTAGAGCAGCTGCGATGCTCTTGCCGCCCAAGACGAGCTCGGTGAAGCGACTGCAGAAAGTGCGCCAAGAGTGTACGGGAGATCAGCACCCAGTCGTTTGTCATTGCTGTAGCACCTGAAGGAGGGTTCGAACCTGCTCTTATGAACCAGATCAAACAGGCTCTCCTCTGGTCGAATTGCCCTGTCAATATCAACCAACTGTCAGACGTCAGCACTGTGCACCCCTTCATCAGTCGAGCTTACTCTATCGCACTGCAACCACGACTCACAAGCCCGACTCTTTCTCCGTCTCCCAGTCGATCTTCAGCCTGCCACCCTGCGAGACCTGCAAGAATGCGCAGCGGACGTGTGGATGAGTTCAAGGATTCATCAGTGCGCAAGGTAGATGAGCGCAGTCTCCTCCTTCGTCTGTCAGTCCACAAGTCACTCACCCCCAACACGGGGAAAAGTTCGAGCATACTTGTATCCTCGCTCCCGATGCCGAACTTGACTTGCCCTGCTCCGGTACTAGCCCCGTTTGAATGAGCGGTGAGTTGATGTTGAGGATGAGGATGAGGATGGTGGTGGGGACGTTCTCCATTCCCGTTGGCGTTGGCATTGCCATTGTCATTGCCAGAGTGAGAACGAGGGTGCGCGTGAGGATGGACGATAAGACTAGTATCTGCTGCATCTGGGTCGCTGCAATCTCCCGTGTTGGTAGGAGCACTCATCGCCTTCGTGGGCGCATTCATACTGGTCGTCGTAGCACAAGTGTCTCGCTGCTGCTGCTGCTCCCCATCGTGCTGACCATTGTCGGTGCTCCCAGTTCCAGTGCTCCCAGTCGCAATCGCAGTCGTCGTAGCAGCAGTCGTAGCGTCCATTCTGGGCAGCAAGCCTCTCCTCTCCTATACGTCGGTCGATGATCAATGGTCGAGTGAGTAATAGATGGAAGTCAGAGCATACAATCACCAAGCATGCTGATTCAAAGGGTGATAAATTTTTTCCCGGGAGCAAAAGCAAAAGCAAAAGCACAAGAACAAGCCGAAGATTGGCACAGGGCGGACGACGAACGACGGACGACGGACGACGGACGGGAAATCCAGGATGAATCAATAGATTAGAACAGACGCCCGTCGACGCAAGTGTCGGAGTCGGACGCGTCGTCGCTCCTGCATCGCAAGCCCCAGATCCTACTGCGCCTATTTCCACCCTTCCATGATACATTCAAATCGTCTACACTCCACGATCCACTAAAGAAACGCCTTGTCTGATATCACCGAACTCATAGATACGCTCAAACCACTTGTCCGTCATTCCATTCCAACTTTTTCCCTACCTGGCCCTCGTGGCGACAGCCTCGTAGGTGGCCAATGCAGCAACGAGTCCAGTGAGGAGGATCTGCACACCACCGTCAAGGGGAACCAAGCCGTAGCTCGTGTTCGCCCTGAGGCTTCCAATCAGTCCCACCTTTTGAGCTACAGGCAGACCAGCAGCAACGCCAAAGGACGTGGGGAGGTTACCGCCATTGACTCCACCTACGAGGAGGGAAGAGGAAGAGGTGAGGAAGGTGAGGAGGGCCAGACGGACATAGGCGAATGTGACGGGGGAAGGCTCGTGTCTCCTCTGGAAGGTGATGAGGTGGGCTGCAATAGCAGGGATGCCCACGGTCCAGACGGTCCAGAGGATGATGGGTTGCCAGAATTTAGTGACCTTGAAGAAGCCCAAGGGGTCAGGCAAGGTGAGGGACCAACGAGGAGTGTTGATGCCGTCGAGGGAGGCGTGCTTGATCAGATGCTCTGCCTTGGACTCGCCAAAGGAGTAGCTTCGAGTGGGGTAGATGTTGGCAAGGAGCACCAAGGCCTCGACTACCAGGAGGATACGGATGAGATTGTTGGAGTCGGAGAAGAATTCGCGGGTGGAGTTTAGGGCACGCACGGCCTTCTTCTCGGTGGCCTTGCTGATGGATCGGCTTCTGCGCACGACGGTCGAGGCAGCTCGAGAGGCCTCGTCGAGGGCGTGCTGTCCCTCGGCCTGTACCCCCTCGATGGTGTTGGAGAGGGAGAGGTCCTCGGTTGCCCTCTGAGCTCGGCGAATGGTAGAGGAGAGGTTGAGGTCCTCACCGGCCTTCTGTGCTCGAGCCTTGACTTGGGAGCCGAGGGCAGAGGCATCGGCCATGGCGTCGGAGGCAGCGCCATTTACGCGGCTGACGATGGTCTGTGTGTGCTTGAGCGGGGTGCGAGGTGTGTGGGGTGAGCCAGCATCAGAGTCGCTGGATCTGAACGCGAGGAGGTGGGGAGTGAGGGCGAGGGTGGTATTAGCGTGAGGGTCGTGGATGTGCTAGATGTGCATGCTGTATCTGCGTTGCTCACCCTTCGTAGGACTTTCCGGCCTTTCTCTCCCCACGGTCGAGGGAGTTGTAGAGTCCCTCGAATCTGCCATCATTCTCTAATTTGCTACGGTTGGCCACGAGGTGCTTCTTGATGTCGTCTTCGAGCTCATCTCGCTTGGCGTGAACGGAGATGCCTAGGGCGGCTGCGATTTCGGAGAGGTCCGTCTTGCGCTTCCCCTTGAGGGCGCCCTTGAAGGGGGTGGAGGTGGTGGACATTGCGGGTGGGTGGTGCAGAAAAGCGAGACGCGTCGAGGGAGGCGTGTGTGGGCTGTGCTTGAAGGGTGGTGTGGAGTACGTTGGTGTTAGGGCGCAGTGATGGTGTTTGACCCTTTTACTACGCGAGTGTATCGTATCCCCTGGTGAGTAGTGGATGGTAATACACGTTGTAATTGGTATGGATGGAGTGGATGGATGGATGGATGGATGCAAGATTCAGGCTGCATCGTCGACGGAAGCGGTCTTCTGTGCGTGTGTGCTTGCGTGGCTGGGGGAGTCTTTGCCCGTCTGCCTGGATTTCGCGTCGCCTCCTGTGTCTTGTGTTTCGCGCCCAGCAGCCCCGCACTGCAGGCAATCAGCCGAGGGGCGGAGCAGCAATGGCAAGGCCACACACGGCCTAGTCTCAGAAGAGATGTGGAGAATACGGAAACAGACGAGACAGGGAAAGTAGGACCACTGACCACAACCAGTTACACTGACCACCGCGTACTGACCACCGCCACCACCATCCACCTCTTCTCCTACCAGCCAGCACTCCACCACCCACCACCCACCATAACATGAGTCTGCGCTTCCACAAGACTGCTCCCCTCATCACACTCTAGTCAGTCTTTGAGCGAAATCCCGCTCAGCCATTCATTCATGCTCAGCCACTGACCACCTCCCACCTCCACCTTCCCACCACTCCCAGCCACAATCCCTCCTCCCCAACCTCCCTCCACGCCCTCGCCCTCCTACAGCGCGCCCAACGCAGCGGTGACAGCAGCAACAGCTCGGGCAGCAGCAGCAGTGCAGCCTACTCCAACTTCAACAACCCTACCGAATCATCCGGATCGGATTTCCTACGCGAAGCTTCCTCTTCTACCCATGGTCTCGAGCTGCAGCTAGAGGTCAAAGAGAGGGCAAAGGAGCCTCCTACACCTGGCCAAGTGCAGACCATACTGGGGTACCTCAAGCAGGGTGGTGAGGGAAGTGGAACTGGAAGTGGGGGAGAAGAGTCCGGGTTGGGATCGATACTGGGATTCGGGCTAGGGGAGGCAAAGGCAAAGTCAAGAGCACACATCTCGCGGGAAGACCCTGCTGCTAGTGCTACTCCTCGCCGTACCCCGTCCGCAACGGCTAGCTCAGACCCTACGCGCCTGTCACGGGGGGAGATGCTCACAAGAGTGCGAGCCTACCAGTCCAACACTGCCACTTCCGATGCTACCACATCCACTCCATCCCAACTCCAACCCGAACCGCCAATCGAGGACCCACCCTCTTCCCAGTCCCAGTGGTCTCAACTAGACGATTCTGCCCTCGTCTCCCGTCTGAAGGACTCGGACTTACTCCTCGTCGATTGGGATGGTGGGAGAGCAGTCACTGATTTGGCTGGAGTGGAGAGATTGGTGGGACAACTCAGGGAGGAACAGCAGGAGAGGGTGGATAGAGAGAGTGGGAACAGAGGAAGAGGAGCAGGAGGGGGAGGGTGTGTGGTCATGTGAGGAGGTAGGGGAGATACACACACTTGCTTGGAATAATTCAGCGATACCACTCACTCACTCACTCACTCACGTCCTATTCGTCTCGTCAAAGGGGTATATGATTCTCTCTCTCTCTGCAAAAGCAATCAAGCAGACAGCGAGCGATGAATGAATGAATGAATCATTGAAAGACAAGAATGCGCAATTGCAGCAGCAGCAAAAGCACAGGGTATACACCGCCTCAAATCCCCATCCCTATCCCCATCCCAAGAGGCAAAATCTCAGAAAGCCCACTCCCGCTCCCTCTCCCGCTCCCTCTCCCTCTCTTCTTCCCTCCTGCGATTAGACCGAGCAGAAGCAAGCAACGAGCGGGGAACTCTCAATTCTGCAGCCTCAAGCCTCTTCTCCCGCTGAGCAGAGGAGGAGGAGGAGGAGGAGGAGAGAAGACTAGCCGATTCTTCGCGCTCTACAGCCTGAGTCTCGCTGCCGCTGATACGAGTGTGTTGCGAGCGAGAAGTAGGTGTAGTCTGTCCTACCTCGTCCTCTTCGTCCTCCTCCTCCTCGTTCTCGTCCGTGTGTCCCTCAAGCTCAAGCTCAAGCTCAGCATCAGCATCAGCATCAGCATCACTCTCCACTAAATCCATCAATTCCGAGCCCGCATCACTGCCGTGTCCTTGACGTTGCCTCGGCCTGGACTGTGAGTAGGAAGGTTGCGAGACGCTAATACTGCGCGTGGCGAGACTTCTACTTTTCAGCAGAGAAGAAGAAGAGGAATATGAGCCTCGTAACCTCGCAGTGCCAGTGCCACTTGCATTTGCACTTGCACTTGCACTCCTGTCTACGCTAGCGCTAGCGCTAGTGCTAGTGCCGAGCTCGGTTCGTAGCTCATCCAGGGACATTGGTTCGTCCCTACTCTGGGTTGCGCTCTGGCTTGCGCTCTGCTGACTACTTATGGATGCTCCGCTCTCCCTTCTCATCTCCATCGGCATTGTCGCTCCAGTCAAGCTGCGCGGGTCATGCACAGAGTGTTTGCTTCGGGAAGAAGTGGAAGAAGCGGTCGTCAGGTTCGACGAGAGGGATGAGCTGGAGCCTCGACGAGCCACTGCAGCAGTCGCGGTAGCGCCTCCGATAGCGCTTCCGGTAGCTCTGCTTGTCTCTCTGATTTGCGACTTGCTGGCATCCTCTGTCTCAGACAGGTCTACAGAGTACTTTGAGGCTCGAGAAACTCGACTGGTACGACTGTGCGAGGTGTTCCCTACTGAGGAGGGACCCAGAACGCTCCGTGGTTTGTCTGTTGCTGTTCTGCTGGACAGTCTTCGAGCAGAGATTTCCTCAGACTGATGACTTTCACTTGCCTTGGTAGCAGCACGGCTACTGGAGATGGTGGTGCCAGCTCGCGATGTGGCTGCAGTCGGAGTCCTGCCATTGTCGGTGTCGCTGTCCCTGCTGGCAAGGGCGACCTGCTGCTGAGCCCAAGGGTCAATGGTCTTCCTGCCTCGAGCACGGAGCGGGTTGGGACCCTTTTCCAGAAGAACCTCGGCCGTGTGCGAGTCTTCTGCCTCTCGATCGACGGCCGCTAAGGTGTCCCTCGCATGCCTGGCCTTCAGAGCCTCCACAGCCGTGGCGGTGCCATCCTTGTGGCCCTCCCCCAGCACGTCCGGCTTCTTGACCTTCCTCTTGAGCATCTCCACCTCGAGCTGCTTCGTCTCAAGCGCAATCCCCATCTTCTCAAATTCAGCGTAGAGGACCTCATTCGCCTTCTGCAGCTTCAAGCGCTTCATGTCCGAATCGCTCGCTTCTCGCACCAGCACCTCGTTGCGAGTGCTGAGCGTCTTGACCTCGGCTTCGACGGCGACGAGGCGGCTGTGGATCGAGGATTTGGTCACGTTGGCGAGCTCGAGGGCTTCTTGTAGAGATGAGAGTTGCGCTTCGAGGGACGTTCGAGAGGAGGAAGCGGTGACCAAGGACGAGTCGAGCTGGTCGCGAGCGGCAGCCAGCTCCTGCTCGAGTTCGGCAATCCGTTCAGCCTGTTGGGAAGACTCCGTCTCGAGCTCGGCTATGCTCTGCTGGAGAACCTGCACCTCCTCTGCCAGATTCTTCCTCTCGACTTGTGCTTCTTGAAGGAGGAACTCAGCCCGCTCTCTCTCTTCCTCGCTCTGGGCAATCTCATGCTCGAAGCCTTCAGCGTCCTGCTGGCTCTGCCTCTCTGCAGCTGCCTTTTCGCCTTCTAGCCTCTTGACGGCTGTCTCCAGCGTAGCGACCTCCGTCCTGAGAGGTTGCACGACCTCTCCTTCGACTGCCTCTGCCGCCTCCTTCAAGCTGTCCAACTGACGTGCATTGGTAGCTCGCTCGCCATGGAATCGCCCAATGTCAACCTCGAGGTCATTGATGATCTGCAATCGCTGTCCAGCCAAGCGCTCTGCTTCTTCCTTCTGACCTCGAAGCTGAGCCAGATCGTCTGCCAGCACGGTATTCTTCTCACCGCTCGTGTTGCTGTGGGAGTCGCTGGCGTCCTGCAGAGCGCGCTCAAGTCTTGCAATTTCAGCCTCTAGCACTGCCACTTGCTTGCTGTCTCGCTCGCTCGAAACTCCCGACCGGTCCGCCTCAGCGCGGTCCAGCTGGTCTTGTAGAGCCTCCAGTGCTTCCTCGTGCTCCCTCTCCATCCTGTAGACCTTGACCTCGTGGTCCCGCTCGATGCTTTCTCGAGCCTGGCGCACCGCCTCTGCTAACGCCTTCTGATTGACGAGAGCCGTATCGAGGGCTTTGTTTTCGTTGTCAGAGTTGGGAGAAGCAGTGTTCGCACCGCTCATGGCTGCCGCAAGTCGAATCTCAAGGTCTCGCCTCTCCATAGCTCTCGCCTGGCGCTCCTTCTCCAATTCAGCCTTGAGCTCCTGCGCCTGCCCAGACTGGCCGGACTCCACCAGCTTCGCACCAGAAGTGCTGGCGGAGAAGCGCCTCTCAAGCTGCTGCTCAAGCTTCCTGACAAGACTCCTGAGCTCCTCGTCCCGCTGTCCGACCCACAGCCTCTCCTGCTCCCGCTCAGCTCTGACTCGCTCTCTTTCCTCCCTCAATCGATCGAGCTCTAGCTTGGTACTTGTCATCTCGTCCAGAAGAGCAACGCGGCTCTGTAGCTCATTGGACAGAAGTGAGCGGAGGCGTGTTGCTTCCGATTGGTCTTGCTCGAGGCGAACGGACAGAGTACCGAGCCGGATCGATTGGGCTGTAGTGAATTCCTCAAGGGCCGAGCGGACCGCGGAGAGGCGGAGGAGCGCGTCTGCTTCGCTCTGGTCGGTCTCATGATGTGACTGATCCGCTGGAGGAGTGGGAGCTGTTGCCGATGACGCATGCACTACTGCTATTGCTTTGCCATCCACCTCGTTGGCAGCCTGAGGTGTCTCAACCTTTTCAACCCCTGCCGCCAGCCTAGCCCCCGGCATAGGCGCAGGCGGGACAAGGTCCTGTAGCATCTGTGGCACGCCTTTCCTCTCCAGCTTCGCAGCAGCAGGCGAGCTCTCGTGGTCCCGGGCCGTCGAGAAGCTCATGTTGCCCGGTGAAGGACCTTGAGCGCTGGAAGGTGTCATTGGCCTTCTGGAGCGCAGAGAAGCGAAGCTGTCTGGAGACTGCGCATCGGGACTGCTTCGAAGAGATGCGTGAGAGTAGGAGATGGAACGCTCAATGGCTCCAGGCGTGCTGAACGAGGCCTCGTCAACGGTCTCTTCAGCATCAGCGTGGCTATCGTCTGTCGCGGCCTCTTTGACCCTCTCTTCGACCTTCGTCGTTGAAGGCTCCTCGGTATCTTCTTGCTCGTTACCAGGCGGTCGGGTCATGCCGACTTCATTTGTTGAGCGATCCACCCCATGCGTTGTTGAATGGCTCGTTGATGCGCCCTCTTCTGTGCTCTGATCAAGAGATGAAGCAATTTTCCTAGTCCTAGAAGCTGGCTTCGGCGTCTTCGTCTCGCTCCAAGAGGGCAGCGATCGATCCGGCGTTGCAGAACGTGGTGGAGACACTTTGGCAACCGAGGTTGATGCAGGACTCGTGTGTACCTCTTCCGGAGCCGGAGGAGACTCTACACTCGGTCGCTGCTGCTGCTGCTGCTGCTGCTGCTGCTGCTGCTGCTCTTCCTGTTCGACCTCTTGATAGCGCTTCAGGAACCTTGCGCCCTCGCTTCTCCAGAGCGACTCATTGATACTGAAGCTGCCGTCAGCGAGATTCGCTTGCTGCGCTTGCGAAGCATCTGAACCAGTACCTCCGGACACTTTCGACCCTGGAGACTGCTTTCCTGGTGGGAGGAGTCGTTGCGGTGTCTCTTCGGTGGTGGGCTTTGTGACCTCTATTGTCCTCTTCACGGGGCGTGGGGTAGGCTGGACATCTTCGCTCGCGCTGCTCTTCCTTCTCGGCGAAGGAAAGGCAGCCGTGAAGTCTACGTTTGGAAGGACAGCATCGAAGAGGACGCTCTGATTTGTCTGCTCGCTGCTCATATTGCCAATGGACATGGAGAGGGAAGCATCCCTTGCCATGGGGCGCGGCTTGAGCGTCGAGGGGCGGGGCGTCTGCATCGGATCGCGGAGGGAGGCGGTTACGGCAGGTCTGATCCTGCTAGCGCGGGACCTTGAACCGTAGGATGAGGAGGCAAAGGAGCTCTCGTCGGCGAGCGATGAGCTCGACTGATCAGCAGAGACGACTCGCCTGCTACTGCGACTCGTGTTACTGCTAGCCATGGAAGAAGCAGACACGTCACTTCGATCCTCCGTTGTCCTCCTCGATTCCCAAGTGATGCTGAGAGAGGCAGAAACCGATCTAGCAGCGCTAGTATCGGCGAGTGAGCTGATCTTGCTCACATCGCCCGTGTTGGTTTCCCTGTAACCCCACCCCACACGCGAGGAACTGGAGGGTGTCTCTGGCCTGCGCAGGATGCCGCGCCTTACCGTCGTGGGAGTGCCAGTAGTCGTCGACACTAGAGATGAGGATAGAGATACCGGTGCTGGTGTCTTAGGAGTTGTGCTGGTACCAGCGGAGGGGGATGAGTTGGGCGTTACTCTGGCCTCGCGAGCGGCAGGAGCTTCCGAGTCGTGGGACATGGAGAACGAGGCAGAGGCTGATGCAGAAGACGTACTCCGAGGTCGAGGTGTCTCCATGCTGGCCACAGTATGGCTACCAGGGCAATAGGCGGCCTGGAGTAGTAGATGAAGGGGGATGAAGGTCAGAGGTCCTTCCCAGACAAAGTGTTACTTTCTCCATGTTTGTCCGATCAACACCTCGCTCGCGCCTCGGCCATGAGCCACGTGGGAAGTCCCCCGCCCCCCGCGCTTGGTGCTTCCGATTCCGGCCTTGGAGGCGATGCGATGCACCAACCATCCACACAACGCAACGCACTGCAACGCAACGCAACTCAACGCTCGTTACCTTCTACCTTCTTCCTCCTCCCCATCATAATCGAGACTGTGAAGATGACAGACTCATTCCGCTCGATCAATGTAGACATCTGGGAGGAAGACGTACTCCTAGAGTCGGACCTCATCCCCGCTTACCACCTCGATCCCGCCAGCGCGGCTGCCGAGGCGGACAAGAAGAGTGCAGAGGCGAGGGGTTGTATCAACAGGTGAGCTATGGCAGAACAGGAGTAGCATGCTTCACATGCAACAGCTGTAGCTCTTGAGAGTAACAAACTGGTAAGGTCTACGGAGAGCTGACGAGCTGCCACCTTCTCGCCCTGACAGGTCCGACCCCTCTGGCGCCCTGCAACTGATTCTAGCAGATCCAGTATACGGCGGCTCAGACTACGACCAAGCAAAGGTGAGCATGCAGCTGCCTCGCCAATCTGTATTCCTCTCCGACACTTTCGCTCACTCTTTCTCCCGCTCTTCAACCCCTCTACATCTACCTCACCCCGCAGGAAAGCACCCTCTCCACCCTCCTCACAGTCCTCAACTCGGTAAAAGCAACCGATATTCCCTCACTTCTCAAGTCCCTCTCTCTAGACCAGCGCGACTCATTGATGAAGTGGATCTACAAGGGATTGAGCAAACCAGAGACGGGAAGTAGTGGAATTTTGCTGGCATGGCATGAGAAGGTGAGTTCGTCGGAAGGAAAGGGGAAAGGGAGAGTGCGAGAGGAGCTTAGCAGTAGACGGATGGTTCGCTGACTGGGAATCTCCCTTCGTCCCTCTGTTCTTGATAGCTGACTGAGATTGCTGGTACGGGATGTATTGTGCGAGTGATGACAGATCGGAGGAGAATTTGATTCGCCAAGGTGGTTCAGACACACTGTAGAGACACCTGTGAATGGTAAATTTTGTGATTATACAGGTAGCCTACGATTGTACAACTTGGGGAGAGCCTCGAATACGAGGTTTCACAGTACGCTCAGGTCTCTGTCCTGCTCTCGTATCCATCGACGATCTCGCAGCCCCAGACGCTGTGCATCTTCCTCCCCTTTCTGCCAAGCCAGACCGCCACACCCCACTCATGACTCCTTGCCTCCCTCTCGCGCTCCTGGTCTCCACCTTGCTCTTCCTCGCCAGACCCATCGAGAATGGCAAGACTCCGTCCAAGCAGACCCTCAACCGCTCTCCTCGCCGTCGCGACGAGTCTCTCTTCACCCAATTCCTCCTCAACACCATCGAGGCCAAGGAAGATCCTCGCCGCCCCATCTGCCACGATCAGCGGCAGACAGCGCCTCTCCTCCGTCTCCGTCTGCCCCTCTGCTGCTTCTCCTTGCTCCTCGCCCACTTGTGCCGACTCTCTAAGCAAGAGAGCGAATGTCAACTTCCTTTCCCCGGTGTGCGGAGCAGAGCGCACCCACTCCTCCGGTCGACGGGGCATAACATCGATGACCTCTCCGCGCACACGGGCATACGTGGCTCCCTCGCGCCCCGGCTTGGAAGGGTGAGGCGTGAGGTCCTGCAGCTCTTGGAAGCTGAGCAGAGGATGGTCGTGTGCGGAGGGAGCGAGTTGGAGGTGCACACGGTACTGCTGCTGCCGCTGCTGCTGCTGCTGAGGAAGAGGAGGGGTGGTGAGAGGAGCGAGATCGGATTCGAGGATTCGGCCAGGGCCAGGACCGGGGGAGGGAGCGCGCTGCCCTGCTTCGGGCCAGGAGGAGTGGTGCGAGGTAGATCCAGATTGGTTGTTGGACTCTGCTGAGGAAGGATCGATGAGTTGCTCCTCGATAGGCTCGACGATAGTTGACGAGGTGATGTCTGCAGGGCGTTCGGGCACTTGCTCTTCCTCGACTCTCTCTTCCTGGACCTGCTCTTCCTGGACCTGCTCTTCCTGGACCTGCTCTGCCTGAACCTGCTCTGCCTCGGCCTCTGGTAGTGCGTTCTGGACTTGCGACTGTGCCTGCGACTCTTCGTCTCGCTCGGACATCAGTTCGTCCTCAGATGGCGGCTCTTGCTCCTGGCTTTGTGGTGCTGAATCTGGCTCCTGCGCATTTCCTTGAACATCCGCCTCTCGAGCCTCGGGGCGAGCTTCGCTGTCCTCGTCTGGCTTTTGCTCTTCTGTACCGCCCTGAGCAGCGGTGATTGCCGTCTCTTCCTCAGTGGGCTCTTGCACGTCCCTCCCTAGAGAGCCAGTCATTCGCTGAGTTGGAGCGGCGCTTCGATTTGCGGGTATATCGTCGTGTGCTTCTCGCCACGCCATTTCGTTCTCCTCCTCTTCTGCTCGCCGATGCGCAAGGACTGCCTCTCGCTCTGCGACCCATGCGTTCTTGCGCCTGTGTGAGACGAGGGGGCGGATTGATGTCAGTGTGTGTGTCAATATCGATGATTGGCCTGTTGTCACTCACTCGATGAGCTGGGGAAGGTGAGGATGCTCGCTCGCGTCCTTGACTTTCAGATTGAGATCGTCCCGAGAGCCGACAGCGCCGCTGATGCCATAGTCGGCGTTCCACTTGCTCTTGATGTTCTGAATGTGGACGTACTGTCCCACATGCAAGCCGTGTACTGCCACGATCTGTCTGCCCCACAAGGCGATGCGGAAGACCATGCCGCCCCCTGGACCGTCTGCGAAGCGTGCCTCGTACTCAGACTCCTCATACCCAAGATGTTGATCAAAGGCCGCCCGAGTCTCGGGGTGTGATGTGTAATCCGTGATGAAGACGTCTGCTGGCTTGTTGACCGGCGCATCTGCACCATTGCCGCTCTCGGGAGGGTAGACAGCAAGTACTTCGCCAATCATGTCAAAGAACTCGTTCTCCCCGCCAACGTCACACAGTCGCTTCAGCGGACGTAGCTTCGCCTTGGGAAACCTGGCTGTCAACTCCGCTTTACCTCCGCGGCGATGGTACCAGTCGCTCATAGCTAGCATCTCGCGAAGCTCCTTCTCGCGCAGTTTTGGGAAAAGCGTCCCGGCGACTGGCAATACGGTCGGACCATCCTTTGGTGGGAGGCCTGCCCACGACCAGGAGCCCTCGTTGCCAGCGCCCTGCTTGCCATCTTCGGTAGAGCCAGCCCAGTGCTTGATCTGGATGTTTTGAAGAAGCACAATCGTTCCAGGGGTCACATCAGGTAGAAGATGGCGGGGATCGGATGCGAACAGCATAATCTTCAGCCAGCCCGTCGAGTCTGCAATGGCAATGTGTTGTGAGAAGCTGGCCGATCCTGTGATGGTCGGTCTGGGCTCAGCTGCAGAGACGAGAACAGCGAGGAAATTGTGGGCATGGTTGAACTTGGAGGACATGATCTGAGTGATCGGCCGGTTCGAGGAGGTCGGTGATAACGCAACGGCAAGATGTTGCAGGTAATTCTGATCGCTTGCAGTGTTAGGTACAGACGCCAGAGGGTCACCCGAAGCTCCCGATCCTTCCGCCTCTGCTTCAGCTAGTAGAGCCTGAGTCTCGAACCCATCCCCGTTCGGGACATGACTTGTAGCGGCTATCGGTGCATGTTCAGCTGGAGCAGATCCTGCGCTCTCGTCCTCTGTTCTGGCAAGAGCCGAAGGCCTTCCAGAAACCAATTCTTCAGGAGATCCGGGTCTCTTGCGCGAGCTCGACGCTGCACTAGCACACGGCGTTGTCTGACGATCGACCAGCCTAGAAGAGCCGATGCCGAGGTCGCGCTCAGCTGCCACAGCAGGGAGCCTACTCGACGAGGAAGACTGTCCTGGGGTACCGAACCAGGACTCTTGCGAGCCCCCTGGAGCAGCTTGTTCCCGCAGAAGCTGGGCCTGCCCTTGGAGTTCGCTTGCGTCGCCGTTGCCCTGACCAGGCTCGCGCCCATTCCTACGATGGTCGGATCTTGCAGATGGAGAGTCTATAGGCTCCTGTTTGATGGGAATGGCCTGCAAAGTGGGCTCCTCTCTCAAGGCTTGTGAGGTAGAGGCTGCACTGACTGCTTCACCCGGTGGCTCAGCTGCAGAAGGAGGTGTGGCAGGAGCAGGTGGGGCAGATGAGTTGTCGGCAGTAGTGTTGGCAGGTAGATCTTGCGTTGGTATCTGCGAGCTGGCAGGGCCTTCGCCGCTGTCGGCGACAGGAGGCGTTGCACCTCTTCCGGACCCATTTGTAGAGAAGCTGGACGACCCAGGCTGTGCATGCTGCGTCTGCGAGAAATTCAGTTCACGCAGTCTCTGGAACCACACCTTGTCGTCTGGAGTCTGAACCCTGCCTGGGACAGGAGGCGGGCGGACGATCTTACAGATCAGTTCTTCTGCTGCCCACCTTACGGTATTTGTGCTTCTCTTGCTGATCTTTGCTCCGTACCCGGAAAAGAGGCAGCGAATGGGATCATCTACTTGGAGAGAAAGACTATGCTCTAGAAGCTGAGCTCTGAATTCCACCGTACCAGCTCCGTGGATACGAAGATTGACTCTGGCGTGGTCCGGAGCGGCTCGGACACCATTGGAGAAGAGGTGATAGCCTGCGATCTGTTAGCAGAGCGAGGACGGGTCAATCTCTCTGACTCTTGCGTGATTGGGCACAGTCACTTACTTCCATAGTGTCCGTAGGCGAGTCTCCGCCTTGAACCTCCTTGAGTTCGAAGTATATGCACACCATCGACCCTCTGCCATGGCGGATCTTGTCTAGGAAGACGTCCCAGTCGCTGACCAGAAACCCTAGACGACCTTCCTCCTCTCTGTCCAGTGCGACCCTGGTCGTCATCTCCGATGACGTTGTGGTTTGCAGAGCACAAAGCTCGCCCTCGCCACGTCCGAAGGTGAGGTGGTGATGAGCGCTGATTGAATATGAAAGCCGAGAGGTATCAAGGTCGTCGTGGTCGCGGTACCACCAAAGTCAGGAAGCCTTCGCGTCCCACGCACGGAACGGAAGGCGGGCTGCCGCACAAGCCACGTGGGATCTGTCTCGCATCGAGGCTGCTTCCGAAGGTCCACTTATACCTTCGTCGTTGGGTGACTGGTATCCTCTCCATCGAACAGGCGACTGCGTGGCCAAGATGACCAATGCCGCTCGCAAGAGGCGTCGTGGCTCGTCAGATGACGATGGTCATCTCCTCTCTACCTCGCGGCGTCTCCTCGACCTCGGTCTCCCCCACGCCTCGGCCGCCTCCTCGGCCTCAAGGCATGAGCCAAAAGGTCCCGTAGCCTTCAGCAGCGATGGCCTGGTAGCGTACCGGGCTCCGCAGTCACAACCCCCTAGACATGCTGCTTCCTCGTCTACCTCTGCCAGTCCGGCAGTGACCATTGCTATCAAGCCTCTTCTGGCAGCCTGGACCGCCAAACCACTCCTGCTTTCTGTCCCAGTCCTACCGATACCTACCGGAGGCTATTCGGTCCGCTTCCTCTCCTTCAACTCGCTCGGCAATTCCCTCGTGGCCATTGTAGAGCCAGATGAAGAAACAGCTCTTGCCGTGGGGCCAACAATCACGCAAGGCGTTGTATGCATCTGGTCAAGGAGAGGCGATGCCAGTGCCCTTAATGAAGGCTGGTCCCTCGCCGCCGCTTGGCCTCTAGCAAGCAATGGTCTAGGTCCCTTTGGCCCTTCCGTCATCGCGGCTCGGTGGCTGCCCTCTTCTTTGAGAGCATCTCCAGGAGGCGGACTGAGCGTTGTGGCTGCTGGCGAGACGATGCAGGAAACCCCTGCTTTGCCCTCTGCGCAGCTGCCTGGAATGGCCCAGGAGGGCAAGGCAAAGGCAAAGAAGTCCAAGGTGATCAAAGTAGAGCGGAGCGCTGCAAGCGGCCCAGTCTTGTTGGCAAAAGGGGCCAAAAAGCCAGAAGGACTGCTCCTCATTGGCGAGGACGGAAGGGTGAGTATTCGCAGACTTCTCGCTCTCCCCCAGTGTCCCCGGTACGCATGCTCACCTCGACGTCCATTGTCCGTTTCGTAGGCTCACCTGATACATCGAGATACATCGATTCATGTCAACGCCTCCTCTTCCTCCAGCTCTTTTCACGTACAAACCACCTCTCTCTCCTTTCCTTCGATGGGAAGCCCCGATGGAGAGCCAGCATCAGCACCTGGCCGTCCTGTGAAGCTCCAACAGGCGGCCATGCACGCTGTTGCGAACGAGCCGGTACTCCTCATCGCCACCACAAATAGGGCAAACCGCCAAAATTCGATCCGCCTATGCGAGGTGACCATTACCAACGAAGGAGACGAAGCGGTCATTGTTGCCCGACCTCTCGAGAGCATCAACATGCCCGCGCAAGCCTCTAGCGAGGAAAGTGGGAGCAGTGGCGGCAGCAGCGGACACGAAGGTGCAGGTCTCGTCGCCTTCAGCAGCTCGAAGGCAGAGAACAGAGAGAGCATCCATCTCATCTGTGCTTCGGCCGAGACGTCGGCCACAGCGGATGTCATGACCCGTACCTCCCTCTTTATGTATACAGTGGAGAGGAGGACGGACATCAGTGGTCGGGGCTCCCTGTGCGACTCATTCAGTACACTCGAGTCGAGAAAGAAGCAGGTCAAGGATCTACGGGAGCAGCTGGACTGGGCTTCGCATCTACAGAACAGTCGTCTCATCCAAGACCACCGCGGTCTCGTCTCTCTGGTAGGAGCTGATAGAGGCAAAGGCAAGCTTCGGGCCGTCTGGCAAGGTTTGCACGAGAACAAGGCGACATTGCGAAGGTCTGAGTCGCTCATCGATGCGGTCACCCTCGAGGAAGAATCGGTCGAAAGTCCAGTCATCTTTCCCACTGAGCCCAGCTGGTCCACCAATGGCGCCCTTGCGGCGTGGGTCGGTCCAAGCAGCATCCGTCTGCGAGTACCGAGTACGCCGTCTGTTGAAGAGGGAAGCCAAATTGAAAAGCTAGCAGTCGCTGTCGCGGGCCCGCTTCTCAACAATAGGACGTACCACGATGTCTTGCTAGGCAACGTGAAACTGCTCGCATCTTCAAGCAACCGTCGAAAGCTCCTTGAGGTTCTTGCACATGGTCTCGATTGGCAACCGCCCTCTCCAGCAGCGCAAGAGAAACCTCTGCCGAACATCATTGTTCTCACCAAACTTCTAGGAGTTCACAAGAGCATCTGCGCAGCAGTCGAGATCTTTGACTCGCGCGAGGCAGACACATCAGTCGCGCTTGAGTCCCTGGAGGCGGATTGGACGCTAATCTTAATCCGCGCTTTCAAGATACTCCAGTGTTGTCGCAATGTAACCAGCCCTGCGGGCAGCGGCAATGCTTCCATCGCCGCCAGCTGGGGCATTGCATCCCTCTTCAGTGTTCTCCCGGTGCTAAGCTACCTGAACGAGCAGTGTGAGTCTCTCGCACGCGAAGCCTTTCTCATTCGCAGCGGACAGCCGATCACTCCTCCTGAATCGCCGCCGAAGGCAGGAGACGACACAAAGGGGGAGCACTCCCGCTCGCTCCCTTCACTCAGTGTGCTGGACCTCCTCACACGGCCGCTACTCCGGAAGATCTTCCTCCTGGTGCTGCGCGCCGCGGAGTCTCTGAAGCAATGGGTACGCTCCATCTCTGTCGACAAGGGCGCTCTCCGTGAGCTCGCTGCATCCGAAGCAAAGCAGCTAGCGCAAGAAGTGCGCATCGCCTCGCATGCACGAGCTGCATCCAGAGCTTCTGCACAAGTAAACGATGGAGGAGCAGAGGCAGAGCGAGAGCGCGAGCGCGAGAGGGCACGGGAGAGCCAGCAACTCAAGGCGGAGACGCTCAGCGCCATCGAGGCCAACAGGGCCATGGCGGTCAGTGCGCGTCTGGAGGTGGCACGATTGGGGATCGAGGAGATGGAGCGCAAGAGCGCCGTATACGTCGATGTACTCGAGAAGAGATTGCGTAGCTGGACTGTCCCCGCATCGGCGGCCGCGACTACTTCGAGCGGCAATGCGGCTGATGGCGCTATACAGGACTGGACTTGGCCTGTAGGCAGCAGCAGCAGCAGTGCTGGCGAGGGAGAAGTGGTTCAGGCGAGTGAAGAGGTGCGGAAGTCTCTCGCTCGACATCTCCTCTCTACCTCTCCCACTTCGTCTCAAGAGGAAGAAGGCAAGGGCTCCAGTCGTGACTCCCCCTCCCCCTCCCCACTCAAGAACCATGGGCTGCCTCTCTTTCTCACAGAGGACGACTTTATCCACACCCTTGCCGATCTCAGCGAGAGCGGCCAACAGCAGCTTCCCTCTGCGGGGAGCGGGGAAGGGAGCAGCGCAGCAGGCAAAGGCAGGCATGTGCCGAGAGACGGGATGACTTTCGCTCCTCTTGCTACTTCGGCCTCCAGATCCTCGCAAGTACCATTGCAAACACGAAGAGACCTGACCTCCTTCGAGGGGAGAAGTACGACGCTCCTCCCTCGCTCCAGGCAGTCACTTGCTCACGGGATTCCTGCTGGTCACACCGCCGCCGGTGTCCCTCCAGCAGCAGTCGTAGCAGGTCCAGCAGGCTCAGCAGATCTACTGGCCAGCACCCTTTCCCTACAAAACGTCCTTGGCACTGGCAACGGCACTGGCACCGACACTGGCACTGGCACTGGTACTGGCACCAGCGCGGGAGCGCCTCAGGCCCCAGCTCCATCAACGGCAGCAGCCGCCAAGGGCTCTGCAACTCCAGCTCCTGCTCCTGCTCCTGCTCCTGCTCCTGCAGCAGCAGTAGCAGCAGCAGCAACAACCCAATCAGCACTAGCCCCTCCCCTCTCCCTCCCACTCTCACTCCCATCAGCCGAACCACTCACAGGTGCAGGTGCAGGTGTAGAAAGCATGCAAGGCGAGGAGGCCCATCATCATCATCATCAAGAACGGGAGCTAGATTTGGTGACGGAGCTACTTGCGCGACCGGGGAGGGTGGAGAGGATGCTACTTGCTACTGCTGGAGGGGTGGGAGATGGAGGAGAGGGATGGTGGTTGGTTGATTGATTAGGGATAGCGGGGGAGCGGGTGAGTGGGTGAGCGGGTGAGCGGGTGAGCGGGTGAGCGGGTGAGTGGGTAGAGAGAGAGAGAGAGACGTGAGGCTGTGTAGATGAGGAGTGGGGCGAGATGGAATGTGCATGATACAATGTGAGACATGGGAAACATGAAACTTTGATGAGACACGAGATGTGAATAGGAACGCAATGAGTGAGCGAATGAGCGAGTCAGAAAGAGAGGATCACATTCTTCGAAACAGAAACGGAGACAGAGACAGAGACAAAAGAGACAGAGGGACGATGGACCGTGCTTAACAGACAGGCCAGGCACTATCTCACTTCGCCCTCACTAGCTGCCCCTTCCTTGCATCTTCTAAGCTTTTCTACTCTACTTGAAGAACTTTCCCTCTGCGAGCTTCTTTCCCTGGTACTCTCCCTCCCACGAGAGGACGTCCTCAAAGAACTTCTTGTCCTCTGCCTTTGAAATGTCCAGTGGGGTGACCGAGTAAGAGTCAATGTCGGGTGCAACGCCCAGCACGTCCATTGGGTTCTTTCCCCTGAGGATCAGAGCCAGGGCAATGACCGAGTCGTTGTTGGCACCGAATACGGCTCCTGCTCCGAGGAAGTACTTTCGGGATGCCTCCAGACGCGAGTTCAAACCGGTGATCAGGTTGGAGCTCATGAAGACCTGTGTGAGCTCATCATTGTACTTGTAGTCGAGCTTGACAATGTTGTATCCCTCTGCGTCGTACTTCTCGTAGAACCACTTGAGGAAGTCAGGGGTGTCGAGGTTAGAGTACTGCCTCTTTGCCTCGTCGAGGTTGAAAGAGGTAGGGGGAAGGGTGGAGCAAGGGTGAGGGGCAGACTTGGGCTCGGCGGGCTTGTCGTCCTCCTCATCGTCGTCGTCCTTCTTAGCAGCGGGCTTCTTGGCAGCCTTGGGGGCAGCAGCAGCGGCGGGGGCGGCAGCAGCCTTGGGCTTCTCCTCCTTCTTGGGTGGGGTGAACTTGATGTTGTCCTGCACGGGGTTCAGAGCGGGGAAGACGCTCTTGACGGGAGCCTGGTTGATGACAGTCTCAAAGTATCGCTGAGCGTTGGGGTACTTTGAGCGGAAGTCGGCACCAGCGACGGTGTTCTGAACGAAGAGGATGTCGGAGGCGAGGGTAAGATCGGCGAGGGTGACCTGATGGCCGACGAGGAAGGTGTGGTTCTTGATGTGAGTCTCGAGAGTGGCGAAGGCCCTGTTGAGACCAGTCCATTGCCTGTCCTCGGTAACCTTGTTGTAGGGGATACGGCCGGTGCAGAGGCTGGCGATCTGGAAGGCGGGGGTGAGGAGCTCATCGTCACTGAAGGAGATCCACTGCTCGATCTGAGCAGAGGTAGCGTTGTCCGAGCCGAGGAGGTTGGCGTTGTTGGAGATGCCGGCGACGAAGCGAGCGATGGCTGATGCCTCGCTGAGGTTCAGGCCCTCGGAAGAAGTGAAGGTGGGGACCTTTCCCTGCAAAAGGAGCGAGCAAGCGGGAGACAAGGATATGTCAGCAGCTGTGCCTCATCGCATACATGGGAGTGCGACTGCCATTGCGCCCTCCTTGCACCCTCTCCCTCCTGTATCCTGCCATCAACTCACGTGAGGGAACTTCTTGAGGAACTCTGGCTTCTGGTGCTCTCCCTCGGACAGCTTGACCTCCTGGAAGTCAACCTTTGCGCCATTGTAAGCAGCGGCGGCCAGGATTCGCACTGCCTTTGGGTTGTTTGGCCAGGAGTAGAGTGTTCCTACAGACGACATGGTGGGTGGGTGATTGGGTGGATGTGGGGGTATGTATGCGGGTGGTGGGTGGTGGAAGATGGTGAAGAAGGAGGAGGAGATCTACCTTTGCACTGCGAGTGACACTTGTCGCCCTGCGCCCGCGAAGAAGTCAATCGACGCCTGGCAGAACAGAAAAGTTGAGCCACACCCACGCCACGGACACAGACTGCGCGCGGTGACACAGACACACTCACGCTCACCCTCACGCTCACACACAAATACTACAGTCTATGCCAACGATGTCATTGGTTTCCATCAAGTATTCCAGCTTCATAGCTTCGACGTGCTATCAATAGAGCCAAGCGCAGTATCACAGGAGAGAGAGAGAGGGGAAAGGAGAGAGAAAGGGAGAAGGGAGACCCAGAGTCAGGACCCAATTGCTTGATTTTCCACAGAGCAGTGTAGCTCTGATTCCCTTTGATCCACCTCTACATGCCCACGGTCAACCTACGCGGAAGCGTCCTTCTCGGCCATGAAGACCAGCAGGTCAATGACACGGCGAGAGTAACCCATCTCGTTGTCGTACCACGAGACCAGCTTGACAAAGTTGTTGTTCAGCGAGATGCCGGCAGTAGCATCGAACATCGAAGAGTAGGTGGTTCCGTTGAGGTCGGTGGAGACAATGGCGTCCTCGGTGTAGCCCAGGATACCCTTGTACTCGTTCTCAGAGGCACGCTTCACCTCGGCCTTGATCTCATCGTAGGAAGCACCCTTCTCCAGCCTGCAGGTCAGGTCCACCACACTGACGTTGGTGGTGGGCACTCGGAAGGCCATACCGGTCAGCTTGCCGTTCAGCGAAGGAATGACCTTGCCCACGGCCTTGGCGGCACCAGTGGACGAAGGGATGATGTTGGTAGAGGCCGATCGGCCACCTCGCCAGTCCTTGCCAGAGGGACCATCGACGGTCTTCTGGGTGGCAGTGGTGGCGTGCACAGTGGTCATCAGACCCTCGACCAGGCCGAACTTGTCGTTGATGACCTTGGCCAGGGGAGCGAGACAGTTGGTGGTGCACGAGGCGTTGGACACGACCTCGACCTTGGGGTCGTAGGAGTCGAGGTTGACACCGCACACGTACATGGGGGCGTCGGCAGAGGGGGCAGAGATGACGACCTTCTTGGCACCACCCTTCAAGTGGGCAGAGGCCTTCTCAGTGGTGGTGAAGACACCAGTCGACTCGACGACGTAGTGGGCGTTGGCAGAGCCCCAAGGGATCGAGGCGGGGTCACGCTCGGCAAAGACCTGGATGGCAGTGCCGTTGACGACGAGCTTGCCGTCCTTGGTGGAGACCTCACCGGGGAACTTGCCGTGGGTGGAGTCGTCTGTAAAGAAGGGGTTGGATGATGGCAGAGGCAGTGTGAGCGTGAAAGAATGGGGGCGACGTTTAGAGAAGCTGACGGTGTATGCGGACACTCACACTTGAGCATGTATACCATGTACTCGAGGTCAATGAAGGGGTCGTTGATGGCGACGACCTTTGCTTTACCGTGCTCGATGGCATTTCGGAAGACGATTCGTCCAATTCGACCGAAGCTGGGTGAGGGTGAGGAAGGGGGGGGGGGGGTGGGGGGGGGGGGGGGTGGGGGGGGGGGGGGGGGGGGGGAGGAGTGATGGTGATGGGGGTATGAGTCACTAATGCTTCTGGCGCAGCTAGGGTGCTGTGATCCTGCACCCTGATGATCACTCACCCGTTGATTCCGACGTTGACAGACATGTTGATATGAGTTGCGGTGGGAGGTGTGGTGGGTGGGTGGGTTGTATGCGGGTGTGGTTGTGATGTGAAGGGATTGGGGCGGGCTGGAGATACGAAGAAGATGGCTCTGGGCCGTGAGGCAGGCAAAGAGTCACCGTGCCCTCAGCCACTCCACTTGTGCGTGTGCGCCCTGCATCGCCCAGGCACTGCGTCACTCTGCCCTTGTTTCCCTGGGGCCCTGGAGCCACTCGCCCACAGATCTTCCGAAGCCTTCGTCACACACACACACGCGCACACACGCCACGGCAACACCCGGGTCGGGCCATGCGGGTCGATCGGATCAGACAACCCGACATTCTCCTGCCGAGAGCGAGCCTCAAGCCATCAGCCACACTTCACAAGTCACGCCTCACACTCCTCACGTCCTCAGAAGAAGCTTGGCCGACGGAAGGGCACGCGTGGCATCCAAGCTGCACCAAGGGTCTGCACAGCCAAGACACGAAGACTGATTCTACATCCTCGTATCACAGAGTCATCTGCTGAAAACCTTCGTTCGAGAAGTCGAGAGGTCACATCAGAGGCTGGCAGTAGCAGCAGCAGTCGAAGCGAAGGAGGGGTGCACATCGACAGCTTCTGTCGCAATCTTACGAGCATTATTCATCTGCTTCACTATTCTGCTGCACTGCTGCAAAGATGTCGTCTGCCCTTCTACAGATAAAGCAGCCAGCGCAAGATGACACGGGCCAGACATCCTCTATTGATCCCACAGACCCCGCCTTCAGGGGTGATCCAGCCTGGACTAACCTTTCCATTCCCCCTGGATGGACATTGTGGAAATTTGCAGGGCGATGGGACGATTACCTGACCAACTGGGAACTCCACACGCGCCAGACTTTCATCAAATGCCAGGTCCACCCGAGTGTCTGGCCTATGTTGGCAAGCTTTCAGCTCGAAGGCCCGGCGCAGCTGTGGTGGAAATCTCACATGACGAAGCTGCACAATGCATCTTGGGATGAATTCATTGCACAGCTCAAATTGGCCTTTCCACCCAGAATTCAGCAGAATCGCGTCAGGGAAAGATTCAACACTCTCAAGTTTGGCGGTAATTACGACGCCTACAATACTTACTTTGCAAGCCTCGTCGCCGTCGCAGACCCAGATTGGTTCTGCTACTCCCTGCTGGAGATGCATTATCTCGAACCCTTGCCTCAGGCGGACCACTCGCACTTCACGTCGATGGATGCAACGAGAGTAGAGCAACTATACATACGCTCCACCTATATAGCTCGAATGCGTTCGTTCTCCAACGAGCGCCAAAACTCGTAGACCTCTGCCGAGCGGTATCACGGCCACTTGCCTCTGACATTTCTACTGCAATGTCTCTTTTCACGACCGCAGATCTTTCTGCCTTCAACTCAAGTGTTGCCATCCCTAGCTCATGCCGGCCGTTGACAAGATCCACTGCTTCCATTCTCTGTTTCAAACTCTATACCCCGAACATCAATCATACCCACGCTACTTCGTCTTGTAGCCGAAGACATTCCTTTTCACGAACCTCGAAACGACAATGACATGCCTTTTTCCTTGAGTCCTGCCTTCTCACAGGCATTGCATTCACGATGAGGCCCGAGTCTGACTGTGTGACTCACCCACACTACACCAGCCAATGCGGCCTCCTACCAGAGTCTCGTGTTTGGTTCTTCGTTCTTCGTTCACACGCTCCACGCGCCAGGCCTCGGATAGACTGTTGGTCTGGGCGGGTGGAGAAGCGCACGCGTGGCTTACACGCGAGTTCCGGCGAGGCGATGATACTATACCAAAGGTGGAGCGTTCGCGCCTCTATCAAGACTTCGCCTTATCAGGAACCTCGATTGAGGAGCAACTGTGGCCGGGCAAGTCCTCCGCTCCTTACGCTAGTCCATTACAACGAAAATGCCGCCCGCCCGTCGACAGAAGAAGAAGCCCCGGCGAGAGGTGGCTGCATTGCCAGCTCCGGCCCGAGAGGAGACCCCTTCACCAACAAGAGCTCTCCGAGCCAGGTGGCGAGAGGCCGAGCTTGCCGCTGCCATCGACGATACGACGCGCCGGGAGCCAGCTGAATTTGGAGATATCATGGGCCTGCAGACGTACACGGAGGGCGTAGTCGAACAGCTTCAGAGCGATATTGCCGGCATGCGTACCAGCTTTGAAGCTAGACTTGCAGCCAGCGAAAGGCAGATGGAACGGGTCGAGGGTCTGCTCTCACAGCTCTTGGCAGAGAAGAGGAGGGCTGAGCGTCCTGCACGAGATCGCCCAGACGTAATCGCACCGAATTACCCAGAGGAAGAGCAATGGCTCCTAATGGACAAATTCGAGAACCTCCAATTCAACGGCAATTATTTCGATTACATAGACCACTTTTATGATCTCAAACGTGAAGCAGATCCCGACATCTTTACCTTTGTCCTGTTGCGGAGGTACTGGCTCAAGCCTTTTTCTCTTGCGGATCAACGGGAGATCCTCAGAGGTCAACCAAAGACGGTGTCCGACCTTTGCTACCGGACCAGCGAACTCTAGTTGAGGAAGCACGTGGAGAAGCTGCGCCAGCAGCAGGAAACCTCTGATGAGTGATTGAAGGGCATCTTCGCCTCCTATTTCTGCAGCCATTTTCGTCTCAATAGGAGGGCATGCATAGCAGTCCCGCCTCCTAACAGCCTTTACGCCTTGTCTTTGTATCTAGTCGCACGATGCCGAGCTTGGGTCCCACACTTGCTCCACCCTTTCTGTACTTGTATGCTTTTTAGGCCCTGAATGACACGTGGCACTTGTCTATCGCACACGCTCTGATGAGACCTGCGTCGAGCCGTATGTCTCATGCCCCGTGCCTGGCAGGTATCACGCGTCTCACGTCTCAAAGTCGCCCAACGGAAGGGCACGCGTGGCTTGGGGCACTCCACAAAGCCTGCCAAGAATAAAGCACCGAGATTGGAGCAGTTGCGCCCACAGATCTCTCTCTACTATTCCCCAACGAGAGCAACGGCCACTAGCTATCAGTCGTATGAGGTCACCGCCGAGACGATGTCAACCACTCTGTCGAGGAAGCGACCCCGATCAGACATCGCTACGGCTTCTGCCCATCACGGGGTGATGGCAGTTCGAGGGAGCAATGAGAATCCCATCGTGATTGAAGATGGTGAAGATGACGAAAGCGAAACCGGAATCGAAGACGAAGAGGAGGACGAGGGTGTGGATGAGCCCGAGTGGAGTAGTGATGACCCATATGAGGAAGTTGTGACCGATGAGGACCAAGACGAGGAGGAGCAGGAGGAGAACAATGAAGGCGAGGGCGAGGACAAGGACGAAGACGAGGACGAAGATGAGGGCGCGGATGAGTACGAGTGGAGTAGTGATGACCCATACGAGGAAGTCGTCACAGACGAGGAGCAAGACGAGGGGGAAGAGGATGACAAAGACACGGCCAACGACGACCGACGACAGCGACGTTGAATCGGTTGAATTCTGGCCTTGGAGGCATCGACCTAGAGAGGCTCCGGCAACCGACCCGATTTTTACACGTTCTGGTGCTGTTAAAGTGCCTCAACCGCAGGAATCATGCTTTACATGAAGACATCGGCCGCATGAAAAGCCGGCAGACCGGGATCTAGAGCCTGCTCGAGCAAGTCCTCACAAACGCGCAGCAGTCGTAGCCTTAGGCAGCCTGTCGTTTTGCACCCTCGCCTCACAAGTGCATAGATGTAGCTTACGGTATTCAAGCGCTCAAGCCTGGATCCACTTGTCTCTCCCTCAAGCATGGTCTCTGGAGAGTTGCCAGGCCTATGGGAGAATGACCTGAAGTCCTGGGCAGACCAAGTAAGGAGGACCCTCATTCTGTGCTAGATCATCCCCAGGGCGTGGCTTGCTCTATGTTAAGGAGCTATACATCGAGTCCGACATGTTGGCACTGAGGCACTCACCAGAAGGTGCCTCCGCCATTGCGGGTCTCTGCTGAGCAGCAGTACGACCTCTTCAGCTAGCTCAGCATCTGCATGTGCTACAGATGCGAGGCAGCAATTGCGCCCACCTTGATACCTTCACCATTGCCACTCGTGGCCCCGTTCTTTCGTTCTGAATGTCAATCGAGCCTGCGCTCCTGTTTCTCTGTACCCGCATTTACACGATGCACAGATTGATCTGATGCCTCAGGGGCGGCGTGCGGGGTAGAACGGGGCGTGCATTGTAGATTGCGTGCGCGTGGGCGTTGGAGAGCGGACTTTCGTGAGACACGCCCGGATTTTGTGCGAACCTACGTAGATTTAGCGACTTCTGCGCAAGGACCTACGTAAAAAATGCCGGACCTACGTGAAATCTGGCGCGCATTCGTACATCGTTCGTACACTATTCGTAAACCATTCGTTAAAATCGACGCGCATTCATTAGCCGGCGGAGTCATACGGAAGACATCCAATGGCTGGGGCGTGCACGGTGGGGCGTGCCAGGAGGACAGAACGGGGCGTGTCCGGTGACAAGCGGGGCGTGCCCGGCGTCACTTCGCATAGAAGTCGCGCCACGCTCCGCGTTTCGAGTATGTGACAGACATAAGGGTACGCGTCGGATCTGACTACGCCGCATACCCACGCCCCAGCACGACATCTATCTTACCAGTGTTCTCTTCCGCAATTCGTACGCTGTAGCACTCACGATTTGGACAGCCACTACCGTACTGCTACGCTTCCCTCCCAGTCGCATCTTCAGTTGTATCTTCTTGGCCAACAAGAGTACTTGTGGCTACATACGATCCTTCACCACTGCCTCGCAACGTCACTGCAGGGACAATGTCAGCTTCTCGAAGCAGCAAGAGACCTCTGAGCGAGGTTGTCACAGAACCTCCGCAGCAATCAAAGAGGGTCACGCGCTCGAGTGCAGGCCCTAACGGCGCAATCCAAGGCCATAGCGCCGCAAGTCAAGGCACTGAAGAAGACAGCCGAGCTCGGGACAGAGAGAGAGCAATACGGCAATCAGAGCGACGGGCAGACATCGTCAAGCTGGAGAAGATCGTCAAAGCGGAGATCACTCAGGTATTGGACGAGGTCGCCGACCTTAGTGATGGCCTGCACGCGAGGCTGATGGCTAACGAGACCAGGTTCTCTAGGATCGAGGCTATGCTGGAGCAGCTGCTGACCAATACCCAACAGCCGCGAAAAGGAACATCAACATCTGCACCTGCGCCTCGGCTGCCAATGGCAGGGTCCGTAGCGCTAGGCCCGTCTGGAACTGCTGCGACTCCGGCGCCAGAATGCGGAGCACCCTGCGGCACACTTTCATACGCCCAGGGCCGCCTGATGGACGAATTTGAGGAGGTCACTTTCGATGGCGATTACACTGCGTACAATTGTCGTTTCGACACCCTCGTCCAGGCCGCAGACCCAGTACGATTTTCATACACCTACATGAAGACATGCTATCTTGCTCCCCTGCCTCTTCCAGATCAAAAGTTCATCGAGACAGGTAATCCAAAGACGATGAAGGATCTCTATGCTGAGGCCGAATCTCTCTATATCTTCATACAGTTCCGAGAAGCGGGTCTTGAAAGGACCTACTTCAGCATCCTGAGAGGCAGCATGAAGTCCTCTCTGCCTCAGACTGCAGCGACTGTTTCAGAACATCAGACTTGAGATAGCATCGCTTCTCGGCTCACAATTGGGCATGGTGACTCTTACGCCTTGCAAACTCCTATTTGCGCCCTGGTAGTATTGACGAACCGCCACCCTGGCCCCCCTGCAATGCTGTATCCACTCTCATCCTTTTTACGACCTGAATGCCATTTGTGCCTTGTCCCCTTCGCTTCGATATTCTCGCGTACAAGCATTCACTGCCGCACCTGTGTGACACAGCCTAATAGGCGCGTGCACCGTAGAATTTGGGCGCGTGTACGGTAGAAAAGGCAGAAAAGCGGGTAGAAAGTATCGTCACGCCTCGCGTGACCAGATATTTAAGCGCGACGGAGGCGCACGCGTCGACATCCTTTTACACCATGATACTCCTTCACTCGAAATTCTTTCACACGACCTGACGTCCCACCTTTCACAAGCAGAGAGCAAGCAAGACTCTCCACACTTAGCATCGGACTTCTACGTACACTCATATATTGCTCTCACAGCCAGACGCAACCTACATAGGCAGGCTAGAAGAAGCTACTACCCTTCGCTGCACACGCCATTACAGACACAATGTCGGCTTCTCTACGCAGCAAGAGACCCCTGCAAGAGACTCCTACAAACTCTCAACAGCAACGAAAGAAAGCTACTCGGTCGAAAGCAGCAGTCCCTAGCACCTCAACACAAGACCATGAAGGCGACGATCATGACTCACTAAGTGAAGATGAAGACTATTTATGCAGCGATTGTGAGGCCCAACAGGACAAGTATCAAGAGCCGTGGCAAGGACCAATGCAAGTCAGACATTTTTGGCAGCTCGACAAATCCCTCAAGAACATAGAAAACGAAATGGGTACGGACCTTCACGTCCTAGTGGAAGGAATGGACAGGACCGAAAGCAAGATACTACGTGTCGAAAACATACTGAAGCAGCTCTTTGCAAACAGTAAGAAGCTCCCAGCAGGAACGACTGCAGCTCCAGCTCGGCAACCGACCAAAAAGACCGTACCCACAGCTGGCTCTGCAGCGGCTCAGGCGCCTTCGCAACAATCCGCTGGAGCAACTTCACAATCGTTTCCATGGCATTTGATATCCCGACTCGAGAACATCGCTTTCAACAACGATTATGTGCAGTACGAACGCAACTTCAGAAGCCTTGTGAGCCTCGTCGTGGCTGCGCACCCTTCTTCATTCCCATACTTCTACCTGAAGGAGTGCTACCTGAAGCCTCTACCTGAGACCGATCGACTCGAGCTCGAGAAGGCCCAACCAAAGACAATGGAGGCATTGTACGCCGAGTCGCTTCGCATTGAGTGTGTCAAGTCGGCTGGTTCGTTATTTTCAGGCATCAGTCGACTTGTCGAACTCGGCGACGACCTGTCCATGTTTCCGTCTTTATTCGCCTCGAATCCCTCTACAAGATGGTTGGCTTTCAAGGCAGCTTTCTCGACTCCCACTGCAGCTTCGTCGACTCCTACTGCAGCTTCCTCGACTCCCACTGCAGCTTCCTCAACTCCTACTGCAGCTGCGTCGACTCCTACTGCAGCTGCCTCGACTCCTACTGCAGCTTCGTCGACTCCTACTGCAGCTTCCTCGACTCCCACTGCAGCTTCCTCAACTCCTACTGCAGCTGCGTCGACTCCTACTGCAGCTTCCTCAACTCCTACTGCAGCTGCGTCGACTCCTACTGCAGCTTCCTCGACTCCCACTGCAGCGTCCTCGACTCCCACCGCAGCGTCCTCGACTCCTACTGCAGCTGCGTCTGGTCCCACTGTATCCTCGTCAATTAGCGCTGCAGAGGCTGCTCCACAATCCAAATCTCAGGACAGCAGTCGCGCTCTCTGATGACCTTCACGCCGTTCATCTCCCTGTTCCACAGCTGCATCATGAATTGCACATGCGTTCTTCCCAAGCTGTAGCAATGTTGATGTGTATGACAAGAAACATCCAGATCTTTATTTTGTTTTGTGAAGCTTCTCAGATGTTTACGCACACAACTTGTGATGACCGTCCTGATGGGCAGTTGTGCTCTCTCTCAGCTCAGACAGCTACCGCTTCGGGGAGCGGAGGCAGCAGCGCCCATGCCCATGCACAGGATGTCGTGGAACAGTGGAGGGACTGGTGTTTCTGTTCTCATGTTGCTTCTGATGTACAGGATGCAGTGAAATCGCTCTACATGCTCTTCTCCCCTGAATACCGTCCTCCTCTTACAGCGTGCGAGGCACCTCGACCAGCTCGATACTCTGCACAATGTCTCCCTGCTGGAAGTCCTGAAAGCCCTCAAAGGAGATTCCGCACTCGGTTCCTTTTCGCATTTCCTGGACCTAACGGGTGGTAAGACAGACCAAAGTCAAAGGAGAGAGGAAGGACCCGTCAGTCTCGCTCGCTCATCGCTAGTTGTGTATCACACGCTACTCTTGCTTCGTACTCACCTCCTTCTTGACGTGCTTCAACGAGTCGATATTCCCCTGCCATACCGCTTCCCTCTCAGGCTCGTCCGCCCCATCTACATCCCTCCCACTCGCGCCCCTTCCCTTTCTCCTCATGACCCTAACCATCTTGTCCCTCTTGAGTATCCCATTCGTAATTCTGCATCCAGCAATATTCGTAAATTGTCTACTCTTGACATTGATGGAAAAGACTTGCGCGACTGTTGCTTCTCCTAGAACGCGCGTCTCGATGAGTGGCGGGAGAAGTTTGACTAGGGCGCTTGTGACGTACTCTAAGATCTGGTAGATGATAGGGGAGCTATAGATGTGTACTCCCCCCTGGCCCGCAGTGACCTTGTTCAGCGCGTCGACCTGATCTTGAATCTTGCGAGGAGCCTTGACGTTAAATCCAAGGATGTGTCCACCGAGAGCGCGAGCCATGTTCACGTCAGCTTCGTTGATCTCTCCCACGCCGACGCTGAGAATCTTGATGCGGGCGCCCTTTGTGCCGATGCCGGCTAGAGCGCCCACGAGGGCTTCGCCTGTACCGCTAAAGTCGGACTTGACAACCAGACGTAGCTCCTTGATGTCCGAGTCCGCATCAGCACTCTCCTCGCCCTGCTCTGCAGTGCTAGCTGCCTCGGCCTCCTCGTACACTCTGCCCTCAGACTCGGCAAGCCTCTGCGCTCGTCTCCTCTCCCGCTCTTCCTGCTCCAGAAGAGCCTCCTTGTTCTCCTCTTCTTGCGCTTTCCGTCGACTCTCATTGACTGCAATGGCCACCTGCATCATCTTTTTGCGCTCCTCGCCCTCTAGACGGTTCTCGACGGCCTTCTTGATATCCTCCTCCTTGGCTGCACTCAACACCTCGTCGCCGGCGTTTGGAAGCTCTTTCCATCCAGAAACCAAGACGGCCTCTCCGGGTGGGGTGGCCTTGACGTTCTTTCCGTTCGAGTCGACCATCTGCCGTACCTTCGCCCACGTCTTGCCGGCAATGATGCAGTCTCCCGCCTTGAGACTACCGCGTGTGACCAAGACCGTAGCGGTATTGCCCTTGCCCTTCTCCGTCCTGCTCTCCAGAATGAGCCCTTCTGCAGATCCTTCGACGGGCGCACGAAGATCACCAAGCTCAGCCATGGCCGCGAGCGTTTCTTCGAATTCCTCGAAACCATCACCTGTCTTGCTGGAAATCTCCACACAGGGCACATCGCCTCCAAGATCCTCGACGTAGATGCCTTCGGAACCTAGCTGTTCCTTGACACGCTGTACATTCGCCTCGGGTCGGTCGCACTTGCTCACAGCGACGATGAGCTGGATGTTGTTCTGCTTCTTGCGAGGTGCGCCTGCAGTACTAGAGCTGGCAGCAGCATCGGCGACGGCGGACTCGCCTTCGACTTCAGCAGCTTCTGCTTCCTTGCGCTCTTCCTCGGCAGACGCGGCCGCTTCCGCCTCCAGAGATTGGTAGAGGCCGATGACTTCCTTCGTCTGCGTCATGACTCCATCGTCGGCAGCTACCACCAGAACGACGATGTCTGTGACCTTTGCGCCCCTCGCCCTCATGTTGCTGAAAGCGGCATGCCCTGGCGTGTCTAGGAAGGTGATCTTGCTGACGGCAGAGATGGCGTCGGAGGAGGCGGCGGATTTGACTGGCACAGAGAACGCTCCAATGTGTTGGGTGATACCGCCTGCTTCGCCTGCTGCGACCGAGGCGCTACGGAGGCGGTCCAGAAGAGACGTCTTTCCATGATCGACGTGCCCCATTACCGCCACTACCGGAGGTCGGTAAGGAAGAGAAGCTCGTTGAGATGGCGGTGGCGGCAAGGCAGGGTAGATGTCGAATGCTGCCTCGTCGTTCGAGATGGCTTCTAGATTGTACTCTGCACACAGCAGAGAAGAGTCGTCAAAAGAGAGAAGGGCATCGGGGCGGGTATCGCTCAGGGCTTGGCCTTCCATGACTCGTTGCAGAGACCATAGCTTGACTCCTAGCAGTCTGCTAAGGTTTGACACACTGATGACTTGCGGCAGAAAGACCTCCTTGGCATTTTCTACGACAGCTACGGGCTTGAAAGCCTTGACCTTCTTCTGCTTCGGCTCAGGAGGAGGAGCTTCCTCCTCCTTCTCCTTCTCCCACCACTCCTTGAGGGCAGGAGCCTTCTTGGCATTCACTCTGTCCCGCCTCCGGCTCTGTACTTCATTCCTGCCTCCACGGGGAGCGCCTTCACCATCTGCACCACCCTCAAAAGAGTCTGCTCCGCCTTCCGGCAGATCCCTTCCCTTGCCTGCATCACCCTCCTCTGCATCGGTCCCCTTTGCCTGGCGCCCCCTGTCTTGCCGGCCTGGTGCAAAAGAGTCGTCTCTCCGGTTGTCTGGTCGCCTTTGATTTCCATGTCCTCCGTTTGGCGACCGAACTTGCCCCTGTTGAGGTCCACGATCGAATCGATTGTCCGAATGCCGATCATTGCCACCTCCTTGACGCTGCCCGCCGTACCGCTCTCCATCTTGGCCGCTAGAGCTGCGGAAGGAAGGTCGTCTCTCCTGCTGTCCGCCATTGTCTGATCGCTGATCAAAGCGCTGGCGCGGCCCTCGAGAGGCGTCACCTCCTTGTTGCGAGCCTTGAGAGCGGAAGCCGGGCTGCCGCTGGTATGACTGCTGCTGCGACCGCTGGTCCGACCGGTTGTCGTATTGCGGCCGGTCGCCGCCGTAGCGCTGCCCTTGACCTCCATCGCGATCCCGAGGCGGACCTCTGTTGTTGAATTTGGGCTGATCTTGGTCACGATTGAAAGAGGGTCTATCTCCACCGTTGTTGCGCTCTCGGTAGCTGTTCCCACCATATCCACCCCCACCTGCGCCTCCACTCCTACCAAGGGCACCTGGCCCAGTACGAGGTGCTCTAGGTCGGGATTGGTCAATCGAGTATGAGTCTCGCCTGGGAGGCCCATCTCGATTGTTGCTCCGGTTGCCTCCTGCAAATCGATCCGATCCGCCTGATCCCTCGGCGTAGTGCCGGCGATTAGCCAAGAAGTGGCATGGAGAGGAGGAGGCGGCAGTGGCTGACTCCAGAAGAGTTGTCCGGGTGAGTGTCAGGGCGGACAGCTGATATCTCCGAGTGCCGAGTCGAAGCATGACTTTGGTAGACCCCCCAGAAGGGATGAGGATGAAGATGGGTATGACAACAACGATGTAAGGATGGGATGACTGGTATCATCGGCTCACTTCCGGCGTCCTTTTTGAAAAAGGAAGATCTGCTGCAGCCAATGACAATTTTCCCTTTCCGCTCAACGACGGAAGTGCGAGCAAGGCACGACGCTCAACCACTCCTTCCCAATACAAAGCCATACTCAGCCTACCTTTGCCTTCTAATCCAACATCATCCCTATCCGGCTTGAGAGTCTCGTGAGAAGATAGCAAGGTACTAGCAGTCTCCTGTCTGGTCATGCCTCCTCGATGAGCAGTCAGGCTGGCAGCGAGAGCGGCAGCAGTAACGACGAAGACAGCATCCTAGGCCAGGTGCAGCGCGAGGCAGGCTCCAGCCGCTCAAGGCTCCAAAGCAATGGCCAAGCGCAAGACCCACCAAACGACCACGACTCAGACGAACATACCGAAAATGAGGATTCTGCCACTACTGGCTCCTCCGACGTCGGACCTGATGCCATTGATCTGGCCAAGTACAGGGAGCGGCTGGCTGCTCATGCTCAGGACGTGTGGAGACACTTCCACAAGCCCAAGCGCCTGCGACTGGCTTTTCGTAAAGACTGTTCTGCGTTGCAGACCAACAGCATGGAGGCAGCGCACCTCGAGAGTGATTCCAACGAGGCATCCTCAACGACCGCGGCAGAGCGCGTATCACCTCTCGGATGGACAGAAGCAGAGCAGAGTGCCTTCTTCCCTTCGCTGGCCCGACATTCGCGTCTACGTCCCGATCTCATCAGTGATGACCTGGATGGCACAAAGACGGCTGCACAGGTGTCTCATTACATCTCGCTCCTAGAGGCCGCTACGCAGCGGCTGGTCCGTTCTGATCACTACCGCCAATCGGGGCCACGCAGGATCAGAGCTCTGCCGTCTGCAAAGGAAGTACCCGCCCACTGGACGGCTCTCGAGGCTGAGGCTGCTCGACAGCTCGATGCAGACGATGGTACTCCTCATCAACCTGTTGTCGAGAACAAGATCAGACAAAAGACCGGCCAGAGAGGTGGCATGAGCCACACCCCACCCGTACCTTGGGATAGCCAAGTGCTCAATGCTTTGCTCTTCCTTCGGCAACAAGCAGTCAAGTCTGGTCAGCGTGGCACAACGGCCCAAATTGAGCTCAAGAAGCGAGGTACATTGCCCTCACGGGTCTCCACCTTTACATTTGGCGAACTGCTCCACACGATGATCTACCGCGCTCGAACTGATAAGAAGGCCAAGGGAGAGGGCAACGCCGCATGGATGAGGTACTCCCAGACCCACCCTGTCCCGCCTCTGCCGAAGCCAAAGAGGTTGGCAGGAGCTCAGAGATCAAAAATGTTGCCTCCAACAGGCAGAGAGGCAGACGCAAGGGATGCAGAGGCAACTGCAATTGAGGAGGCGGATGATATCGAAAGCGCCCACGGTGGAGTTGCCTACCGCCTCATCTTGCGAGCGATCGAGCTCGGCTTTCTCTTACGGGCCACCCCTGTCAAGAAGCCATCTGACAAAGACAAAGATGACCTCATGCCTCGTTTTTATCTACACCTGGCCCGGGATGGCACAGGCATTAGACACAAGCGACATCGAGAAATTTCTTCAGACGCACCTGCCCCCTTGCCGCACAAAGTCCTTCGCCAGACACACCTCGTATGGGCTGACAAGCTGCCTGTACATCTTTTGCACGAGAGCGGAGCAAGAGAGCTAGCTCGACAAGCGCGTACGGCAGAAGAGAAGCTTCGTGAGGGGAAGAAAGCTGCATTGGACCGAATCCTATCGTCTGTCAGTATTGAGGAGGGATACTGGCTGGCAACTCTGCTGCAGCCAACTAGTTCGGGCTCGATACTTCCAGAGCGAACGAACAAAGACCAGGAGAGCATTGCTGGCGTGGATGCCCTCGCCAGTCTATCGAGCAAAGATCGGAATAGAGTTCGCATGCGCATCAAGCGCTACGAAGCCAAGTACGGCCCATTGCAGTCGGACGCCGTCTCGAACTTCTTAGTCCCTCCCATGCGGAAAGGGACCCGACTGCCTCGTGTCGGTATGAGAGGCGTGCAGGAGCGCAAGGGCGAGAAGAGCAGCATTCTGGAACCCTTTCGGGATGTCATCTACGCTCTGCCTCCTGAGGAGAGGGCCACTGCTAGGAGTAGGATCCGAACCAGGATTGTCAGATGGGGACTGGAGGCTGCACTGAGTGCTGGGTTCGATGCTTGGAGTGATGGCATTACCTCTGGGAAGCGAGCTGTGCCAAGGCAAGCATCTATGACCCCAGGAGGTACAGAAACGATTAGACAGGGTGAAAATGAAGCGCAGCCGGCGGCCTCAGCATCGTCTCCGAGCAGGTCCGATGCCAATACCGCTGCTTTTGCCGAAGATACTCCCATTCCGAGCAATGGCGGCACTGTGTACGACCCTTCCACCACCAACAATGCTCAAGACGACATTAGCTTCAGCGACAAGAGGGCAGATCGCTTCCGCCAGATCGGCGTCTCTCGGCAGGACATCACCAGCCGACTCGCCGAGCTCGCGGGAGAAACCATGTTCCAGACTCTCAACCTGCATGGGCTCTTCCATCACCTACAGGTCATGAATAGTAAGACGAGGTGTCTCACAGGGGAAGAGGCAGAGGTGGAACGGCCGGAAAAGATCGTTGCTACAAAGCTGGACGTACTACGACTGCTTCCGGATCTAGGCGCAAAGCTTCGCTCCTTTGTTGAGCAGGTCGCACATGGTGCAGCGCGACAAGCCGAGCAAGATGCAAAGACATTCATCGGCGCAGCTGAGGTGAGACAAATGCTCCGCGAGCGGGATCAAGTCACAAGCGTCGCTGAGATGCGCAAGCGTGAGCGCGAAGCTGTTCAAGGAATCCCACGAGCTCTAACGGAGGACGAACGCCAGGAGGCTTCGGCCAACATGGAGCGAGACCCACCGGTAGACTGGCAGAGCAAGCCGCATCTCATGGCCGACGAAGAGTACAGCTCGTTCGGCGGTCCCGCCCAACAGGACAAGTCTACCTCAAGAGCTCTCACCACCCTCTCTTCCCTCGGCAAGCGCAAGAAGCGGGGCTCGTCGGACCCTATCGCAACAGCCAGTCTGGATGAGGAAGAAGAAGATGGAGAAGCAGAGCTGTTCGAGTCCAATGCCGAAGCGGCCGAGGTTCAGGCGGTCCGCTCCATATGGGCCTCCTCCTCCTCCTTCTTCAGCAGCAGCAGTTCCTCACGCCGTCAAACAGACAGAGACGACGAGAGAATCCCGCCGATGTGGCGCGGCTTCTACTGGCCCAACAGGACGAGGATGGCTCACGGTGGGAAAAGCAACGACTCTCCTACCGACTCCGACAATGTCGAGAGCGACACCTCAGACCGGGCCTCTTCCAGAGCCTCTGAGGCAGTGCTAGACTCGGAAGCCGAATCTGAGAAGTGGTGGGAAGGATTGGCCAGGCAGGATGAGCAGCGGGATGCGCGTGCGTTGCGGGAGGAGTGGGAGAAGTGGTTTGGTGGGAAAGTGAAATCGTCTGCGCTTGCTCCCGCACCTGCTTGTGGGTCGACAGAGGCGGCCAGGAGTGCACAAGAACACGAGGTCGTTGGAGGAGGACAGGATGCGGACGGAGACGGAGGCGAGGACGGAGAGGAAGAGGAGGAGGAAGAGGAAGAAGAAGACGATGACGGCGATGGTAAAGGGAGCGATGCTATCCCTGACTGGTTGCAGGAGATGATGGACGCAAAGAAGCATCGCAAAGGCTCTGCAGAGGGGGGACAAAAGGAGGGCGATAAGTCGTCGGGCCACCGCTCGCTTGCTGAAGGCGAAGACGGGGACGGAGACGGAGAGGGTGACGAAGATCCAGATGCGCAGGATGTCGAAAACGAGGATGATGGTGATGATGTTGAGATGGGCGAGGACTAGAGCACCTCAGCTCGTGAATAGCAGTAATACAACAGTCGGTCAATACCAAAAGCTTCACCGACGACTCCATCTTCTCGGCTTCCTCCCTACTAAGTCATGACCCAAAGCGACTCTTCGCCAGCTCCTTGAGCATAGCCATCGTCCCATCCTCCTTTGCCTTAAAGGCCTGTCGTTTGCTCTCCATCTCCTGCTCCTTCTCGAAACGCTTTGCCTCGCGAGCCTCTTGCGCTTTAGACCTTGCAGGACCGAGACGGGCTCGACTTTGTGCCGCGAGCCTGATGGGGAGACAGAGACCGCAAGGACAAGATCACGGTCAGCCAAGTGTGTTAGAGGACGTAGTCGAGGCTGCTGCCGCTGCACTGTCAGGTGCCACTCACGCTTCTTGAAAGCTCGCACCCCCACCCATGAGCTGTTCCTCTGGTAGCTCAATATCCCCTGCACCTCTAGCCGCCTCAAAGTCTCGATTAGCCCGATTGGTCTCCCTGCGCTTCTCGATGACGGCATCGCGCCCCGTGGCCCTCGGGTTGGCCTCCTCGCGTAGGTCTTTGGCGTCGCGACGCTCGCCGCGCCGCTGCGATTGGGCTTGTCGGCGTGCGTGCTCGGCCGCTTCTTCTGCTGCTAGCCTGGCGTCTGTAGGATGAGCGCTCCTGCCGAGAGGTGTGGTTCCACTACTGGGTCCTGCAGCGGGAGGCATAATCGGTCCGATCTCCTCGCCGTCTCCTTCCTCAGCGGCCCCACGTCCTCGGGACGAGCGCGACTTCATCTCCCTCTCCCTCCTCTCCTTTGCCCCTTTACTCATCCCATTGGTGAGCGAGTCCACCCCATCCCTCAGCAACTCCACCTCCTCCTGGTCCCTCCTGCTGCGCTTCTCCACGAAGCCCCACTTGTACCCCGTCTGCCCTGCAGAGGTCGTTGCGAGGGAATTAGAGGTGATTCCACCCTCGGTATAGTAGAGGTCTGGAAGTCGCCCTCGATTGTACTTGTCTATGAACTTGCGGAAGAGTGAATGCGACTCGCGAGAGGAGAGGTCGTTGAGACGCTTGGGCTTGCGAGAGGTGAGAAGCCAGTGCCGGAAGGGAGCGGATTGGGCGTAGTAGTCCTCTTTCGTCAGCGGTTGTAGCCCGGAGGAGGCGAGACGGGGGTGGAGTGGCGGTGGCTCGCTTGAACCAGAAGCGTCGTTTTCGTCGTCAGAGCCAGAGTCAGAGGCGGAACCGGGCGAGGAAGAAGGGGAGCGATGCCGGCGATGCTTCCTGCTGGAGTGATGCCGCGAGGATGACGAGTGAGGACGATCATCTCGCTCGCGTCGTCGTTCTCGATCATCATCTTCTGCCTTTCTCGAGCGCTTACGACCCTCGTCATCCTCCCTGTGCCTCCTTCTCTCAGCATGCCGTCTCTCATCGTCTTGATCCTCGCCATTGCGGCGGTCATCTCGCTCTCTTTTCCTCCTGCTGTGACGAGCCTCGTCGTCTTCTGCCTCATCCCGCCTGTCCCTCGCGCGGTGGTGCCGCGACTCATGCCGCTCATCTCTGCGCCGATCCTCATGACGGTCGCTATTGCTTGTTGTCGCTGATTCAGGCCCGGCCATAGTGTCCCGGCCTGTATATGGAGCTGGAGAGGTGGGTGCAAGGATTGGTTGAAGACTCGAGAAAGTGTAGCTGGTATTTCCGCCCTTTGCCTCTGCTCCACTTTTCCGAGGCGTTTCCTTTCCGTGTTGCGGGGAATCTGTGAAGACCGGAGCCGAGAGCTCAAGAATCTCGCGATGTACGGTGAATACACCCGTCGACTCATGATCTGAACAACACTGAGGTACCGTGATCAGGTCGGCACAGGCAGAGGTATGGCATTCAAAACTAACAGAGAGGCCTTGAAGCTAACTGACGAGAAGGAACGGATGTTCAAAGTCGGAGCCGAGCCGTCAAGCAAAGGTGAGACATGCTCCACCCACAGTCAACGCCCCTTGGCTCAAAGCAGCAGGCGCCGCTTTGTCCCCTTAACTACACCTTAGTCATATTTCCAACTCCATAAAGAGGTGTTTGACATCTCTGCGTCCATGTCTGAGCAGAAAGAGGCGGCGCCCAGTCCGGGCATCCAGCCTTATCGCGCGGCCGCCTATACATTCTCTTTCCAGCCTGCAAATCCGACACGGCATACGAGGGACCCAAGGTACACTACCTTGATTCCTCGTGCTCTTCTTGGGAGAGCCGTCCCCAAGCCTGTGCCCTCAGAGCCATGGGCCACAGATGACCTGTATTCCTACGGTTACCCCTCCCCTGACGTTACCTCTTCCAGAGGATCGCGTACTAAGAGTGCCTGGGGAGAAGATCAATACCTCAAGCACGACGTTGAGGACAGCTTCTATCCTGAGCTCTACGTCTTCAACACCTCTCCAGTCGTACATCAGTCTGCCGAGAAGATTGCAACCTCAGATGAGGTGTCGAAGCTCTTTCAAGAGCTGAACGACGTTGTAGGAGATGGCAAAACACCTAAGGCGTACAGGGGCCTCTACGACACCGACGCCCCGGGAGCTGGTGAGACAGTGAAAGTCTCTATGACGACCAAAATCTGCAAGTTGAGCGAGTCTGTGCGTGCGCAGCTGAGTGCAGGCAATTCCACTTACAGCAAATGCGTCCCAAAGGGACCCGCGGCACGTGTGAGTCGAGAGAATATTACATTGCAGTTGGGCATTGACTCGCCGCTGACAGAGGAAAGTGCTTGTGTACTCTCGATACGAAATTCCAGCGCAACACAAAAGAGAATGACAAAGACGAAGACGTCAGAGTCGACATCTTGGTACAAGCATCCAACCCTTCGCCGACACAAATTGACGGGGAGTCTGTCCGCTGGTCGAACGCTGTTTCCTTCACAGAAGTCAAGGCGAGAGATGACGTCGATTGGAGGGATAGGCTCATTCTGCAGATCTCACGCTACGCAGTAAGTCAGCCAGAGTCACGGTGTTGCATCGTGAATTGGGTAACGCTCTTTCTCTGGCACTGACAGCTGCTTCGCTTTCTCGTGTACTCTGCCAGGGCAAGATCTGTCGGTATCGTTCCATCATCTCTCACTTGCACTGTGTGACGTGGTGTGGTCACACGGTACGATTGTGGTACCTCAACGCCGGTGTTCTTGCCTGTTCTCGATCCTTCGACACTCGAGAGGGTCACGACCAGATAGAAATCGTGAAGATCCTGCGTCTTCTATGCTTAGAGGAGCACTCTACCCTTCTGTGTGGTCGGTGGGATGTTGCGGTTCAGAAGATGTTTGAGGTTCAAGCTGACGGTGAGGCTGAGCCATTGAAAGCCAATGCCATCAATCGAATGGGAGCGCTCAAGATACGGTCAGGACCTTATGGAGGCCGTACCGCGGTCTTCGCTGATCAAATTGGCAGCGACGGCAAGGTACTGATGCTCAAAGTGTCATGGCTAGCAGATACTCTGAGGTCCCACGAGATGGAGATGCTACGTGGCATCCAGTCGGTAGGTCTGCCCTACGCCCCTGAGCCGCTTGGTCTGGCTAAGATCCCGGCCTCTGGCTTTCGAAGCTCGCCTTGCCAATATTTGGACATCTCACCGAGGAGTGCTATAAGCTGCTGTGCCCTTTTGACCAAGCAACATATCGGAGACCGCATTGGCCCGCAAGTCACAGGGCATGACCTTCTAAAGATTCACATACAGCTTGCCGAGCAGCTACTCAAACTCGCAGAGAGGGAGTATCATTACCGTGACATCAACGAGGGCAACGTTCGAGTCCTGCACGGCTACACAGATGTTCTACTTCTTGTTGATTTTGGCAATATGCGAAAGGGCCTTAGCCCAACAGGATATTCGGAAATGACGTACGCTGAAGCGATGGTTGACAGGGCTACTGACGACACGAGAGCGGCAAATCCAATGTTTCTGCCTACCTCCTCTGTTCCACTTAAGCTCGCAATCACACGTTGGGAAGACGGCTTGGAGCAAGTGCAGAGCGACTTCCAACGTGCGGTGGACGGGAATGCCAGCAATGGCGTCCGATCAGGTCTACAACACGTTTCAGCCCAGCTCAACTACTTTCGTACGGTACTACGGAAGCTAGCTATGCAGTCCCATCGTTACATTGACGACTTGGAGAGTGCGTTGTACTTGCACGTCTGGACGGTAAGTAAGTCGGGCACGCTCATCGACGCGCAAGTCTAACTTCACTGTCTTTCCCCTGTGCGTCGTTTGGGTTTTGCTTGCTCTGCGTCTCCCCTCTCCTTGCCGCAGAGAGCCTCCAACTCTCACGAGACCGGGAATGGGAATGGGAACGTAGCAATCTTGGTAGTGTTGGCGAAGCAACTTGCCGACCTCCCCGACAAGAAGAACAAATGGGAGAAAGGTTCTGCATGGCTTAAGGTGAGTAGCGCCATCCACTGCTCGTTAGTCGTGAGCATCCACTGACAAGTTTTGCTTTGATCACTGCCGAATTCAAGCTTCTGAACACGTACTGTCCGACGGCGTCCGAAGCATGGAAGAACCTCATGCGTAAATTGCGGACAACCGTTCGCGACGCTCGATCAGCGCTCGATCAGGAGCTCGCGGACCAGTTCGACGCCGCAGAAAGCCTCAAGCTCGATTCCTTGCAGGAACGTCTGACAAGAGGACAATGGGAATCTGGTGTAGAAGCGAAGGATATCATCTTGGAGCTCTTTGATGAGAGAAGCTTGCTGGAAGACAGTGGACTACATGACATCGAGAGAAGGTGCTTCGAGCAGTGTACCAGTCTGATGCGAGCAGCGGTAGACTCGGGTCAGGAGATGTGATGTGGGGCACAAGGGACGCGACATCGAGGGGCAGACGCAGGAGCTGTCGAGGATAGCTGGGCACATGGCGGTCTTCTTTTACAGCAGTGCAATTGATATAGCCAGACTTGCCCACAGAGGTAAGTCATCCTTGATGCACTATCTGTCTCCTGCCATCGGCGCTGTCATACTTTGTTGCCGTCGTACTGTCGGGTACAATCGCGAAAGTGGAGGCGTGGGGTCGGGAAGGATGCAGCCCACCAGCCACGCCCAATGAAATTCACCTCACCCCGCACTTGACCTTGCCATTGTTATTCAGTTCCTCTCGTTTCCTCTCCTCCCTCCTCTATTCGGACTCATACTCTCCCCTGTCCATCTCCTTCCATTCCATCATCCGCTGAGATGTCGAGTGCCGAAGCAGGACCCTCCAGGGGCCCTAGGCAGGTCACTCCGCCACCCAGCAGAGGGTGAGTAGCAGCACGCAGCCTCATGGGCATTCATTCGCCTGCACTTCAACTCGCCACTATGTACGCTCCTCGGCTGACATGCTTCCCTTGTGACCATCATATACAGTCCCCGAGATCTCCCTGCGACGCCAGAGCATGTGAGGACGTTGCAAGAGAATAGGCTCAAGGGTGAGTCGGTCTCGCTCCGCTCAGTAGGCCGGTTGTCACATTGAGCCATCGCAGCTGATGCCTCTATCTCGCCCTTCTTTGCTGCCGCCGATCAGCCAAGGCTCGGATACAGGCGCAAGCTGCCGCTCAGTTTCCACAACACAAGCTCAATGCCAACGGCAAGCGTCCTGCCAACGGTCCTGTCCCCCTCGAACAGCCTACCATCGGTCCCAATGGCTCGCTGCGCTCCCTCCCCGCCACGTCCCGTAATGCCCATCAAGATCAGACCAGCCTTCCTCCTCGCGATAGCAGAGACTCATCCTCTGCTGCACCACCTCGGAAAGTCGAGATCAACCCAGCTACTGGCCGTCCTCGGCTACCGGAAGCTCGAGATCGGCAACAGCGGGATGACTTCAGTGGGCCCTTGCCGCGCGATCAGTCTCTGGGTGACTACATCGAGTTTGACCTGAGCAAGCTACACAATTCAAAAGGTGGATTCCTCATCGATGAGGATTCTCTGGTCGAAGGCGGGCGGAAAACTGTCGAAGAGGTGCGCAAGGAGAGGGAAAGGGAGCGGCAGCGCATGAGAGACGCCATGGAGCCGGGTATCGTCCTGGACGATCGAGAGGAGATCTGCGTCCACTGTCAGAGCAAAGAGTTGAACGATCAGCTCAGGAAAGTCTTTGGCGTCAAGGTCTGCAGGAGTTGCGAGAGGAAACTGCCGGAGCTGTACAGTCTCTTGACAAAGACTGAGGTCAAGGAGGTGAGTACGCGTGGGCCTTGGGCGAGGCTGCAAGGTGAATGCCGGGACTGACGGATCATGTACTCCTCAACACTGGTGCCAGGACTATCTCCTGACCGATCCCGAGCTCAGGGATCCAGAACTGCTGCCCCACCTCCTCAAGGCAAATCCACACAAGTCTACATATTCAAACATGATGCTCTTTCTGCGCTGTCAGGTGGAAGAGTACGCATACTCTGCTGCTAAATGGGGTTCAGAGCAAGGGCTGGACCAAGAGTTCGAGAGAAGAGAGGAAGAAAAGAGTCGCAAGAGGGGAAAGAAGTTCCAAGACTCGTTGAAGGAGCTGAGGAAGAGGACGAGGGATAACGTCTGGCAGAGGAGGAGGGACGAGGAGCATCGCCACGAGTGGGTGGATCTCGAGGAGGGAGAAGGTGGGGATGGGGATGCTGCGGGGCAAGACTCGGGGATCAAGAAGCAGGTCTGCAATGGCTGTGGATCAGTCATCGAGGTCGAGGTCTTCTAGAGCCGGTGGTGCGAAATGTGGCTAGGCAGCGGCCTATCCCACCTTGGCCTCCCAGTTCTGAGGCAGCGGCGCCACGTCGAAGGGACCGACGATCGCCTGTGTATACCGAATTACAGCCTCTACGGAATGCAGTGCTCTTCTCTAGCTTTGCTCGAGATCCCTCGCTGTTGCTGTCCATCGTCGCGCGTAGGCTTCGGTGGCGGTGGACTTTCGAAGGAAGCGGGCGGGGCTTGACCACCTTGGCTCTGCTCCTCCCCTATCCGCAACATCGCCTCCCCACCTTCCTTCGTCATTGTCCTTGTTCCTCCTCTGCGCTTCTCACATTTCCCTGATCCACCTCTTCTCAGCATTTCACGGAGGCCGGAGTACTGCAGAGCAGCTTCAAAGCTCTGCTACCTTGACCGGCCGCATTTCAAGTCTCGCGGGCGGTAGCGTCTAGCTGCTAGCAGTGGCGGACCGGGGAGCCGGCTTCCGCCTGGTCCACCTTGCTTCTACTTCCCCACCTCTTACCGCGAACAAGGCGCAACAAGAGTCACTGGCCTTCTTCGCCAAGCGTCAGCTAGACAATTAGCCTTCAGCGCCATCCTCCTTGGCGTCTCCAAGGCGATCAGGCGGTTTGAGACTGCTGCTTTCCGCACGCTGCCGCGCCTAGTCGGGAAAAGGAGGATCGATGATGGCAGTATCCCGCAGTCCCGTCAAGCCTGAAGCTGGCAATGGACGAGAGTTGAATGGCAAGAACATGACTTTCAAGGATGAGAGTAGCCTACAGGTCAAAGACGAGCCCACAATAGGTGGTCAGACGAAGCTCAAGGACGAAGCCGGTTCCGTCTCCCCCTCTCGCTCACCCACAAAGGTCAGGTTCTCGCCTGTGTCCCGCTCTGCCGTCAAGCACAAAGCGAATGGCCATAGTGATACGAAGGTCGAAGACCAGAGCAGCCATGCCAGCGGAAGCTCTCCCGGCTCTCCTGTCTCCTCCTCATCTTCCCGGTCCCCTTACGATGGTACTCCCGAACCGGACTCTGACGCCGAGTCTTCCGCCAGCGTAGCCTCCTCTTCCAAATCTGCCCTCTCGCCCTCTTCACCACGCAGACGCCGTACTGGACCTGGTGAAGGCATCTCGAATGGCAAGGGTCTGACGCAAGTGGCGACTTCCCTCCCGCCTGGACAGAAGAGGACAAAGAAGGCAAGCACGGCAGGAGGATTCCCGCCTCAGATTGTGGATCACCTGCCGAGAGCTGAAGATGAGGCGTTAGCTACCTTCACCGTCTTGGGAGATAACACATATTCCAACAAGCATATTGGAAGGAGTCAGGGGCATGAGTGGGGGTTGGTGTGCGAGTGCAATTACAGGCCTGGTGAGTGGATGAGCTGCCCGTCTGCATGTTACGACGAGCTTTTCGCTGAGGTCGTCTTTTCTTCCCCCTGCCAGGCCGTGATGAGCTCAGTGCTGCCTGCTCTGAGGAAGCTCACTGCATCAATCGCCTCACTCAGGTGGAATGTATGGCTGCAGACTGCCGCTGTGGCTCCTCCTGCCAGAACCAGCGATTCCAAAAGAAGGAGTATGCCGACGTCGAGGTAATCCAGACTGAGAAGAAGGGCTTCGGTCTCAGAGCAGGCTCTGCCATTGCGGCTGAAGCTTTCATCTACGAGTACATCGGCGAGGTTGTGGAAGAGTCAGACTTCCAGAAGAGGATGAGACGATACCACGATGAGCGGATTCCGCACTTCTACTTTATGATGCTGCAGAGGGACGAGTACCTCGATGCTACAAAGCGCGGAGGAATCGCCCGCTTCATCAATCATAGCTGTAATCCCAACTGCTACGTGGCCAAGTGGCATGTTGGGAAACACTACAGGATGGGCATCTTTAGTCAGAGAGATATCCTCAAGGGCGAAGAGTTGACATTCAACTACAATGTCGATCGGTATGGAAATGAAGCGCAGCCGTGCTACTGTAGCGAGCCGAATTGCGTTGGACAGCTGGGTGGTAAGACACAGACGGATATTGGAGGCATGAGCAACCTCTACATTGAAGGTGAGTGGGGAGCATTTGCTAGACGAACACCAAGCCTCGTTACGCGACAAGCTGACCATTTGCTCTAATTACCATCGCATCTTCAGCTCTGGGTATTGTCGACGCTGTGGAGCAACTGCAGGCACGAGGTAACAAGAAGCAGAAGTCGCGAATCCTCGACGAAGACTTCACACCCACTCTACACCCCCTAGAGGAAGACGAGGTGCCAACTGTCGCGACTGCCATCCGTCAAGCGGCCACGAATCGGTCCATCCTCACAAAGCTACTCCAGCGTCTGGAGATGACCGACGACGTAGCAGTGCATAAGCGTTTCGTACGGTTGCACGGCTTTGTGCTCATGAGTGGCGTTCTGACCAATTGGAAGGACGACCCCGAGGTGCTCATCTCGTGCATGAGGATCCTGGCAAAGTGGCCCCTCATTGCCCGGAACAAGGTAGTGGACACTGGCGTTGAAGGTATCGTTGCATCTCTGCGCGAAGTAGAAGCACAAGAAGAGCTCGCCAATCTAGCCAAGGAACTCTACGATGCCTGGCAGCAGCTCAGCCTCGAGTTCCGCATTGCTCGCAAAGAGGAGGCAGACGCTGTTGGGGATGCTGAGGGTGAGGACCAAGATGCTGCTGGACTCGCTCGGAGTAGAAGGAGGCGAGAGTACGAAGAGGACAGTCATGACGATATCCAGTCGAGGATGGATCACGAGCTCGATCGAGCACAGGCGCCCAATGATGTATCGGATCGACTGAGAGGAGCGGTACCACGGCCGCTTGGCGTGCTGGCTGCAGGAGGTGGGACACCAGGCGCCCATCGTTTCCGAGGAGGATGGGGCGGAGGAGCTGGCTCCTGGCGTCCAGCTCCCTCTCGAGCTCCCTCTACCCCTCTGGGTCTAGGTGGACACAAGGCCAATCCACAGGGCACGCCCTCGACTCCTCAAACACCAGACGAGCGCTCCACCCTCTACTCTTCCGGGGCGCCTACTGCTACTCCCCCTTCCTCGTCGGCTGCAACCTCTGCTGCTGCTCGCACGATGAGTATCGAAGAGATTATCCGACGGGCTAATGAAGCTCAAGCACTCGAGCGGAGCAAGATGGAGGAAGACGAAGAGCGGCGAAAGGCATCGGGAGCTGCTGCTGCTGCAGTGGCGAGTGGTAAGAGGTCCGGCTCTGGGAAAACTAGGGAGAATGGAGCTTCTTCTTCGACGAGCGCGAGTAAGGGCAAGCATCGCAGTAGCTCTGGCAATGGAGATGACTCCTCCTCGAAGCGACGCAAGAAGAGCCATCGCTTCAACACTTCCACTTCTGCCCATCCCAACGGCTCCTCTACCTCTAGCTCCATTCCACTGACACAGCAGGACCTCGAACGTCAAATTGACAAGCGTCTCCGTCTCATCGTAGGCGAAGTGGTCGTGCAGGTCATGAGCAAGTACAAGGATCGATTGGAAAAGGAAACGTTCAAGAAGCATGCGAGGGAACTCACAGAGGTCATTTGCGCAAAGGAGAAGAAGAATCCCAAGTTTTGGCCACCGGTACTACCTTTGGCTGTACCTGCATCCGAAGAAGCGAAGCTAGACAAGGAAGGCGAGACGGCTCAGCAGCAGCAACCTCCAACCACCTCCACCTCCTCTCCTTCAGCAGCCGAACGTCACCTGGAGAAACTCTCTGCAAGTGGGGAGAAGAAGGAGAAGATGAAGAGCTTTGCAAAGGAGTATACACAGAAGCTTGTGGCCAGAAAGGGGCTGCCGAGTGCTGCTGCTAGTGCGGGTGTAGGAGCGGGAGTAGGAGGAGGAGGGGATGCTGGTATAGGGGATGCTAGTGCTAGTGCTAGTGCTAGTGCTAGTGCTGGTGCTTCCTAGCTAAGCGCAGCAAGGAGAGGGGAGGGTGGGGCTCAAGATTGCTGATGTTCAACGGTAAAGTTCTGAAGGCGGAAATGTGGAAAGCATGCAAGATCACTGGCAGTCAACATCCTCGTCTCACAAGCACGGCCGCAATCACGACCACGACCACGACCATGGACATGGGGCACGGGCATGAGTTTGAGCATGAGCATGAGACGAGCATTGGCACTGCCCTCTACAGTACAGAACAGAACAGAACATGACAGGACAAGACAGGACAATGACATGCATACGTCTCTGACATCGTAATCGCCTCTGACGCATCTGAAGACTCGTAGACTGAGCGTGTGATCCAAGGAAGAATCGATTACAAAGTTCTTGTGGAACGGTGGGGTATATTGCTGCTACTGCTAATGTACACGGCTCCTCTCTTGGTAAGTCCTCTCGCCACACTACGCCTCGCTTCGCCTTGCTTCGCCTCGGCTTCTCTCAGCTCAGCCCATCATCAGGTCAATCTCCAATTGACGTGCTCACGCTCATCGACCAATCGTCCTCGGCGCTGGCACTCCGCCAGCCACTCGCCCGTGACGAATCGCAGCGGGGCCTTATTCCCGCCAGATCTGCCGGTAGAGTCCCTACCGAGGAGGGCATTCACCTGTGCCTGCAAGCTAGCGCTCGCGCTCGCGCTCGTGCTTTCAGCACCTGCTGAAGGCAAGGCCAGTCCGAGGAGCTTGGCGCACTCCTCGCTGCTAGGCGAGCGTGGCAGGCCAAGCGAGACGAGATGTGTGACGCTCCCCAGATCTTTGTTTCCCTCCCTATCCGATTCTGACACTTGTTCGCCTCCTCCTTCCCCTGCTTCTGCCCTTGCAGCAGCCCGTTCCTGCAACATCCCAGCTCTCGCCACGCGCACTCGCCCACCTCTGCGTACCAGACGCTCGATGGTCCCTGCGAGAGCGGCGTGATAGCGAGCATGAACGACGAGGAAGGTCATTCCTGCAAAGAGGAGATGAGGTCCCTCAGGTGTGCCATTTGGTACAGGCTGGCGACCATGAATCGAAGGAGATGGGGCGGGCCCCTGCAGTTGGGCGTGCGGAGGAGGATGGGCGTGAGGCAGCCGTCCCTCGGCAATCCATTGATCCCAGCTCGCGACGCAAGCTTCGAGGGACGTCCAGGTTGGCTTGCGCTGCGGAACGGACTTGTGCTTCTTGGTGGCCGAAGAAGAGCCTGCTGAGCTGGGAGGGACTGCATTCGCTGCTGGGGCAGAGGAAGAGGGTCGGCCAGCCGTCGAGGGGCGTGGGAGCGCTTCCGAAATCAGGGGCAGAGCCTTGTAAGCTCCCTCGGGCGGGACATTCGACATCTCCAACCTTCTTGGGCCAGTCGTCGCACCCAATGCGCCCTTTGCACGCTCCTGAGCAGTACTCTTACTCCTGCCCAGCGTCCTCGATGCACCTCGGATACGCTTCTCCTGCCCTTGGAGCCGGTCCAGCCGCTCACTGGCCACGTCTGCCTTACGCTTCAGCGCTGCACCCTTCTCACGATCTAGCGCTTCAAGGAGCGCAGCGTCGTGGGTGCCTTTGCGCGATGGCAGGGCAGCAGAAGAGCCTCCTCGAGTCTTGTGCGTCTCTCCAATCGTTCGAGTGCGTTCCGCCTCGCGGTGGTCCAGCGCAGTGGTGGGCTGCTTGCTCACGGGTAGCAGTGCCTCCTTGGCAAGACTACGCCGCTGCTGCTCTCCTTCTTCGTCCGTGGCTGAATCGGACTGAGTCTGACTCAACGCCAAGACTGCTTTGCCAGCCTTTCGCCCATTTTCACTGCGAGTCGCAGGAGGCGAGCCTCCTGAGGAAGAAGCTCGTCTTCGTCTGTCTGCTTCGAGAACAGCATCCTCCTCACTTCGACTCCGGGCTCTGATCGGCTGTGCTGCAGACTCTGAATTCGATCGTAGTTGATCCCGAATCGAACCTGCTCCTCCAGGGAGAAGTCTCAGACCCTTGTTACTTGCTTGCACATGACTGCGCTTCTCGGTCGGTGAGCGAGGCGTATCTATGCCTGCTTGTGGCTCACGCGGGCGCAGAGCTGCTGAAGTAGACTCATCGCCCGGAGTAGTGATGGCTGTCATCTGCCCAAAGTCAAGTACGCAAGCGGCGAGTGCTGGGGCAGGCGCAGGCGTGATGGGGTCGTCTTGAGGTCTAGGTGCATTGGCAGAGGTGGGTCTTACTAGAGCCTTCGTTGTCTTCCTCGTAGCCTTTGACTTGCCCGTAGCCACGTCGGTGGCACTCTTGCTCCTCGTCTGCCTTGCCCTGCGTGTCCGGGCTCCGGAGCCTTCTTGACTAGCTTGTCTACCCTCCTTCTCTGCGGTCCTCTCCAGGCTCATGCTCGCTTCCGTGAGGTCTGCCTCCTGCTCGAAGGGCCGATGGAGATGGAGGTGATCTATATGTGGCTGAGCTTCCTTGGTCCCGTTGGCAGCAAGCTCGAGTCTCTGGGAGCTTTGGAGAGCTGGCAGAGGCAGAGACACTAGCGGTCTGTCTACCGTAGCAGCCACCGGAGGGCCGGAAGCGTCGGAAGGTGAGGTGATGGAGTAGGACGGACCTGTATCTGGTCGAGAGCTTCGCGATCGCTCGCCAGAAGATGGCAGACGAGTCGTGTCGTTGGGGTATGGCAGGGTCTCATGAGAGACGTGCTGCTCAGCATCAGGAATCCCTGCTGTCGGCTCGCCCTCCTTCTGATTGAGTCTTCGAGCAGACGACGTAGAAGTGACGAAGGCCTCGAGACCTTCCGCTCCATCGTATCCCACCAAATCGAATTGAATGCTACTCAGTGGTGGAGAAGGGGCTGCCTCCGTCACGTCCGGAAGCGCGGGCTGGTCGGGCAAGAGCTCGTTGAGAGCAGTCTCTTGCATTCCTTGTTCCTCAATATCTACTACAGCCAGCCCAGCCCACTTTGGTCTTGCTCTAACCCCGAGCGCATACCCAGGCCTGGGCACCTGAATCCGCAACCAAGCAAATCCACCGTCATCCGTCTTTTTGCTGTCCTCTTGAACTTGAACGGAACGAGTGGGAGCGTCGACGGGCGAGGACGTACCGATACGTCTCCTCTTGGCGGAGGTTCGAGAAGGCGTAAAGTGCTGCACAGGGAGGGAAGATTCCAGGTGGGGTGATCGAGGCTCTGCTTCTCCTTCATCGTCCTGCTGAGGCACGAGCTCGGCAGAGCCAGGAAGGAGACCATCTTCCCCTTGGCTATGCTCGTTCGCTACAAAGTCTGCAGTCTGAGAGGAGTCTTCCCCAGGAATGTTTTGCTCCCATCGTACTGGCGCCTCCCTGTCGAGCTCTTGTAAGAAGGCTTCCAGCCGGCGAGCAAAGCGCGGAAGCACGCCCGTCCCTGGCGCTGAGGCCGAGGCCGAAGTGTACGCCCGCATCATGTGTCGAGACGATGACGAGTAGGGTTTCGTAAGGGGGAGCTCATCCTGAAGAGCAGAGGTGATGTGAAAGCGGCTTTGAGGGCCAATGGTGTATGAGGAAAGACGTGGTGCTCGACTTGTGGTACGCAGACACTTGGCTGACGGAAAGAATGACTTTCCTCGACGTTGCGGAAAGAGCGTCGCGCCTCACGGACCACACGCGAAGCGGAATCGGACCGGATCGGACTGGACTGTAGAGATGCAGGCCGAGCAGAGTAATTCCCTCCTCAGGTCATATGATATGGTGGGATCAGCGGCTTGACGAAAGACAACCTTTTGGGATGCATTACTACTGCTGGTAACACAAGCAGCGGCCTCATATCCCCGCCCCCGGCCCGCCCATCATCCTTGCCTTGCGATCCGCACCTCTCGTGCGAGCCGCATTCCCCCTCCTCTCTTTGTTCTTCGCACCGCGATCATTGCCCGAATGACCACCTCTGCCTCTGTTGGAGCCTCCACCCTCACCGCCGCCACCACCGGCACCACCACCGCGTCCACCCCCTCTTCCGCCACCACTACCACCACGGTCGCCACCGCGTGGCATTCTCCCTCCGCGACCACGATCTGGTCCGAAGCCTCTCTGCGAGGCGTCTCGACCTCCTTCTGGTCGCTGTTGCGTCGGTGGTGGAGCCAGATTTGGGTTTCCGCCAGAGAGAAGGTCGTGTGATGCGGCCGAAGAGAGCAATGTATCTTTGCGGGGCTAGAGCGGCCAGAGGAAAGAGAGAAAGGTCAGCTGCTTGCACACGGGGAGGGTACTTGGTCTCAGTCTGTACGCCTGACCACGTGTACTCACATTGCGCTCGAACATCGTTCCCCAGCTCTCCACCAGCGAGTCGTCCCACGCCTTGCCCGTCTTTGCTTCCAGCTCCTTCTTGAGGTCCCTCCTGCTCGCACTCTTCCGACTGCTCGCCTCGCGGGCAAAGAGGGCGGGACCATGTTGCGAGTATGCCAGAATGAGGACACGCTCCGCCATCCGCTCCGCCGCTGCCCCTCCTGCAGCTGCAGATGGAGAAAGAGTTTTGGCAGCACTTTGCTCCTCATCGTCATCTTCCTCCTCCTCCTCATCGCTGAGATCCTCCAGCCTGCGCCTCCACTCTCTCGCATTCCCGCTTTCCCCACCGATCTGAGCAATGCCCCTGCGTCTATTCAGCCTCTCGTCTTCCTCTTCTGCTTCGTCCAATTCCTCTTCGAAACCCACTTCCTGGGTAGTGTTGGTGGAGAAGGGATTCCACTCCTCCCCACGTAAGGCGGCTTCCTCCTCCGCGGTCTGCGCAGAGACGCGGGCCAGGATTTGTGATTTGAGAGAGCCAGAGATGGGCTGGATGGGCGCAACTTGATCCGTTGAGTCTCCGTTGCCACCCCATCGCAGGCGAGTCGAGTCGAGTGGCTGGTCGCTGAAGATATTTGCACGTCGAGGCTTGCTAGGCGGAGCAGTAGGAGGGGGTGATGCAGATGCACTGATAGGATGTGGAGCGCTCTGAGGTGCTGCTGCTGCTTCAGAGTGCACACCATCCTCTGTGTCCTCATCGAGTAGCATCTGGATGACCTCCTCATCGGACTTGCCACTGTACTTGGGCTTGCTCAACAGAGTCTTCAACCGGCTTTCATCAGCTGCAAGGTGAGGCAGTATAGCCTCTACCATGCCGAGCAGCGAAGGCGATACCTCTGCTGGTTGGTCGATATTGGTCACTTTGTCTTTGCCTTTACTCTGTGCTCTCCGGCGCGCACTTGACTCTGTCTCTCGCTCCTGTAGCCTCTCCTGCTGCAGAGACTGCAGAAGCGTCTCCCATCCACCGCCCAAGGAACCAAGATCGGTCTTATCCCCCGCCTGATTCGCTCGCGATGCGGCTGCAGCTGTGTCTTCTTGAGCTGCCTGCAGACCTGCAAGAGCTGTCTGGCGAGTCTGATCCTCAGCGGGCGTGGAGGCTGGAGAGGATAATGCTGTGCGAAGCGATGAAGCCAGCTCTGTGCGAGCGAGGAGCAAATCGACCAGAAGCGGAAGGCTGATCAGTGCCTGAGCAGAGTCTGATGATGACGTCGAAGGGCCTTGGGCAGCTGAAGTCAAGGAGACAGCGCATGTAGCCAATCTATTTGTCTGGCCACTGGCAAGATATCGTTGGAGCAAAGACGAGGCAGCGTCCAGGAGATGAACCTTGCAGGAGAGGACATCTGCAGAGGAAGACGAGCCCAGCTCGGCATACTTTGATGCAATGGCTGCAGCAATGTCGTCCGCTTTGATCTGAGCAGCCACCTGGTCACTGCCAATTTGGGGTGTCCTGCTGTGGCTCTGCTGCTTAACAGGGGTAGGCAGGTGGCGCAAGAGGGCGTCTGCAATCCTTACTGCCCTTGATAGCTGTGATGGTCGGTCAGACGACGAACCTCTGCAAGACTCAGCGGCAGCTGACAGCAGCTCTTCTGATATAGTTGCGTCTATGAAGTGAGGCAGGAGGTTATGAATGCGCTGAGAGTAGCTGTCGTTGCCGAGGATGCAGAGATTGATGGTAGCGTCCTTGGTAGGTAGCAATCTCTTGGCGAGAGATGGATCCTCGCTATTGGCAGCATTCTCGAGCAGTCTGATGATACTGTCTGTAGCTTTCGAAGATTCTTCGACTGGCCAATCACGGGACAGGACTGCTAGAGAGAGGGTCTGCAGGGCTCGAGAGAGAAGGCGAGGTAATTGTGGCTGCTGCAAGATGAGGATGGACAACTGTGAGGCGGCGATGGTGGACAGTGACCCTAGGAGCTTCGCCACTGCGGGCGTCAGCAGCGGCGTAGGCGACGAGACTGTCATCCTCGCTGCTCTGAGCAGGGACGGGAGCCAGAAGTCGGATTGGGTGGTGGGAGTAGGTTGGAGTAGTTGCAGATGTCCAAGCGCATGAAGAAACGGAAGCAGGATGAGTGGAGAATCGAAGCGCGACGCTCACGCGGGCCAGACACCCGTTCCGCTTCCGCTTCCGCGTCTTCTCCGCTACGCCACCGCCAAGCCACACACGCGCTTTCAGACGTAAGGAGGCGAGAATTGTGGAACAATCTCAACCGAGATTCGACAAAGTGCAGATTTCCAGACATTGAGATGCCAAGAGGGTTCAGGAGGAGCCTATCGACAAGAAAAAGGGCCATCGATGAGGATTTCAAAGCATCGAAAAACCATCGTCGAAAGGTCAGTACGCCCCCCAACAGCCAGCGTGAGGGGCAACACCGGCTACTCCTACCTCCGCAAGGCCACGCGGCAGCCGGGCCGGGCTTAGGCTTGGGACCAATGTGGAGGCGGAGCTTGGAAGCGTCGACGCGGTGCCCGGCGGAGCGGTAAGCGGCAGTGTTGCTCTCGCGGGGCGCGACTGGTCACTCACGCCAGGAATTTTGGCCGGGGGTGCTCACTACTGGGCGTTCCACTCTAATGATACCTCACCCTGTAGCTCCATAGAAACTGTTCGGATCTGGCTGTTCCATCGCCCGTTGTACACCTCTTATTCGCAGCTCTCTGTTCCACTTTGAACCATTGAAATTGAGCTCATCTTCGTCCTACAATATCATGTCCAAAATCTCCCAGTCTGCTGGGCACTTCGCCCGAGGGCCCGAACTACTTACTCCCTGCCTGGCAGACTCTCCGCTCCGATCTCACTTTCTTTCCCCACCCTCGCTACCACCGTTTCTTGCTATCCTTGACGCCTTGCTTAGCCTCGCTACCCAACGTATCTCGCATACTTGCAACTCTGTTAGCACTCCCACTACTCCAAACAACTACTACAGGACTTCACCATGTCGACCAACATCTTCTCCAACTACCACCGAAGCCTCTTGGCCAAGGCTCAGACCGAGTCGACCCACTACGTCTCCATGGGCGGCGCCTACGACCACAACGAAGGCCATGAGCTCCCCTCCAAGGGTGCTGGTGTTCCCCGTTACCCTGGCCGTAGGTACGTCGACCAGAAGGACCGAAAGGCTTCCGTGAGCGTGCCCAAGAGGCCTCTCGAGCTGGTGGCTTCCAAGGAGGTCGCCTCCAAGGTTGGATCGGACAAGATCAGCGCCGTATACGACGAGGTTGCCCTCCAGATCCAGAACCAGAAAGCCGTAAAGCGATCCGCCGAGGAGAAGGAGCGTGCCGAGGCGTACAGGGCTCTGCTGTTCAAGAAGAGTGGTGAGTCGAAGCCAGTGAGCGGTGCAAAGAAGCTCACCACGATTCAGCCCAAGAAGACGAAGACTGCTATGATTACCCCCCTCAAGAAGGCGGTGCCCTCCTCCTCTTCCGTCCTGGCTACCAACTGGACCAACGACGAGCTGCTCAAGATCCTCAAGGATGCCGGTGTCCAGGAGCCCATGACTCCTATCACTGCCGCCTTTGTCAAGACTATGGCCAAGCCCAAGCCTGCTCCTGCCGCTGCACCCGTTCAGGAGATGCCCCTCTCTCCCATTTCGGCTGCTCTGGCTGGCAAGACTTTCAAGTCGAAGGCAAAGCCCGCACCCGCCGCGGCACCCGTCAAGGCACCCGTCAAGGAGGCCAACTGGTCGCCCATCTCTGCCGCCATGCTCAAGAGCTGGCCCCAGCCCAAGCCTGCTACCGCTACCGCAAGTGCCGCACGACTGCAGAAAGCCGAGACTCCCGTCAAGAAGCAGATTGCCAAGAACTCTGACTTCACGATGGTCCTTCGATCTGCCAGCCCCAAGAAGGTCGCACCCGAGGCACCCATGACTCCTACGAGGAATGTGACGATCCGCAAGCGTGCTACCAAGTCGATCAAGGTGAAGATGCCCGCATCCACTACTCCTCCTGCTACTCCCCCTCGCAGGTCGGCTATCGCTGCCGTCGCTCCTCTTACGATCAAGGCCGCCTTGGCACAGACCCCTGCACCCAAGACTCCCGGTGCCACACAGGCTGAGCTCGACGCTGCCCTGCAAGCCTTCGAGGTTAACCCTTACGACCTGCCCAAGCTCACCGACGATGAGTACGAGCGAAGGAGGACCTTCCCCGACCAGGAATTCCCCATGTTCCGTGTCATCCTTGCCACTCCTACCAAGGAGGAGCTCGAGGCACGTGCACGAGGCCCTGTCGACCCTGATGAGTCCATCGATGACGAGGATGCACCTCAGTCCATCGACACCTACGACTACAGTATTCTGGGTCCTCACTCTGCCATTCTCAAGAGCTCGATCAAGAAGCCTCGCACCAGCGCTCGCTTCCAGCGTCAAGAGCCCTCGATGAGCACCTTGCTAGCCATCGTTCCGGAGCACGAAGTCAAGGCCACCCTGGAGGAATACGGGCTTACGGAAGAGGACCTTCTCCCCAAGACACCCGCCAAGGCTCAGCCTCTGACCGACAAGGCTTCGACCCCTGTGCTGGCTAGCGCTCGCACCAAAGCTCGCTTCACGAGTTCAAAGGACTTTGCGGCTCGCCGTAGCGCAAGGCTTCAGGGCAAGAACGAGAAGGCACCAGCAGAGGGCAAGGAGAACCTGCCGGTACGAGCACGAGCTCAGCGCGTGCTGTGCTAAAGCCACACCTCCAGGACCGCACCTTCGACGGCACCGCTCCACGTCAAGACTATGGTCAAACGGTGGCACCGACGAATGTTTTGGGGAGCAACCTCCACCTTCGCAAGTCCTTGCCCTGGCACCGATGGTTTCCTCCAGCCCTCGTCAGTTCTACCACTCTGCGGTGCACCGGCACTGTAGATGTGCGTCAGACTGGGCGGCGCCACTGGTTACTTTGGTCATCTCTCAGCACCATCAACCTTTAGGGGCAGCACCGATGTGCCGCAAGATGTGCAGAACTGCGACGGTGCTCGGGCACCCTCGGCACCATCAAGCAAGGGTCTCAAGGTGAAGGTGCAAGCCAAAAACCTCGACGGGACCACTGTGCGAACCGGTCAAGACAAGGATCACGGCGACGCAAGCCTTCAAGACGGCAAGATACTACGACACGGCACCGAACGGCACCGGACGGCACGGCACCGAGGATTCGAGCAAGACACCCAAGGCAGCAAGGTTCACTCTGTTCTTCAACGTCAAGCTCGGCACCGTCGGGGGATAGTCGCGCGGCACCGTAGTCTTCGTCGTCTTCAATTCGTGGCACAGCGACCAGCACCTTCTCCCTGCTTCCTCTCCTGCACTGACACTGCCCCCAGCAGCAACAGTGCGGCACAAAAAAGACCTGGCAGAGGGCACAGTACGGTGTCGTCGATTGGTGGCACCGGCTGGAAAGTACCTCCAGGCCTGGTAGTGGGCACAGTACGGTGTCGCAATGCAGCGGCACTGACTGGAAAGTACCGCCAGCACTGGTAGTGGGCACAGTACGGTTTCGCTCCGAGGTGGCACCGACTGGAAAGTACCGCCAGCACTGGTAGTGGGCACAGCACGGTGTCGCTCCGAGGTGGCACCGACTGGAAAGTACCGCCAGCACTGGTAGTGGGCACAGTACGGCTTCGCATCGCGGTGGCACCTACTGGAAAGTACCGCCAGCACTGGTAGTGGGCACAGTACGGGTTCGCTTCGCGGTGGCACCGACTGGAAAGTACCGCCAGCAAAAAAAGGTGAGTGGTGACTACTAAGCCACCACAAACCTTCACCCTTCCCGTTCCAGAGCTCGCAGAAAAGATCAAACCCACAAAAAACAGCAAAACCATCCGTCAAAAGCAACCGAAAAAAAAGGTAAACGGTCGGCAAAAGCAATCACCAAAACAGTGTTCGGACGTGTAGGTTCGGTTCCGGTTCCGTTGATGACCTCGCTAGCTGACCATCTAACCCCATCTACTGACTATCTACCTATCTACTAACCATCTACCTATCTACTGACTACTCACTAACATCTTACCCCAATCTATCCCATACGACTAACCAATCTACTCCCACATTTATCGTTATCTTTTATCGTTTATCGCTCTATCTACCCCCCTTTTTTCGTATCCCAAAGGCCTCTTGTCTAGCTGGTTGAAATCCAGCACTACCCTCCACGAGTTTGCCCAAGCGATACCTTGGGTCTGACAGCCCTTGGTACTCGTTCAAGCACCCTCGATCGCGACGGCGGTCTCCTTTGTTCCTGTTCCCTCAACGGAGCACCCGAGAGGAGCAAAGGAAAACCACCTGAGCGGGGGTGCCTACCCAGGAGTCTTCCCCCTTTCCTTCTTTTCCTCCTTTCCTCGTCTTTCGTCTAGTACTCTCATTGCTGGCACTTTGAGAAGAGCGACAGAGGCGGGGATCATAGGGGGAAGAGAGGGAGGGAAAGACTTGGAGAGGAGAATACCGGTGATACGGAACTCCAATCTCCCTGCAAATGGTAAAGCAGCTGAAGGGGTCTATTCTCTGCCTAGCTTGATCCTTTTCCTCATCCTTTGGTTTGAACAAGAGCAAAGGTGTGGGGAGGGGGATCCAAACGAGAACTAGAAAAAATCTTTTCGTCCCTCCACCATTCCCTTCTGCCTGTAGTGTACTACCTCGCCTCGCCTCGCCTCCTCTTTCACTTGTACACACTTTGACTTGTACTTCTGCTCATAATACGACTCATTCCATTCATAAGGCACCTTTGAGCTTCACGGAAAGATAATCGTGATAACGGCGAGCGAGTGGAGTAAAAGCGCCAAACACGAGGCTCAAATGTACAGCTTTGCGACTCTCGCCTTGCCTCCTCTCGCACCGTGTGAGCTCCCACTCCTCTACTCCTCCCCGACGGCGAGTCTTGACTGCTGAGACGGGTGATCCTTACCTTCATCCAGGTAGTATGAAGCATCCACTGTCTCTAGAGCAACAGTATCCGATCTCCATCCATGGATGCCAACCTGCTCAGCGAGTCGCGCCCCGAACCTGCCAGTGTACATTCTTCGCCCCTCAGTAAATTTTAGGCTTTTTCGCGCCTGTTTTTCCCCCCTTTGTGAATTTCGAGGCGCGTTTTGAGTTTCGCCCCCTTGGTGCATTTCTCAGTTCCGTTGGCCGCGAGGGCTTGGCGAGACCAACACTTCACTTGAAGAATAGCTTCCCCACACATTAGCACCTTCTCCTTCTCCTCGATACCGACTGCAAACCGTATCTTCTTCTCTCCTACACTCAGACAGCTTAGTGTGAAGCTGCTTTCTACCTCTTCCTGCGTCTGCGCTACTTGGCTGTGCAACCTAAGCGGAGGTCCGAGCGAGGCAGAAGCGGAAGCGAAGGGCGGGAAGAACGATCCCTTCCTTGAGTGGTCACGCTGCATTCTTCTACCTGTCCTTCGGCTGCTCGGAATTCATACGTCTCTTCTGATACGGAAACCAGTCCAGAAGTACATTCCAGTCAAATCAGACCAGCATCCCCTGGCGTCGCACAAGGCTGCGCCTTCTTGGCCAAGCATGAGAGAAGATGTAGATGCCGATCCTTCAGGCCAGGAGGAAGCGCAGCAGTCAGAGAGTTCCAATCTGTCCCATCATCCTGAAGCATCTTCAAGCTCCTCTTCATACCCTCCCATGTCCATTGCCTCCTCCAGCAGTGGACCATCAAGGGGCGCTCTCCTTCCGCCTCCCCCTCCACCACCCACCTCGACCTCTTCGTCAGCAGCTCCCGCCGGTCGCTCCCTCCTCTCCTCCTGGGGCGCTGCCACCGCCCCCGGAGCAGCAGCAGGAGGCAGCAGACTCCTCACCCCGCCGCCTCCAGGTCGGAGAAGCCTGCTACAAACTGGCTCAAGCAATGCAGGGAGGACAAGACCCAGCAGAACAATGGAGATGCTGCGTTCCTTTTCCTCCACCTCTTCCGCCTCTGACGAAGAGGCTGCACTGGATGCTACAGCGGGTGAAACCTCAACAGTGGGTGGTACGGCAGCTCGATCACAGGTGCCACGGAGGAGTATAGCACACAATCCTTCCTTCCTCGCTGAGGCTGGCTACAGCGGCAGCAGCAGCAGTAGCGCTCCAACCCGTAGAGGCGGCCCCGCACAGGCGTCCAGTAGCGCTGGCCTACCCCCTCCTCCTTCTCCGGGCTTCGGCGGTCCGCCGGCGGAGTGGGACGAGGTGGACTTGGAGTTTGATGTGGACTTGGAGATGGCTCGGAACGGTTCTAGTGGTGGTATTGGAGCAGAAGGCAGAGGGGTACGAGGGGGAAGAGTGAGGAGCCTGTCAGGGCGAGGTGAGGGAGGGGAACAAGTGCCGATGCAGAAGCTTGGATCGGGTACTGGACGTTCGAATGTAACAAGAGGAGGATCACAGCTACAAGAATCGAGAACCGACAAGGAGACAAATGCGATGGCAGATGGGACAGGAACAGGGGCAGGTGGCGCTACGTCAAGCTCGATGGGCGAGTACGACGCAACGCCTAAGCCTTCAATGGACGCGCGTCTCCCGCCTGCAGGCGAGGAAGAAGGTGACGGGGCTCTTCGGGGTCTCCACAGCGAGGGTCCGAGCAGGCATCGACGGACGACATCGACGTCCAGCTCCCAGGGTAAGCCGAGCAAGACCCGAATCCTCGACAGGGCCGGTAGCGGCAGCGGCAGCGATGCTGTGCGTCGTGCTGAGGTAGATCCGACCCAGCCTGGACCGCCGAGCTACACTCCCCGCGCTCGCACTCTGGAGAAGGAAATAGGCTACAGTCCTTCTCTCGAAGAAGGAGAGGACGAGGACGAGGACGAGTACGAAGACGAGGACGCAACCACGCCCACTGCTCGTCACCTCGATCGTTCCTATCTCGACTCTTCTTCTGCGGGAAGAGGTAGCCCAAGCAGGCTGGACTTTGAGCCTCTGACTCGGCGAGAGAAGTGGACACACGCCCTCACTGCCGTCGTGGTCACTGTGCTTGCTGGACTGGCTGTGGCGATTGGGGGAGATTTGATTGGTGAGTAGGGGTGCGCAATTGCCCTGGCCCCGGGGTGGAACGCAGGCGCTTCTTGGCCAAGAGGAAAAAGTGGGAAGAGGCAAGAAAGAGAGCTGAATGTACCACCCACCCTCTTTCCATCTATCGCACTTCTCTTGCGTGCTTCCTCCTTTGCAGACTGGCCCGGCGATGGGATCGGTGACTCTTGACCACTCCAGTCCACTCCAGCCAACTCCAGCGAAACGAAACGCCACATCTCCCCTCACGATGTAGAGGGCAGATCCAATCCCCTCTACTGACTCTTGGTGCACTTCTGGCCCTTTCTTCCACCCAAACTTGACCCAACCCAATTCAACGCGCTGTACTTTTAGCCCTACTCACTCACTCACTCATTCAATTGTGCGCAACTACATAGACAGACTGAGAGGAAATCGCTATTTTCATAACTCTGGCCCACACACAGAGTGAGCGTGAAAGTGAAAGTGAGAGTGAGAGCGAGAGTGGGAGCGAGACAGATGAAGATGAAGATGAAGACTTGATTGACTTGCATTTCCTTCCTTCCTTCCAAACAAACCTTCTAGAAGGGCAAACCCTCTCCTTCTTCTTCTTCCTCCTCCTCTTCCGCAGCAAGATGATCCACTTCCACCCCAGCGAAGACTTTGCCTACCTCACTCGCTGCTCCTGATCCTCTCCCCTCTGCTGCTCCTGCTCCTGCTGCTATTCCGTTCCCTGGCAAAGCTCCCCCTCCGGCTCCAGCTCCGGCTCCAGCTGCAGGACCGTGACTTGCTCTACGCCCTTCACCGGCAAAGGGGAAACTGCCAGGCAGGGAAGTCTGTTGCTGCCCAGCACCGCCGGTAGCGCCGCCGTCTTGGGGTGCTTGGGTGTCGATGGCGTAGCAGAGGTAGAGTGTATCGGCGCTGCATAACCCAAACCAAAACAAAGTGGCAAAGAAGAGAGTGTCAACACAGCTTGCCTTTCGAGGAGACCCACCCGCATCTGCTCTCCTTCTACTCACCCATCCCCCAAAAGATCCCCGCTCAACCTCAGTACCCAATAAGGTACAATCCCACACATCAATCCCACAAGGGGCGCATCAGCTGGTACGTGTAGCTGGTGAGCAGAGAATAGGAAGCCGGCTAGGGCGGCTAGGAAGGAGAGGGAGATGCTGAGGAGGGAGAGGATGGTGGAAATTAGGAGACCTGGTGGGGCGGAGGTAAGTAAAGGGATGAAGGGAGTAGAGGGTTTTGGGAGTGTGAGTGTGGTTGAAAAGGATCGGCGGGAAGAAGAGTCAACTCACCTTCCATCAACCCTTTGACGCCCCTCCTCGCCACCAAACGTCCACATCTTCTCGTGCTCTTCCAGAATCCCCTCCCCGTAATACCACTATAGATGAGCGTATACTCGCTCATCTCTCCAAGTACGTTTCCCACACCGCTTAGCAGATAGGCCAGGTGTGCCAGTGGGTGGAAGATGGTTGGTAGAGGGATCGAAGGTGAGGAGAGGAGGGATGCGAGTAGCCGTGAGAGGGAGGAGAGGATTAGGAGGAGCGTAGAGAGGGACAGGAGAAGAGAGGAGAGGAGAATCGTTCCTAGGGAGGGACCGGTAGCCCGTAGGAAGGAGGAGCGCACCAGGTTCGCCGAGGTAGGGTTGCGGTGCGCTAGAGGGCTCTCTTGAGTTTTGGCGGCACGGCTCGCTTCAGCGGGCGAGGAGCGACTAAAGGCTCCTGGTGCTTTCGAAGGTCCTGCATCCTCTTCCTCTCCAAGTCCTCCCAGACCTAGAATCTCACTTTCTTCCTCATCTGCGATCGTTCCATCCTCACTTGCAGAGCCTGTCTCGTCCCCCTCCTCTTCCTCCTCTGTCACGCCTCTGCCACCCTTGGCAAATGCTCCAGCAGCCGGTCCGCTCTCCTCATCTTCCTCCTGTTCTTCTCGACTAGGCGGACCATAGAAGTACCAATGACTGACCGTCGCTGCGACAATGACGCGCATCACACCTCTCAGAGCACTCCAAGTCCAAATCCAAGTCGCCAGTGTGAACCACGCGAGCAGACGAGCTTTCCGGTCGGTAATCCAGACGTCGGATGAGCCTTCTGCGCTTGGGTGGTAGAAGTGACCGAGCAGGAAGAGACGGATAAAGATTGTGAGAAAGGGAATGGAGAGAGCCAGGAAGAGGAAAATTTGCAGGACGGCCAAGATTAGCAAGGAAGGGTGGGCTGAGATGATCCGAGCCGAGAGGGCCAAGACGCTTAAGCTCCTGTCTAGCTGAGCGCGACGAAGGTAGAGGAGCCTGGAAAAGGCAATGGCGCATAGCAGTGGGAAGAGGGACAGTAGTCTGAGCCCAGTAGTGGACCAGAGACCACCTGACCAGGCTTCGTCTGAGTAGAAGAAGGAAGCGCCAAAGGCCCACACCCAGCCGAGTGTTAGGATCGATGGGACTGCCACGAGGGCGAAGCGTAAGATGCGGGTGCCGCCGAAGCGATCTAGGTTGCGTAGAAAAGCTAGATGGACCACAGCCATCAGCAGCGACAGCGCTGATAGGAGAATAAGCAGTGGCAGTGAGCGAGTGAGGGTATAATATGGGGATGGCCTGATCGATGGCGTTGATGGCGGCAAGGGCGATCGTACTCCCAATGATGCTCCTCCTGCCACAAGAATAGTGACGGCAAGGGCGACGATCCACACTAGGAGAGCTGGCTGATCCTTCCACTCCTTGAAAGCGGGATTGTTGCCGCGAGAGAAGGGCGACCAGCTTGTGAGATTTAGCGATGGGGCCGACGAGAGTGCGCCGAGCAGAGGAGAAGGCTCTTGCAGTATAGAGTCTGAGCTAGGGAGAGGAACGGGCGCCGAACCTCTGCTCTCCTGACCTGCTGGCCCTGAGGCACTCCCGCCACTGATGCCTGTCCGCTCTACTACCCGATTCGTGAAGTCATCGTGATATGGAGCAGACGTAGCTGTGCTCCTTCTGGGAAAAGAGGAAGCATCGAGTTTTGCAGGATAGTGGATCGTCGATTCTGCTCCGTCGCGACGTTGGGCTCCTCTCGACTCATCCCTGTACGGCATTGATGACTGCAGCCTTTCCTCATCTTCCTCGCTGAGTTCACTCTGCGTCTTCTCATCATCTTCGTCGCCTTCGTCCGAAGTAAATCCGCCTTCGTCTTCATCATCGTAGATAGAATAGGCATCTCGAGGAGGACGGACTCTTTTGCCAGGAGAGGCGCTCTGCAGCTTCTTCTTTGTAGCTGGCGCGATGGAGTGGGCAAGCCAGCCACGACCACTGCTAAGATCGCGTTGTGGGTGCGTTGGAGGCGGGACTCGAGACTTGCCCTTGTCAGATCTGCGAGGACTTGCAGGGGCGGTATTACTTGAGCGGCTTGCTTCAGCTCTCTGCTGAGCCTGGGTGGTGTCTCCGTAGTCGTCATCATCCTCAACAAGGAAAGGATCTACCCCGCCGGAAGGGGCTTCGCTTGCTCGCCTGCCCCTCTGGGACCTGCTTGCCCCTTGCATCAAGCTAGCGCTGGGCGTGTAGTCCCCATCCGCTTGCGATGGCATGCTGTCGACGCTGTCTAGGCCGACACCGCTCCTACCGCCAGTCCTTGCATCCGACTCAAAGGCCTTAAGGTCGAGGCCCCTGCCCCACCTCTGCTCCCTCTCCTCTTGCTCCTCGTCATCGTCTTCTTCGTCTGAGATTTCTGGAATGTCCAAAGCTGATCCTTTTCGATGTGGTCTAGCCGGACCATATCGTGATGCATGCAGAAGCGTGGATGAGGCCGTCCCGCTAGGTCCTCCCTTGGCGGTGAATCCACCCGGCGCACCTCTCCTACCCCTACCTGTCGTGCTCTGGAAGCTGACAGAGGGACTCACATCCCCTTCGTCGTCCCGGTAAGAGTCCTCTCCTTCTCTGCCTCTGCCGTAGTGATCGTCCTCGTTATCCACTTGGGAGCCGTAGAGATCTATGGATCGATGGCCAAAGGTGGAGCGCAGGAGGGGGTCGAAGCGGAAGTGGGATGATGCGCCTGGCTGCCCATGCAGAGGGGCTTGCTGTCTACTGCTGCTAGAGGATTGCGATGTGTTGCTTTGTCTGTTTGAGAGAAGGTGCGAGGTATACGAGGAGAGGTTGGACATCGAGGTGGTGAGAGGATGAGATGGGATGGCCCCCGATCGTGTGAGCCCTCGAGGGATGCGGAGTGCGGGCGGCGGCGAGGGAGGAGCTGATGGAAGGACAACGGTTGGCTCAGCAGGCAGGAGATGGTATGACCCTTGTGTGTGTGAGAGAGTGTAGCAGAGTGATACTGCTGCTGTGTGAGTATATGCTATCTTGCCCTTTGATACTGCTGCTGCTACTGATGATGTTATTGATGGTAGTGGACCCTAATTTGTGGTGTGCTTGGCTGCAGGCCTGTCTGTCCCCCGCTATCTCTGTGGCTGTCCCGTGCTGAGCTGCTCCTCGACTCCCCTTTCCGCGTCGGGGGCAGACTGAGTGGACTGTGCCGTGTGCGTCCATGGCTGCTGCTGCTCCACACGCTGCGAAGCGGCTCCGACGGCCTTAAGTCCCTGCTTCCGTCCCGGGATCGCGCCATTGCTTCACCCGCCGCTCCCTTTTGTCCGCCCAGGGAGATTGGCAAGCAGGCAGTCGTCAGTCCTTCCTCCTCCCGCTTATTCCTTCGCTTTGCCAACATCTCCACCTCGTCAGCTCTAATCACATCCCGGACCTCCCCTTTGCTGATTGCGTACGCTCCCATTGGTGGCATCGTAGCCTCGCTGCTGCTGCCTCCTCTTTTCACCTCGTAGCCCGGCTACTCGGGCCCATCGGCCTTTGGCGCTTCCTTTCTTGAGTGCAGCCGGGGGATCCCGCTGCATCGCTCCACTCCGGAGATTGTCCTCGGGTCAAGGCAAATTCCTCCCCAGGTACCTGATTGACCATTCAGGGCCGCGAGCAGCATCACCTCATTCCTCGTAGCACCCTGGCACCGCTGTCGCCATCTCCGAGCACTCTACTCTCACCGGCGCACTCCTTTGCCAGAGATTCCCTCGGCCGCGATTCCCGTCGCAGCACCTCTTCTTTTCCTCCTCCCTCTCCTTCCTCAAGGGTCTCTCTATTGCCGCCTGATACCTCGCAATGGGTCTACTCACCCTCGGCACTCCACTCTCCTGGCCGGAAACAAAGGCGCTTTCTTCCCATGTCCGCCAGCATGGTATCACCCAGCTCCTCTCTCTCTGGGCAAAGGTCAAGGACCGCAGGGGAGATGCTGTGCTGTGGGGAGACGAAATCGAGTACATCGTCGTATCTTTCGATGAAGCCAGCAAGAATCCTCGGCTCAGTCTGAGGCAGGGAGAGATCCTCAAAGTCCTGGCCGTAAGCCATGAGCGCAGCTGTCAAGAGGTAGAAGCTGAAGACGAAGAAGGCCAAGGTGGGAGTGGGGCCAGCAGGGCTGATCAGATCCCCACCTTTCACCCCGAATATGGGCGCTACATGCTTGAGTCTACACCCGGCTGCCCCTTTGGAGCTACTCCCGCGCAGCTCTGCTCTGTCGAGGGGAACATGCGGATGCGGAGAAGGATTGCCAAGCGTCATCTTCTGCCCAACGAGCTACCTCTGACCCTCACCAGCTTCCCCAGGCTGGGCGTGACCGACGTGCCCTTCCTGGACGACGAGACACTGGTACCCAATGGCAAAGCCTCTCAGTCCCTCTTTCTTCCAGACGAGATCATCAACCAGCACGTGCGCTTCCCAACCCTCACCGCCAATATCAGGTCTAGACGAGGGTCAAAGGTAGCCATCAACCTTCCAATCTACAAGGACGTCAACACCCCTTCTCCTTTCATTGACCCATCCATCCCTTGGGACCGTAAGCTCTTCCCAGGCGACTCCGAAGCCAAGGACGGTGCAGCAAAGGTGGACCACATCTACATGGACTCGATGGGCTTCGGTATGGGATGCTGCTGCTTGCAGGTCACATTCCAGGCATGCTCGGTGACAGAAGCCCGGGCGACGTACGACCAGCTGGTGCCCGTCACCCCTCTGCTCCTGGCTTTGAGCGCCGCTTCCCCTGCCTACCGAGGCTACCTAGCCGACGTCGATGCCCGGTGGTCCGTTATCTCCGGCGCAGTCGATGATCGTACCCCGCACGAGCGCGGGGAGGCTCAATGCGACAACGCGGTCAATGGGGATGGGGAGCAAGTAGGGCCCAACGGCAACACCTCGTGCCGGATGTACAAGTCTCGCTATGACTCTGTCTCTTCCTACCTCTCACTGTCCCCTCTCTCTAGGCCAGAGGTATACAACGATGTCCCACTGCCCATCCATCAGCCCACATACGAGCGGCTCATGGCTCCCGTGGAGCAAGGTGGAGGCGGTATGGATGCCCTCCTTGCGCGTCACTTTGCCCACCTCTTCACCCGCGATCCTCTCGTCATCTTCTCCGAGCGCATCGACCAAGACGACGAAGACTCCATGGACCACTTTGAGAACATCCAGTCCACCAACTGGCAAACGATGAGGTTCAAGCCACCCCCGCCCAATTCAGACATTGGTTGGCGAGTGGAAGTGAGGAGTATGGAGGTGCAAGTGACCGACTTTGAGAATGCAGCATTCAGCGTTTTTGTCGTCCTCCTCACACGGGCTATCCTGCGTTTTGGCCTCAACTTCTACATTCCCATCAGTAAAGTCGACGAGAACATGCACAAGGCGCAAAAGCGGAACGCTGTGCTTAGTGAGAAGTTCGCTTTCCGGAAAGATGTCATGGGCGCCGGCAGGGAGAGGCGCGGTGCCAGTAAAGAAGCTCAGCTCCACGACAACATTGGCAGCAGTTCCTTGAGGTCAAGCTCGACTGCTCCTCGTACCCAACCAAAGGTCATGTACGGTGTCAACTCGACTTGGACTACTCCTTCGAGCTCCCGTGCCGCAAGTCCTGCCAAGCCTCCTCCCGGTGCAGGCAAGACGGCTCCGAATGGTCACTCTGCCAGCAGTAGCATCGATGTCGAAGATGAGTACGCAGATTTCACAATCGATGAGCTCATCAATGGGACAACAGCAGCTCGACAGAGGGAAGCAGAACGCTCTGGCTCCCCTTCTTCGTCCTCCTCTTCTTCGGCAGACAGTGTTGAATTCCCCGGTCTCCTCACCCTGGTACACGACTACCTCGACTCCCTACCCGCTCCCGCCCACGGCAACAGTTCCAGTCCTCTCACCGGTCTCTCCCACTCACGTAGCGAGCTCAACCTCTACCTCTCTCTCATCTCACACCGCGCATCGGGAAGACTCGTCACTGCCGCCACGTACAGCCGTTCTTTCATCCGCTCCCACCCGCTGTACAAGGGGGATAGCTTCATCTCTAAAGAAGTCTGCTTTGACTTGGTCAAGCACCTCGACGCAGTTGAGAGGGGAGATGTGAGTGCTGATGAATTCCTACCTGCAGGGTATGCAGAGAGGCGCAGAGAATTAGAGAGGAGAGAATGTACAGGACGTCATGATGGGTCAACTCCAGGTTTGGGAGAGAAGGAGGAAAAGGAAGGTACAAGAGGAGGGATGAAGGATGCAGCTACTGAAGCCGAGCGAGTTCTTCGCTCTGAAGAATGGGAAACAGCAGCAGAGCACACACCGCCTACTTTGGAAGAACGATCAGCCAAAGGTGGTGCACAAGGGACTAGTGTGCGAAGTGGTGATCGGATGAAGGAGGAAAAGGATCAGCTTCTGGGACCTGGAGTTAGAGTCGGAGTCGGAGCCGGAGTCGGGAGGGAAGCTGGAGCTGGTGCTGGAGCTGGTGCTGGTGCTGGTGCTGGTGCTGAGCAGCGGTAAGATCCAACATTAGAAGGTCGAGGCGATGGAGGGCGCTGGGCAGGGAAAAGGTATTATACGATCTTTTCCATTCTCCATTCTGTTTACACGGCCCGGTCTTGAGCATTACTGAAAGTTAGGAAGTCAGAAAGTCAGAAAGTCAGAAGTTCAAGGTTGTTGAATCTTTAGAGGGTATCAATGCATTACATATCTTATGATTATGATCTGATCAATGCCCGCTCCATTCTTGGGAGGTGGAGATGGAACGAACGTCCCACCTGCTGCTGCTCAACGGGTCGTGATGATGTCGCTTATCTCCTCCTCTCCTGTCCTGATCAATGTTGTCTTCTGATTAATGTTGGTGCTAGTGAGCCATACTCGGTACCACACGCGATGCTGACGGACGCTGCTGCTGCTGCTGCTACTGCTGCTGCTGAGGAACGTGATAATGTATGTTCATGGTGAGGTGGTGAATGATGCTGATGATGATGTACATTTTGAGTTCCCCCTTTTACCCTCCTCTACCCTTTTCACCTTCCACTCTGCTATCTATTGAAGCAATCTATCTCCCTTAGATCCCAGTTTGCCTCTCTCTTGAAGGCTCCTTCCCCGCACCCCCCAACCCTCTTCTCTTCCTAGTCTACGTCTACGAGAAGAAGTATTGACTCCTCTTGATCTCATTGACATCGAAGCCTCCCTTTTCTGGCAATGGCGGAAGCACATCGGCCAGATCGATGAACTTGGCTTCGACCCACTCGCGCTCCGATGCAATCTTCTTGGCCTCTTTGCTCTTGCTCTTGCTCTTGCTCTTGCTCTTGACATTGGTCTCCTCACCTTCGAGGTCAGACGACGAGGACGAGAGGGAGGGGTCCTCTTCGGTTTCGAGAGAGGCTTCGGCAAGTGCGGGATCGGAATCCGTCGTGAGACCGCTGGCGAGGGATTCGTCTTCCCCTTCGACTTGTTCCCCACTAGCATCTCCCTCTAGTGCCGAGGATGAGGCTTGGACCGAGTCCCCGGCGCTCTCGTCCTGCTCGGCCAATGCCTCTAGTCCTTCCTCTGTCTCCTCTGCCTCTTCCTTCTTGGCGTCTTCCCGCACCAGAGTGTCCTTGCCAATCTGGATGCGATGTCCCGCACTATTCGCAGGTGCTCGATCCTCTCTAATCGCAGCGCGCCTATTTCTCCTCTCCTGGAGATCCTTAGCAGCGACAACAGGCACCTTATACCCCTGGTATCGCTCCAAGAACTCCTGCCGCAACGTAGGCAGGATGGGCTGCAAGTGTAGTCGTACAAAGGTATCTCGGATCAGCTCACTCATGGTCTCCACGTCGCATGCATGCGTCCAGTACGAGTCGTGCACCGAAGCAAAGGTGAGACCAGCATCGCGACACTCGAGTGCAGTGAGAATCATGTGCGTCGCGTCGAGAGAGTGGATAAAGTTGGGCGGGAAAGCCGAAGCTTGCTTTCCTGGTGCTACCTCGGAGGTCTGGAGTGGATCAGAGAGGAAGACGGTCTGCATTGCAGTAGAGATCTGCCGCTTCTTATTCTTGCGGTAGGGCTGTACGACAGGTAGGCCGAGTGGGGAGGTCCAAATGACACTGGTCATTTGCTCGCGAGCAAGGCGACTAGCGCGCACCTTTGCATTGTCCATCTTGTCTGTACCCTTCCTCTTACTTCCCGAGCCCGGTGAAGCGGGCACGACTTCGTCGCCGTCGGAATTCAGGGCATGCTCGACGCGCTCAGGTGGAATCGACTTGGCGATGAGCTTGGCACTCTCGACCAGCCAGGTCTGAATCTTCTCCGCACCGGAGAAAAGATCGCCAACGGACTTGAGGATCCTCTTGGCCAGGAAGGAAGCCACACCCCAAAGTTCCTCAGAAGGGATATCGCCTCGCGCAGTCAATTGCTTCAGGACCTGGTTCTTTGCGCCAATGAAAGTCACACCGTAAACGGTGGTCATGACAGTCTGCTTTACGACCTTTCTAGTAATCTTGCCCTTGAGCAACGCAGCGCGGTAGTCACCGTTGGGCTTGCGAGATTCTGCCTCGATGTCGGCAATGACCAGATCAGCAACGGCAGTGTACACATCCGATGGACGCTCGCCTGATGCAAGATTGACTTGCTTGGCACCATCCAGATCACCACCCAAGGCGGCGTAATGCTGTAAACCGTTGCAGGTACCATCCTGGTGGACAGGCAGTCTGCTGGGGAAATTCTCTGGTCCTTCAGGGTGGTTGAGTGCATTGTAGAGCTCATGGCAGGTGGCGAGACACTGCCAAGGATCATCGGCTTGCAGCCACCATCGCTTGCCCTTCAAAGGATTCTTGACGGAATCCTCAATGTCTGGGTAGTGATCCTTTGCAAATGTCTCACGCTCGTCGAAAGAGGCCTTGTCATAACCAAAGACATTGGCCAGGTGAATCCTGAGCCATCGCAATCCAGGCTTGCCGAGCGGCTTGGTATCAGCGAAGAGCAAGAGACCACGGCACAAGTCATTGCCAATATGATTCAGGTGAGGTGGAATGGGATAAGCTCTTCCTCTGAAGTCGACGTTGTGAGGGAAATAGAACCTTTCACCTAGGTAGGCTCGGGCAATTTCGAGTTTGTAATTGGTGTCGCAGCGAAGTGAGTAGATGGCAGTCCTCTCCATTTGTGCCTGCTTTGAAGCTCGAAGGTACTCGGAACGGGCCTTGAGATCAGTCTCATAGTTGTCGGGGCGGGGTATCTCGCCATAAGAGTCGTCAACGAGGGGAGGCATGTCTGCGATATCTTCACCCGAGTTCCAGATTTCCGTCATGACCTTGAAGACTTCTTCATTGATGATCCATGGCGTCTCGCCCAGAACATCCAAACCAGCACCGACTGTCTCCAGTGACTGGTTCTCAGATGCCTTCCGCAGGTACAAGCTCTGCTCGGCAGAATCCTTGAATCTCATCATCGAATTCTTGTGGGTGAGATATCCTCCCGAGTCGTGACCCAACCACAATCGCGGCTTCACGAGCATGGGCAAGAAGCGAGGATGGAGTGTACTGCCGACTGAACCCTTGTCGAGGCGCTCAGCAACAGCATCGTTGACCTTGATTACACCGAGCTTCTTTCCCTGCACGTAGTTGTACGTGGCATAGACGGCAGGATGCTCCTCTTCCCAAACCTCGCCATCGCGGTCGACGGCCCTGCGGGTGATCTTCGCGCATTCAAGAAAGTGACCGACGAGGAAACTACCCATTCGAGCTCTGATCGATTGAGTCCACGGCTCGTACGGGAGTGGGGCATCTTGCTGTTCCAGCCAGCGTTTCGCCTCTCTCCTCTGCAGAACATTAGTAGTGCCCTTTGAGCGCACAATCTGCGAAGCGTAGTGGGCATTGTTGACGATCTGTGGATTTTTGCGCAGGATGTCTGCATAGTGCTCTTGCTCAAGAGCATGGCCGATCGTAATCAGGGCTCTTGTGGTCTTCATGTCCTGTGCCGACCGGCTCGAGCCCTGCATACGCATCAACTCTAGCACGGTAATGAGTGCCATCTTGCCAGGTGTGATGAGCTGCAGGAACGGAGCAATGTTCTGCTCAAGCGTCTGCTCCACTGGGTAGGACCTCTTCCCTTCCATCAACATGGTCTCCGATTCCGTCTTGATGCGAGCCACCTCTTTGGTCAACACCACTTCCAGCTTCTTGACCCAGTCGAACATCCACTTTTGCAACGTGGCATCATGAGACAGCTTTCCCTCGAGGGATACACCCGCAGCTTCCATTGCGAGTGCGTCTGCCTCGAGGCGTCTCCGAGCGGATTCCAGGGCACTTTCTTCCAGCCAGCGCTGGCGCTCCTCATTGTCTCGCAGACTACTTCGACCCTTGCTGACAATGGCGAGATCCTGCTGGAGAAGCCATAGATTCAATGGACGATCGTCTCCTGGTGTGGGCGAGACTTCATGCTCAGAGGACGAAAGCGACTTGATCGGCAGGAGCTCAGGGATGTCTGCGGCGGGATCAGGGATCTCCAGGCGCTCGCGTGAAGCATCCGAAGCGCCCGTCTCTGCAGCTTGTGCCTGTACTCTAGCCTCGGCCTGCTCTATTGCAACTCGAGCCATCTCATTGCCGCTGTGGCCAGCTGCCGACTTGAGAAGTGAGACGACTCTTTGACTATCAGTCTCCTGGGCCAGAGCCTCGGTAGCTGACTCATCAGCTGAAAAGGTGACGAGAGACGAGGAGATGACGCTCTCAAAGTTGACCCCTAACCTCCAGCCCGAGGAGACCAATTCTCCGAGACCACTTTGCTCAAAGCCCATTGATGGATGCCGTTGCATAGTCTTGATCAAGCCGCGCGAGAAGGTCCAGATCGTCGTTGCATCTGGAATAGGATCGGTGGTGTAGTTCTGCAGAGGTCCGGGAAGGCGAGGAGGAAGTCCGCTGCTGTTGATCTTATTCCCGGACTCCATCTCCCTGTAGATGACCCATGCTTGATCAACCCATCTTTGCGCCTCGAAAGGACTCTCTTCCGCCACCGCTCTCCGGCAGATGGCGGCCAGGAGGGCATTGTAAGTGGGGAGGTCCAGCTTAGAATATGCGGCGCACCGCTTACGTCTTTCAATGGTTGATTGAGGAGGCTTGATGAAGCCATCGGGATTCTCACGGGTGAGACGATTTGTGGCCTCCTTCCTCATGTCTTGAAAGATCTTGAGGGCTCGACTGAGGAGATTGGTACCAAGACATGCCCGTAGAATGGCTAGATTCTCAGCGGATTGGGACGGGGGGAAATTATTCGAGTCTGTATGTAGAGCGTCTAACGTTGCGCCTGTAAAGTCTCCGAATGCCAAAGGGCTACCTGGCTTGTTGGGAGTGGTACTGCTGCCAATACCAGATTTCCGTGCGCGAAGGCTGGTCCGGTAAGCGTCATGCACATCTGGCGGTAAGGGAGTGGCGAGACGGATGCGATCGCTATATGATGCAAAGGGAGACCATCTACTCTGACGAGCAGAGCCTCCGATGCCCAAGCCGGCAGGTGGAGGCTGCGAATGTTGCGAAGACGATGAGCCTGCGTCTGCGTGGGAGGAGTGTGACTCAGATGCTGCTGTATGCTGCTGACGAGAGCTGGATGGCGGATGAGGTGCTGCAGTCGCAGTGGCAATGTGATTCCGTGGCTGCGATACAAGAGACATGAGACGGGTAGTGGGTCCCGAAGATGTCGTCAATGGTCTTCTGCGTATAGCAGAGAGCCGCCAAGCATACGCCATGATGGGCAGAGGTATGCGCTACTACCGTTAAAGGGGCAGTACCTGCTCCCGAAACGCAGTACGCAAAGGGAAGGACCGCTCAGTGTTGCGCCAGCGCTTTGGGAGAGACTCCTTGAGCGTCTTTCGAAGCGGCGTATCCAAGCGAGGGGCAGTGAATGTTCGTGCGAGGAGTGAGAATCTAGACAAGCATGGGCTCTTGTTGAGTGGTACTGGGTTTACGGAACTGCTCTCTGTATCCTCGGCGGCGGACCCCTCGTCTGAAATTCACCAGTCCTTCCGGATCCAAATTCTTCCCTCGGAGCCGGAAAGAGGCTCCTGCTCGCTCACCCTCATCCATCCCTCTGGCGCACGCGCCGCCTCGGTTAAATCTTCCCCGTCGCTCAGCGGGAAGGATTCTACTGCAACGGTGATCGGGCATGCCAGGAATGGAAGTGCCGGGTGTATGCTCAGGATGGCAAGACTGTCCAAGGTGTTGAACATCGGCATATCTGTTTGACCGACTGTTGGCGTTCATTGGTCAGACGTGACACTCTTGCGTACGCCCTTGGAGCTGCCAAGTAGGCCTGCAAGTAAAAGAAGAAGGAAGCGCTGCACTCGCCTCGTCATTCTGCTTCAACCAACGGAAGCGCACCGCCGGGCCAGGTTTCAGGAGGAGCCAAGTGCGCCAAATGGAAGCTCATCCAGAGACAAACAGAGACAAGACATCAGTACAGTAGGCGAGGACAACGCTGGTGTGACTGACCAAGCAATGTGATGGTGTGTGCAATGTGTCAGATCCCACCTTGAATAAGCATCCCCCGCTTTCAGCCCGAAGCAAGGGCAGATGGGATGGGTGCGGATGAGCGGCGGGCGGGTGCGGAGGTGTGTGCCACCCTGCGTGCCTGTCCCCTTTCCGTGTCGAGGAAGACCTCGCCATACCTTCCCATCTCTACGCCCCTTGGTCTCCCCCTCGGCACACTGCTCCCCTCAGCCAGACCCACATCCATACATCTTCATCTTCTTAAGACTACCGACGCCTTTTCCCATCCTCACTTCGCCTCTCCTCCCTCCATCTTTCTCACACTAGCGCGCCAGTCATGGGACATCATCTTCATTGAAACACCATCCCCGGCCACAAAAAATCACTGGAAAAAATCCAACCCCACATCGGACCAATAGGGGAAGACTGGGTCTCAGACGCCTCACGCAATCCCTGTACACGGCGACGTCCATCACTCTTGTCACGCCCGGTGCTGTAGTCTGATCTCACCAATCACGGTGAACAGGATGATTGGAGAACGGCCGGCTACCAGGAGTAGTCGGGGTAGAGGTCGCGTGAGTATCACTTTCCCCGCAGGGCATTTCTCCCTGCAAGGCTCGAGGACAGCCGCGACCCGTGAGGTTGTAAACGGATCAGAGAGTGGTCAGAAGGAAGCCTGCCAGGCCGGTCCACCTTCACAGCTTCCCCTGACCACCGTGTGCTGACCCCCTGCTGCCTTCACACTGCTCCTCCATCACCCCCCGCGCCTACGCTTCCTCGTCCGATCTCATCCCGTTCCGCCTACGTCGCCGCACCCTGCATCACCACACGCCAACAGGCTCCAGACGATCCCGATGAGCGTGAGAAGCAGCTGAAAGCTCAATTGAGAGCCATGAGCATGTATGCAAGTCATACTAGTGGTGATGGCAATTGTCTCTTCAGGTGAGTGGCGGATGAGGAGCAGGCACCATGAGGCTTTCAGGGACTCGCGCCATGCGGCGGTTGCACCGGTATAAGGCAAGCGCTGTTGGTGTTCGCGTCATCAAACACCAGCGCACATGGCGAGGGCAATGACGCAGAGGCACTACGGTCGCATTGCCTGGCACAACATTGCCTGCTATTCAGCAACATCGGAAAGAGAGGTACTGATGTATTTTCGCCCCGCACCCTGGTCCTGCACAGAGCACTGTCGGACCAACTATACGGCTTCCCCTCTCACTACGGTACCCTCCGGCACGAGATTTGCGACTACCTCGAGGCAGCACCAGAGCGTTTTGCGGGATTCGTTGACATTGAGAAGCCCTTTGACGAGTACATACGCACCATGAGGCAAAATGGTGAGTGCAGGGCTCCTATTCATGTTCATGAACAATCACTCCGATGGCACGCTGACCTAGCACAACCTCATTTTAATTGCAGGCACTTACGGTGGACATCTCGAGCTCTCTGCATTTGCGTCCCTGAAGAGGAAAGAGATCAAAATTGTTCAACCTGGCCTGGTCTATGTCGTCACAGGTGACGACGACTCGAGCGAAGCAGTGGCCGAGCGTCTAGCTCTGGAAGAGCGGAGGAAAAGGATCCAGTCTCGTATTCCACCAGGTACCGAAGGTCCGCCGCCTAGCGCTAGAGACTCTAGGAGGAAAAAGAGGATAGACAGACGGAGTAAAAGTCGTGGCCTGGAAGCAGTCAATGGCGGTGCTAGGGCTGGAAGCAGTAGACTTACCGCTGAGCCAGAAGGCGAAGGTGATGATGGTGAAGACGATGTTGATGACGATCTTCAACATCTGGCCGGCCCGATAGAAGCTTACGGACCCCTCTACATTGCGTGAGTATGGTGGAAAGCGTGGAGGAATATCAGCATCTGCATGCTCACTTGCAACTTCACCACTCCGCTCCACACAGCTATCACAATTGGGAACACTACTCATCCATCCGCAATCTCACGGGGCCTCACACCGGTCTGCCACGCATCATCGAGCGTAACGTCTCTCTTGCAGCACAACAGCAGGTCACCAATGCCTCTCCCTCAAAGCGACCCCAGCACGACGATAACGAGATCAGCTCCAATCCGAAGCCCACAGAGCACGAAGAGCTTATCCTACGATCAGTACCTGGGCACACTCTCTCCGAAGTACGCGTACTGCTCAAGCAGCACGGCAATTTGTGGGAGACAGTCGTCGAGGTTCTCATTGCAAAGGATGCAGCCGATGCCGAGAGGGAAGGCAGTGAGGGAAGACTTGTAGCCAGCAGTCCTCCTGGCACGACCACTAGGAGTAGAGGAGCCTCTTATTCTCTTGGCTTTGGCAACGTCGGCTCTAACGGCTACCGCAAAGACAGTCAGACAGCATCGCCTTCCGTGGAGCCACGGAATGGTGCGGCCTCACCGTTGCAGCATCACTCAGGCCTGCTTGGCAAGAAGCTGCACAGCCGCCCTTCAAGTCGATCTGAATTGTCAACCGAGGCTGCCAGCGCCGTCTCCTCTCGGACTGGTCGGCCAAAGGATTCCGCTGGGCAAGTGTCCACCTCCGCCGGAGGGCTACCGCTACTCTCTGGCAAGACTCCTTACTCGCCCTCCGTCAAGTTCGAGCGAAATGAAGCTTCGCCGTCGGTGCTACCCTCTCCCAGCCACATAGCTTCCTCGTCCACTCAGCTGCCCGCCGCCGCTGTTCCTCTTTCTTTGCCCCTTCCTGCAAGCGGCCTACTCTCAAAGAAGCGCGCTGCATCAAAAGAGGCTGGTCACTTCGATGGCAGCAGAGGCGATCGATCTTCGCCGCGGCCGAGGCGACGTAGCGTTTCTCGAGAGAGGGACGAAGAGGAAGAGGAAGAGATGAGTGTCGACGGAGCTCTCGCAGCCGACTTTGCAGCGCACACAAAGACGTCCAGCAGCGGTGAGGAGGGTGACACAAAGAGCGGCTCGGCATCGGCAACGGAGGCAGCAGGGCCAGACACACTACCTGCCACGAGAGAAGGTCTCTCAGGTAGTGTGTCTGCCTCGGAGAACCCTACCGAATCAGTTGACAAGCACGCTTCCATACCGCACGCTCAGCTTCCTTCAGCTGCTAGCACAAGCACAGGCTCCATGGCCACTTCCGCGGCGACTCTGCGCGGCAAGACCCTCACGGACAACGTCAACAGTACCTACTCTTCCTCGGCGTCGTCACCACGATCTTCCCTTTGTCCCACCTCCGATTCGACGCCTCTTTCGACTACTGCTCCTCCCTCCAACCCAGTGGAGCCCGCCTCCCCCTTTGCTGAGGAGGAAGAGGAGTTCAACGTCTCCGACCTAGCCACTGCACCATCGAAGACGTACACTTATTCTCTCCAGACTTCGCGCAATCGTCTGCTGAGTCCTCCCGTCTCTCCAAGGCTTCTCGCTGCTAGGCGGGAAGAAGGCAATCTCAGTGCCAAGGAGAAGCGGGAGATTGAGCTCAAGAGGAAGCGCGATAGGCAGAGGGAGAGGAGGGCGCAAGCTAAGAGGGGCAGAGGTGGGAAGAGTGGCAGCGGAGCCTCGGGTGCTTATGGCGCTGCTGCTGGCGGTGGCGGTGCGGATGGAGCTGATGATAGCGGCAGCGAGTGGGAGCCCGGAAGGGCAAGCAACGGTGGTAAGAGGGCCGGAAGAGGTAAAGGCAAATTGGCACGTGGAAGGGCCAAAGTGGTCAAGAGTGCTGCATCATCGGGCAGGTCAGCTGCGGAGCCTAAGCCGAGGAAGAGAAGAGGAGATGATGAGTACGACACGGCGGGAGAGGTCGCTAGCAGTGGTTTCGTCGAGCTCAAGATCTGAGGCAGTAAAGCAGCATCGCAAGGAAGCGGAGCGAAGTCAAGCGTCACTGGGAAGGGTGCCCCTATCTATCTACGGCTTCCAGATGAGCTCCTCTCTCTGGACATGTTCTGCCTCGCCTCACTTCATGAAGTACAAGACGAGCCATCGAGGCAGCAGGGAAAAGTAGGCAGTCAAGGAGCGGAAGAGTCAGAGAGAGAGAGAGTGTGTGTGTGTGAGGGGAGGAAGAGAGGGGCGGTCAGCATCATCTCAATTTTTCGAAAATTGTCCCATAATTGTCATTAGTAAGCATCCTTCCATCCCAACCCATCCCATCTCATCCCATTATTATCATCCATCGATCCATGGGCTGAACGAGAGCATCAACATCAATTCACATCTACAGATAGCACTATAGGTGGTGGTGGAGAAGGAACTTGGGAAGTGGGAAGGGGGCGTGAGGGGGGGAGAAAGTCGGAACGGAATGGAGCTGAGTTGCTGCCCACAGGCAGAGCAGATCTTCCCCTTCCCGTGCATTCACTCCCTCACTTCCGCTCCGCTTCGTACACAACGCAACGCATCGCATCGAAGCTCCAGTATCGAGGACCATCGAGGACCCTTCCCTCGCCATCTGCCTCTAGCTCTAGCTCTGGGCCACGCCCCTCCCTCTTGTCTCCCCCAGCTCCTCCTCCGTACCTCGCTCCGCCTAGCATGACCTCTCCAACCATCCTGCTCCGCCCCCTCTCCTCTTACACTTTCACCACCAAATCCGCCCAACCTGAAGAAGATCCATCCGTCTCTGCACGTTTACAACGTTTACAGAATCAATATGAGGATTTTGGAATGAGGAGGACGGTTGAGAGTGTTTTGCTTGTGCATGAACATGGACATCCTCATGTTTTGATGATACAGATTGGTGAGTGGGTGGGGTGCGAGGGGAGGGAAAGGAGAGGAGAGGGAGACGGAGAGGATGGAGAGAAGGAGGAAGAGGCTGACTGGGAGTTCTCGTCTGATTGAATTGGATGGTACTATGGGTAGCTTCTGCATTCTTCAAGCTGTGAGTAAGCTCTACAGTTCACGACTCCCTCTACGAGCAACCCTACTAACCACTCTCCCCTCCCCCTCCCCCCCTTCCAGTCCCGGCGACTACCTCCGTCCAGGGGAAGACGAGCTCTCTGGTCTTTCCTCCCGCCTCGACTCTCGTCTTCAACCTACACCCGAAGAACCTCAATCCTACGGTCCTTCTGGTGAAGGAAGAGATCAACCTGATGATCAATGGGAAATTGGAGATTGTTTAGCAACTTGGTGGAGACCTGGATTTGAGACTTATATGTACCCTTATGTACCTGCGCATATTACCAAGCCAAAGGAGTGTAAGAAGTTGTTCTTGGTGCAGATGCCACCTGGTAGTGAGTGTCGGCGAGAGTGAGGAGAGAGAGCAGATCAGCACAGGCGAGACGAGTCGATCATCCTTGAGTACCAACTCTGACCACTCCTCTCTCCTCTCCCCTCTCCCCCGCTCCACCGCTTCAACAGAAGTCCTCGCGGTCCCCAAGAATATGAAACTCCTAGCCGTACCCCTCTTTGAACTCTACGACAACTCAAATCGATATGGACCACAGCTGTCTGCTATTCCGCACTTGTTGTCGAGGTATAACTTTATTTATTCGGATGTATAAGGGAGGGAAGGAGAGTGAGAGGGGGCAGGGAGGAGGGAAGGGCAGAAGTAAGAGGGAGGGTAAAGAGGGAAGAACAGCTAGATATGGGGTCGACAGAGCGACCAGTCCCACCCCACCCGAAAGTCAAAAGTCAAAAGGCAAAAGTTGTATTTGTAGCCAGCCAGACAGTCAGTCATCCGTCAAACGTCACACGTGACACTTCGAGGTAGAGAATGAGCAATGAAGAATCAAAAGATTGAAGGAGGTAATCAAGGGTGAATGGTGATTGGTGAATGGTGAATGTGACAGGACGGGACGGGACGGGATAGGAGACAGCAGTAAAAGAAAGAGAGCGAAAGAAAGAGAGGGAGAGAGGGCGAGGGAGAGGATGATGCGATAGCCCTCCAACTACAAAGTGGACGCAAGAGCGCGGTGTGCTACGTGGTGTGTGGTCGTGGTTGGAGTAATGTGGTGTGGAGTGGGATGGGTAATTGTACAAAAAGATTGGTGTGGTAGTGAACGCGACGTAAAAAGACGAAAGACAGGGCAAGGAGGGGGCCAAAAGAGGGAGTAGTTTTCTCATGCTGTGATTCTGGCAAAGGGGGATAGACTCGAGCGTGGGGGGGAGGGGGGGCCAAGAGGGTGAATGGTCAAAGGGAGGTGAATCGATCGATTGATCGGCAGGTAGGTAGGTAGGTGGATAGATAGCGGCAGGCAGGTAGGTAGTGAGCGAAGAACGTCTATGCTCCAGAGCAAGAGCGATACCGATATCGACAGGCAGGAGGGAACAAAGGCCTTCAAAATCGGAAGCGCAATGTTCTCGTTGCTCGCCTTGTGCTTGAGAGAGAGCCAAAGGTCATGTGGCGAAGTTGTTGCCGCCTGGTCCGTGGTGGGAGAGATGGAGGTGGTGGCTGTCGTTGTTTCGTTTCGTTTCGTATCGTATCGTTCAGGCGCGTGAGGGCGCAAGGTGATCGTGAGCGAGTAGACTGCCGCTCAGCTCATCCCCCTCCAGCAAGTTCAACACTGTAACCATAGCGATCAAAAGGAAACTGTCAGCACCTCGTCCAATCTCCGTTTTCCCGTCCTGCTCCCTACCTCATCTCTCT